CACACAAAAAGGTAAGAAAAAAAAAACAATAAAAAAAAGAGTTTCGAGTCGTGATGCAACAAAACACATGTCTGCATTATCAAGGTTAATTTTTTTCTGCCTGTATTTTATTTTTTGCTTTCTCATTCGATCGCACTCGTTTAATTCCACTAAAGATCTTTTTATTTCCATTTTTTTATGATCATCATTTAATATATATCTGCAAAAGGTGTTTGATGAAAAGGAACAGCAAGAAATGGAGAATAACAGGAGAATGGGGAATTAGAGAATTGTGGATGAAGTTAATCTGTTGAAGGTGTCACGTCAGATGTTCTTTTAATGTTCGTTTGCTCTTGCTTTTGGATTGGCTTGTTGTGAGATTGGTGATTAAGGTAATACAGTGTAGCTTAATGTGTAATGTTTTACAATTATGATGATTTTTACACATTGAATTAACACTTTACACATTAATGTCGTGTTTGAATGGTTTTTACACATCAATTTCATTTTCGGATGGTTTTTACACATCAAGATCAAGTTTGAATTATTTTTACACATCCATTTCGTGTTTAAAAGGTTTTTACACATCATTATAGTGTTTGAATGGTTTTTGCAAATCATTTTCAAGTTTAAATGATTTTACACATCAACTTCGTGTTTGAATGGTTTTTACACATCGATTTCAATTTTGAATTATTTTTACACATCAATTTCACGTTTGAATGGTTTTTACACATTGAATTAACACTTTACACATCAATGTCGTGTATGAATGGTTTTTACAGATCAATTTCATGTTCGGATGGTTTTTACACATCAAGATCAAGTTTGAATGATTTTTACACTTCAATTTCGTGTTGGAATGGTTTTTACACATCAAACCTAAGTTCCTAAGATTTTTTCAAATGTTAACATTCCCATAAAAATCGAACTTCTGCCTCCAATGTTCTCACCAAAACTTTTTTCATCACCTTTTCCTAAATTCTTCCAATTATTTCATCTTCTTAATCAACTTTTTAACAATCTTCACGTAAACATGACACGAAAGGCGTCTCATAATCAAAACACGGTTGTAATGAATGTCAACATAAATTTACCATATTTCACATAGAAAAACTTTGATTGTATTTTAATTAAGATGTAAATGACACATTCTTTTACCAATTCTTAAATCTCATATACACGAAATCTTTGTTTTTTATGTGTGTCTAATTTCATTCATTTTCTATTTGACTCATTTGCATTTATATTGTGTCGTACAATATGAGATGTGATGGGTTCTAGGGGGTTGCATGCTGTGAGAATTCTTGGCAAAATTTGAAATAATTCTGTGTGCCATATTTTGGGGAGACATTAATGTTTTCCTAAAATATGACGCACGAATAATTTTTTAATTCTGTTCACATTTTTCATATCAAGCAGCCCCCAAAAAAAACTTCAAAAATTTTACATTCTATTATAAATTCATAAGAATTTCAAGTGACATTCGATAAGAATGCTGGAAATGAGAAGAAATCAAGTTTAAAATTGTCTAACAAGATTCCGTCGTTGTTATTGTTTGTTGAGGGATTAATGAGATTTTGAGGTGTGGATGCAGCCAATAACTTTTATTTTGAATAATAAATGAAGAAATTTTTAAAATATTTTTTATTATTATCGTTGATGACCACTGGGAGGTGTAAATGTTGATTAATAATTATTATGAGATGGTTTTTGGGTTTTTATGAGCTTTATTGCTCAATTTTTTAAATGTTTTGAATATTTTTTGATTTTTTCAGTAATTAAAGTTTGTTTAGAAAATGGTAAAATTGGAAAAAAATTTAAATTCATTTATACATAACTTTGAAGCATTAGGGTTAATCAAACCATAACTTTGATGTGTAAAAAGATTGATGTGTAAATTGACTTTGCAATTGTTTTGATATGTAAGCATTAAATTACCAAATTTCATGCAATAATTTATTTTTAAAAATCAATTTAAAAACCTATAATTCCTATTAAAGCTTAGAACTTCCATAAATCCACCCCAAACCACACGTTCTGATGATCATTATCCATATCAATATCCAATTACACACCCAAAACCCCACACACAGTATCAATCAAATTACAATTTTACCAAAAGGAAAATTTCTCTTTAAATCCAAACCAAACAACCCCAAAAAAAATCCTTCAAAAAATACTTTGAAATTATAAAAATAGACGAAGAAAAAAAATAAATTTAAAATTCACGCTCTACAACAACAATAAAAAGCAGAACATCCATCGGAAAATCGATAAGAAAAAAAATCTCATCAAAAATTCAATTCTCGTATTTGCTCATTAATCGAATTCATTTCAACTGGCGTGGCTCGACTGAAAAAAAAGGAAGAAAATTATTCTCTTTAAAATTAATCTTTTTTCATTTCCTCGACATTAAATGTAAAATTTTCTCATATTTCACCAGTCGAAATTGATCTCGCGGGAGCTCATTAACCCAGATTAGATCCGACACATGTCATTTCCATGTTTGCTGTTGCTGCTGCTGCTGTTGTGTGTGTGCTTTGAGTTATGAGACATGAAGAAAATGTTTTTTGAGGCTTAAATGATAAAGCTTCTTTGAGTGGTTTTCAGGGGAAAATTTTTTGACAAACTTTTGCTCAGGCAACGAAAAGTTAATTTGGTGGAAAATTGTGAACAGGAAAAAATTATTTTCAACGCGTTTTTGAGGTGCTTTGAAGGATTTTTTTGGAAATTGTGGGATTAGGAATTGTGTGTGCAATTGTTTTGGTTTTTGGGATTTTTTGTTGAATTATGTTGAATTTCAATGTTGAAAGATTTGGAGAAAATTAAGATTTTTATGTAAAAATGATTGAAAATTGAGTTTGATGTGTAAAATTTGAGTTTGATGTGTAAAATTTGAGTTTGATATATAAAATTTGAGTGTACTAATTTCATAGCATGGTTTCTAGGGGTGCTTATTGGAACCGTACCATAGTTGCAGTTTAATATTCTTTAAATGCCATATTGTGGTACATTGAAATTAGTTCCTGCCTTAGGGTGCCCCAAGTAAACCTTCAAAACGGGATCCGAATGTAAAATTTTTGCAAACATCATTTTCAATGAATTTCATAAACTTTTGAGCCTATTTCTAACCAAAATCAGACAATTTTGAACCTTTTATCACCAAAATCTTCCCCTTGCCATTTTTGCGATCTGCTAAACTTTCTCAATAACCCAAAAAATCATTCCGACACCTCAAAAAAGCCACCCTCAAAGGAACTTCCTGTTTCAAAAATTTTATCATCATTTCCACAAATTTCAAGGGTCGAGTTAATGTGAAACGAACAAGAAAACTTGCCATAAATTTCATTTTTCACCTCACGACTTAATTTTCCAAAAAAAATAAGAACAAATTTTTTTTCTCCACCAACACACAAGCAATTTATTAAGGGAGGTAAATGAATGTAAATTAATTCTACAACAATTTTCACGAGCGAATGAGTTGTGAAATTTAATGTGAAACACATCTTTGGGTTTGTTTAGACGATGAGATGATGTCTGTATCGGTTGGGAAAAAAGGTGTCGGAACCGCAACAACAAAAATTAATAGTCATGTGAATATTTAATGAGTATCATTGCTCTCGAGGTGTAAATGGTAATGATTATGATGATAGTTTGTTGATGGGTAAATGTGAGAAGATTGTTGCTGATTAAGATGGGCTCGCGAATTGGCTGTGGCTTAATTTACACATCCAAATTAAGTTCTATCAAATTTTACACATCGAAAATAACCTTTGTCAAATTTTACATATCAATAATGGATTTTGTGAACTTTTACACATTAAAAATAGATTAAATCATAATTTTTACAACCAAAAATGATTTTTTTATCCATCACATCCACCCACTCCCACCTAACCACTCCAATAAACCTAAAAGACACCAAAGAAGCACCAGAAATCGAATTTGACGAACGACGAGCAAGAAAAAAAACTTAAAGCAAATTTTTTTTTCACGGATGACAAAATTTAATTATCAGCGAGTTGAGAACGACAAAAATATCCTCTGGCAATTTTCTTGCTTTACTTTTTTTTTTATCATCATTGCCGTTGTCGTCGATGTCGTCGATGGAAATTTAATTTTAGAGAAGAAAATTGTAAGTCAATTAAGTGACAATTTTCGGTATGATTTGTAAAAGACTGTGACTGTCTTGGGTTGGTTGTGATTGAGGAGTTGCTTCTTGTTACGAGTTTTTTTGAGAAATGAGAAAAGTTTAACAGACGATGACAAGAAGCGGCAAGAAGGAAGCAAAAATAAAATTTTGTGATGGGAAAAATTTCATGCGAAGTGATTTGATTCGATTGGAAAATTGAGGGAAAATTAAACGATTTTTTTGTGTGTCTGATGTGTAAATCTGAGGATTATTTAAGAGTGATGTGTAAAATGTACATTTTGTTGTGTAAAATGATATTAACCTTCAAAATTTAATTCCAATTAAACACACAAATTAAATCAATAATCCACACAACCATCAACATCAGCACCCACTAAACCTCCCAAACATCTTTTACAAACCAAATTGTAATCTCAAAAAGCCACTTCAAAAGAGACACAAAATCAAAACATGAGAAGAACAATCATAATCTTGAACTAAATGAGCAAATTCACACATCAAACAAAATTAAATTAATTGGAATGAAAATATTTGTTTGAAAATTTAATTAAATTCATCGCAGTTAATTGATTAAATTAATTCCACGACGCTGTGCTTTATGAATTGTTATTCTTGATTACGATGTTGACGGGTTGCGGTTGATTAAGTATTTTTGGAATTTATCGGGTTTTACAAGGGAACTGCCAATAGTTTGTAGTAAAAACTGTCGAGTTCTTCAATTTTTTAATAATTTAGGGTTCATGTGAACCCCCTCAGCCCTCCACAACCCGCAAATCCCAAATTATCCCTTCCCAAAAACCCATTAAACCCAAATTAACCCCTAAGAATCCAATTAGCCCATAAAAAATACAAAAAGCGTACTCACATAGGATTTGTGGTATTCCAATGTAGATAAAATGATTTGGCACCGTGTGATAAGTTAATGATGAGCAAAAGCTCAATAAGAATGAAGAGTAAGGCCATTTTGAATGACATGTGACGATAGCAGCTTGCAGCCATTCCCAGGTGTCCTCGATTTTTCACTTTTGTTGACTTTCGATGATCATTTGCATTTGTCGGTGAAAATTTCTTGCATTTGTGACTTTTTTGGGATCTTTTATCCATTTTTTGGGGGGTTTTTTGAAGTTTTTTTCTGTCAATTTTTTTGATGGAATTTTTTTGTTGAGTTTAAGTTCAGATTTTGTTCATTTTTTGCGGGTTTATCTCAAGTTTTTGAAGACAAAATTGAACGTTTAAGCTTATTTTTTGTCTTGTTTTCACTTAATTTTTAAAATTCCTACCTAATTATTGAACATTTTCAATATTTCACTGAATTTTAATTAAAATTTTGAAGCCATTTTGTTAAAAACTAATTTAAACTTTTTGTAATTTTTAAATTTTTCCTTAAAGTTGTTTTTTATTTTTGTTTTCAAGTTTAAACCCTTTTTTATTCAAATTTAAATTTTTTTTTCGTTTTATTTATTCTTTTTAAATTAAAAGTTGACGTTTGAATTGAATTTAAAATTCTACTCACAATAAATTAATATTTTATAGGATAATTTAAGATTAAATGCTTAAATTTGCTTTCCCACTGATTTTTAAAAATTAATGAATTGAACACAATTTTGAATTAAATCAATTTTTTTTCACCTTTTGTTTTTTTTTACTTGACTTATAAATTCAAGATTTCATAAGAGTTAAAAATATAATTTTAACTTTGAATGACACTAAATTTGTAGAAAAAATTGCTGTCACATTTTTACAACTTACTCGATTTTTGCAATTTCAAAAAATGATTTTTATTATTTATTTCACAATTTTAAATTCAATTTTTTAGAAAAATTATTTTTGTTTTTCACAGTTTATTCATTTTTAATTGATTTATCCTTTTTATAGCAAACACAATTTTAAAATCCTAAATTCAGAATTTCACCAAATTTGCATTTAAATTTTCAAACATCAAAGCACTTTTTCACATTTTTTTAAAAACCTTTTTTTTATTTTATTTTAATCTCATCAATCAAAACATGTAAATCACTTTGGTTTTATTTATTTTATTATTATTTCAACTTGACTCGGCTTTTCCTGTTCCTAACTATATCCACTCTTTATCTCTCCCTCTCACTCACTTTCAGTCTCTGTGCATGGCAAAAAAAGGATTGAAAAGCAAAAAAAGGGAAACATTAATGAAGATAAATTGCGATTTTATTTCAATTTACAATATTTATTCACATTTTTCGACTCTTTTTTTGAATTTTGAATTTATTTTATTTTGTAAAAATTTGTTTAGTTGACTTTTGAGTCTCTAATTGCTGCTATGCATAGCTATGACTGACTATATAGTCAGCAGTTTAATCAAATGAGTGTAAATATTGTAAATTTAATTAAAATAATATTTGAAGCATCTAATCAGAGCTGTTTGTTGTCAGTTGTCTGGGAATAAAAATTGCTGTTCATGTCAAAGATTTGAAGTCGGTTTTTAAGGCTCCTGCGGATACTCTAGCATTGAAAATCTGCATCGTTGGGTCAAATTTCAGAGCTCAGACAAAGAGTTTTAGATTAATTTCTTTATATCTACTTTAATATGCTCCTGGTAGCTCTGAAAACCTGTTTGGGACTTCAAAACTTAAAAAATACTAGATAATAGCCAGGACAGGTGCTCGGTATCTACTATAAACTGACGCTTTAAGGGTTATGTCACATTAGAATAGTTTTTTTAATGCCTTGAGCTTAAAAGGTCCTATAAGCATTATTATTACTAATGTAGGTTGCCAAGGTACCAGCAGAAACCAGATTTTGACTTAACTACAGAATTAAGTCGACCGAAATTTACAGTTTTTAAATGTTCCGCAACTAGCAAAGTTATACAGCTCTGGAATTAATGCATTTAATTTTAATTATTTTTTTAAATTACTAACATTTTAAAATCGCAAAACGCTGTCTAAAATCCAAGATAAATTGTCAGAAATATCCACAAATTGTTACTTGAATTCCTTCACTATTTGAAACTGAATTAATTCTTAATTAATGATTAGCAAAAATTTTCCTTTCATTTTCAACACTGCGGAGAAATTTCCATAATTGATTGACTTGTAATCAGCTTGTAATCCGCTTTTAATTTTAACATTCACACATTTACTTTCACGTGATTCTGTGACTCATAATTATGAATTACCGCCGCGAATTATTTTTTTTCACTTGTTTTTATTGATTTTTTGTTGTTTTTTAAAATTCGTTTAATATTTTAAAAATTATTTAAAATTTTTTTTTTATTAAGTTTTGCAATTTAATAATGATTTTAAGATATTTTAAAAATTTATTCAAGATATTTTTCTGAATTTCTCAGATTTTGTAATTTAATTCTGAGTTTTAAAGGTTTTTGTAAGTTTTTTAAATTTCAAAATTGCACTTAACTTTTTTAATTCTTTTAACATTTTAATCAAAATTTAAAATTTATTTTGCAATATTTTTCCTCAAATTTCTTCACTTTTTTTTCTTTAAATTTATCACAAAATTTTAAAAGTTTTTACATTTTAATAAAATTCAATTTTGCACATTTTTGTTATCCAAAATCTCATTTTTATCCACTTTACAACAACAAAATAATAATAAATAAAATTCTTTTTATTTCTTTGACAAGTTCACGGAGACAATTTTGCCGGTCGAAGCAGCCGAAAGTTGTTGCTTCATTGACATTCGATTTATGACTAAATAAAAAAAGTGCTGGAATTGAATGTGTGGAAGAAGTGCTGAAGAAATTGAGAGAGAATTTTACACACGCACTTTTTGTTACTCTTGCCGACGCTCTCATTTTTATGCTCTGTTTTGGTTTTTGGCTGTGTACATTTTTCAGCAACCGATGTTGTTGCGGAGAGGCTTTGTGAATTTTTTAAAGAGAGGTGGTTCTGAAGCAATTGAAGACTACAAGTTCAATTTATTTAAACGAAAATTTCAAAAAAAAAATGTTTTTAAATTTTAGAAATATTTTTAAAGTTTTTTAAACAGATTTCGAAAAAATTTGAAAAAACTTCAGAATTAAAATAAACTGCCAAACTTTGGAAAGAAAATTTTAAAAAATTAAATTTTAAATAAAACCGTTAAAATTTGAATTTTGAAAACTTTTCAATTTTTTAATTTGAAATTGTGAATTTTTCTTAAAAATTCTTTAACATCAAAATCGTCAAAAATCAAAACCTAATCTACACCGACGCAAACCCACCAAAACCAAACAATAGAGCCGAAAAAGTTCAAAGCGAGTTCAATAGATTTATCATGTAAAACATAAATTTCACTCATTTTTCGGTGCTTTTACTTCTTTTTTACTTTCATCGGCTGCGGCTGAGAACAAAAAACTATTTGTTGTGATTTATTATCACTGATGCAGTTAATTAATTTCTTATCAGTCTTGACTGTCACTAGTTATTAAATAGTGAGTGTTGTGAGAGTTTTGGTGATTTTTGTTATAGCTATGAGGATAGAGTAGCTTGCTTTTGAGCATTATAGCTTAGCTTCATTGAAATTCAATTGTTTTGACTAATTAGGGATCAAAAATTGTATTTATATTTTAGTTGAATGATGTTTACAGCTCTTTTTTAACCCCTTAAGTATAGGCAACATTAGAGCATATTTCACAATTATTTTTAACCACATTGGATTGTAAAAAAGTCAGGTTATTAAAATTAAAGATTACAATATTTTGAGTTTAACATGTAACGGAAGATTGAGATTTGAATAATATCTCGAGAGCTTTTTTTTATCTTCAAATCAAATTAACATCGTGATATTTTAAATTATGTGAATTAAAGTATTAATAAGGCGAATAAAACTGCGAAATATATAATTAAACAATTACAACACATTCAGGCGTATTTAACAATTCAAATTGAGCTAAATCTTTATTTAATTACAGCGATATTGACAAAAATATATATTTAAAGGTTTTATCACCTAAGGTGTTAAATTATCATCCCTTAGAGCCTTTAAATATATCTATGGCGTTTAATTAAAATTCTATGGCGTTAAAAAAATATTAAAACCCACTTAAAAATATAAATTAAGTAAAAAAATTATTTATTTAAATGTTATTTATTGGTTAAATCATTGTTGAACATTGAATGTCCATCATTGAGCCACAACAATCGTTAATCAAGTTTTATCACCCATGCAGTAACGCATGGAGTCTTGATTTGGGTCGAAACAAGCATTTTAATCCTGTACTACGACTGGACTTCACTCCATTTACAAGATTAGATCCAGTGAGTCATCGAATCATCCCATCTTTCAAGTTTAAAGTCAAATTGGATGATCCTTTAGAGATAGCATCGCTTGATTTCATCAATTCGTTAGCAGAGTCATTTGAGATATCTCTAAATAGTACAGTGTTGCAAGTTCATCCATTAATTAATGTAGCCAAGTGGAAATTTAGTCGAGACACAAACCGGAATCAAATTCAAAAGTTTCCGTTACAGATTGATCACGTGTTAAGATTATTAAGACCTAAATTTCGTGCTACATATTGGCGAACTTGGCAAAGGACGAAACAACAGCCGAAAAACAGAAAGAAACATCATCAATCAATTAATGGAACACAATCATACAAATTCCAAGCAAAATTAAGAATGTCATTCCGAAATAATTTACCTGTACCGACAAGAGGATTAAGATACAATGTTCAGCATATAACTCAACCACAATATATTCGTCCAGTACCTAATTTTACCCAGTTTGTTGATGATTTGTCACCACTACAAAGAAAATTTGTCATATCGATCCATGGACTTTCGGAGGAATTAAATGTTCGAGACCGTGACGTCGTTGAAGGAATTAGAAAGTTTCTTATTGAGGACACAAATACTTGGAAGCAAGGCAAAGTACCCATTTATTGCTATCGCTATGTTGAAGCAGCAACAGCATATGCTGTATTCTTGGAACAAATTGCTTACGTTCATGAAGGTTTTAACAGTCGAGGTTTTGGAGATAAAGAAAGACGATTTTTATGTACACAAATTGAGTCTTTAACAGATCTTTTTTATGCAAGTATTCCGACCATCAACAATTTAACATTCTTTGAACAGTCTCGTTACAAACAAGAGTTTCAGCAGCTACAGTCATATCGAGAAGCTTTAGTAAATACAGCAGATTTTTCAACATCATTAACAAATGTAATGCAACTTCCAAATGACACTCGTGATTTTTCTCGTACTGTTCCTACGTCATTTTCAACACCTCACATTACACCGTCCATTAGACCATCTCGTTTATCTAATGTACCACAACCGGAAATTCCAACAACTATTTCATCACCTGGAACATCTGGTGTTTTGCAACAAATATCTGAAGAATCAAATAGCAAAATGATAATTGACAATACATTCGAACAGCAACCATCAACAGTTACTACAACTTGTGAAATGTCTATAGCATTAAGTTCAACTTTAACTAATGTTACTTCCACCAATATTTCAAATGTTATCACATCCACAACACAATCAATTATTGCACCACTAGCATCCACAAGTCAAAAGCAAGTCGTGTCTGAGGACGATATTCAAGGAAGTAATACCGACGAATTGAATTTTCATCAACAGACAGTTCAAGATTCAATATCAGACGCATTTGCAGCTATGAGCTTTAATGAGCAATATAATACATGTGTGGAATCAAATCAAGAACCAAATTTCGGACATAACATCAGTCAAACAATAGATAGCAATAGGAATTTTTCATTTCCAAAATTCAGACATCAATCTCCTCAAACTTATCAAAATAAAGGAATTAATAACATTCAGCATTTGCCGAGATTACCACAATCAACCATAACCAATCCAGCACACATTGCTGATGGAAATGCTCAAAATATGAGGTATAATAATTCTGGCATTGAAAATTCATCACCTGCTAGCAACCTCAATAATTTGAATTATGTTGAAAGGGATTATAACCCATGCGAAAATAACTTTCGTTATGTGCCTTTAAACAACAGCAACAGTAATCGAAATCCATTTCCACCACCAAACAACAACAGCAATAATAATGTCAATGTCAATGATTTAACAGAGCTATTGACAAGAATGATATCGATACCTAGAACTAACTCATATATGCCAAAACTTAATGATTGGTATCCAAAGTTCACTGGAAGCGATGATTGCTCTTTAATTGATATTTTGGATCAATGGGAAAAAATGGCAGAAAATTGTGGCATGAGTCATACAATCTTATTGTCACAAATTCAAATGTTATTAAGAAATGATGCTTTGAGATGGCACAACGCTATAGGAGTTGATATAAGAGATTGGTCACAATATAAATCAGCTATCATTAACCGATTCCAAGCAAAAGAAAAAATAGTTTCGTTATTCATGAGCAATGTGAATGAACAGAAACAAAACGAAAAATTTAATTCTTATTATGCTCGTCTACGTATGTTAATTAAGCAATCAGGAAAGGAAATAACAGACAAACAATTAGTTACAAGATTATTAACTGGATTACGTGATACCAGATGTCGAGATGTCGTTCGTAACTATTCATCATCAGAACAAGCTATTGACTGGAATAGAATAATTAAAAACATTAACGAAATTGAAATAGAATACGATTTAATAGCAAGATCGAAACAAAATGTCCCATTATCATCTGAGAGACTTAAATCATTACCTCTCAAGTGGAACATTAATAACGACATAAAAAATTTACAGTTCAAAAATGCAGAAAAATTCGTTAATAATTCACCATACTTCCAAAAAGAAGTAAATGCGACAACCAAATCCGACACAAACAATGTTAATTCTACAGTTAAGAATTTTACACCCGACAAGCAGCAATTTAACAAAAAATTTAACTTTAAAAATAAGTTTAATGTTAATAAGCCCAAGAAGGATATAGCAGCAGTTGAAATCAACAATTACATGGAACCATCAGAAGAAGTTATTCAGGAAATTGAAGCCAATCAACTGATGCTAATGGATTTATTTGAAAAGAGTAATTGGAGTGACAATGATGTAAATGAATTTATGTCTATGCAGTCATGTTCCAATTGTGATGAAGATGGACACATATTGGAAGTCTGTCCATTATTAGAAGACAACAAGTTTAAGCAGCAATGCACATATTGTCACACACCTGGCTTAACAACATCATCTTGTGAAAATTGCTCAAAAAATTAATAAATCACAATGTGCCAGAGAGCTCACATCTGTGTCTTTATATAAATGCTCTTAACATATCAAAAAATCATCAGTTTCCAGATAAATTCATATCATTACCAAGAAGCCAATCAGATTCTTCATTACATGTTTCTTCATCAAAAACAAATTCAATTTACAATAATATTCGCATCGCGCACGATATTGATTACAAATATAGAAATGATAACCGACCATATGTCAACATAAAAATACATAACATCGCATATAAGGCATTATTGGACAGTGGCGCATCAATTAGTATAATTGGAAAAGATTTTGAAGAAATGTGGAATACATTTGACGACTTGAGCTGTCAGAAGAAAATAGAAATAAGAATAGCTAATGGTGAAATGCTTGAAAGCATGTCAATTAAGAAAATACCAATATTTTATGATGGCATAACAAAATACATTGATTTTGCATATGTTCCTATGGTTATTTATCCTTTAATTCTTGGAATGAATTTCTTCAATCTTTTTAATTTAAATTTTTGTGTATTAAATGACAAAAATGACAATATTATGACTAAAAACCTAAATTTATGCGCATTAAGTGACAATCAATCGAATTACATCGAAGAAAAAATTAATGTTTCACCAAAAGTTCAACAGAAATTGGATAACATATTAAAAAAATTTAAATTCAGTGATAATGGCATATTAGGATGTCAAAATTTAATTAAACATAGCATAAACACAGGCAACGAACAACCAATAGCTCAAATTCAATACAATTATAATCCAAAAGTTATGGAACAAATTCATAAAGTTATTGATGACTGGCTTGAAAATGATGTAATTGAGAAATCGATGTCTAGCTGGAGAAATCCAATTGTTGCAGTCAAAAAGCCTGATGGAAACATACGAGTTTGTCTTGATGCTCGGAAATTGAATAATATCACAAAAAAGGATAGGCTGCTTACACCAAATGTATTTGACGCTATTAATTCCATTCCATCTGACGTTAAAATATTTGGACGTGTTGACAAAAATCAAGCTTTTTTGCAGACTAAACTTGAAGAAAATGATCGAGAAAAAACAGCGTTTTTTGTAAAGGGTCGTGGATTGTATCATTTTAAGCGAATGCCTTTTGGTTTAACAAATTCACCTGCAACACAAACAAGACTAATGTTAGAAATTTTTGGCGACTTGTCACCATATGTCCTCGTTTATTTTGACGACATCATTATATTAGCGAGAGACATTGATCAATTTTTATACTTACTTGACATAGTAGCTGAAAGATTATCATCGAACAATTTAACAATCAGCAGACACAAAATCAATTTACCGCTCAAACGAATCCAAATATTAGGTCACATAATTGACGAAAACGGAATTCACATCAATTATAATCGAATATCGTGCATTAAAGATTGGCCACAACCTACAACAAAAAAAGAACTTCAGAGATTCCTTGGCTTTGTCAATTGGTATAGACGTCACATAAAAAAATTTTCATTAATATCAGCACCTTTAACTGACTTATTAAAAGGCACCAAATTCGTGTGGACTAAAATGGCTGAGTTTGCATTTGATAATTTGAAGCAAATACTTTTATCACCGCCAATTTTACGACCACCTAGATGGAACTTGCCAATGATATTATTATGTGATGCTTCAGACATAGGAGTTGGCGCAGCCTTGACACAAATTGATGAATCTGAAAATGAATTTGTAATAGAATATTACAGTGCAAAATTGACAGAAAACGAACAAAAATACTCACCAACTGAAAAGGAATGTTTGGCAGTGATAAAGGCAATAAAACATTTTCGTCCATTTATTGAGTTAATGGAACTAAGAATAATCACAGATCATTATTCACTAAAATATTTAATGAATATGAAAGTAACTTCGGGACGTTTGTCACGTTGGATCCTACACTTACAACCTTATGTCAATTGCATAGAGCATCGTTCAGGATCACTAATGAAAATTCCGGATGCGCTATCTAGGGCACCAGTTATGTCAGTTGAGGATGAAAACTTTGAACTTATGTCAATTCATGTCGATGAATCATACAACCAACTAATGCAAAAAATCAGCACAAATCCTAAAAAATATTCAGGTCATTTAATAAAAAATAATACTATATATGCCAAAATTCCTTACCGTCGTAATCCTACAAATGATGATTGGAGAATAATTCCACCTCCACAATATCGTTTAAACATAATTAATTCAGCACACGAAGAGACAATGCATGGGGGAGTAGAATCAACACTCAGTAAAATCCAGGAACAATACTTTTGGAAGTACATGAAAGATGATGTCAAAAAATTTACAAAATGTTGCTTCAAATGCGCAAGTGTTAAATCAGCAAATTATAATACAGCAGGTCCGATGAGAAATTGTAGAGTACCAAAAACATGTATGGACATATTAAGTGTCGATGTTAAAGGACCATTGCCATCAGCTGGAAAAGAAAGATATAAATATATATTAGTTGTTATGGATTTACTTTCAAGATTTGCATGGTGTAAGATGTTAAATGCAGTCACAACAGAGAAAATAACTGAATTTTTGGAAACAATATTTGAAAAATTTGATCCACCTAAGCAAATCATACATGATAATGCCTCACAATTTACATCTCACAAATTTAAGGAGTTCTTAAATACTTACAAAGTCAAATCACACAATATTCCAGTATATACAGCAAAAAACAATCCAGTAGAACGACTAAATAGATCATTATCTGAAGCACTTTCATTGTCATTAATGGACTGTCCAACAAATCAAAAGAAATGGATTAAGTTTCTGCCAGATATCATCAACAAACTAAATAAACGACGAAATGAAGCAACTGGAATGTCACCATATAAGGTATTTTTTGGAATTGACGCTTATGATGAAAATAATTTAACGGACCGACAGCTTAATCAGCATCATTTTGATATTATGAACAAAGCCTATGAAAAATCATTAATTAAATTTCATTACAATGTTAAACAATATAATAACAACAAACATCAACAACATATTACAATTAATGATATTGTAATGATTGAAAAGCATAGTTTATCAAAAGCATCAATAAGTTATAATGCAAAATTGGATGTTAAATATTTACCAGCACAAGTAATTGAATTTCCCTATTCCAATGCAGTAAAAGTAAGGCTTATCAACAACAATATAGCCACATATGATGTCTCAGAAGTAAAATTAATTAATTACAGTTTACAAAATATCATTTCCGACATTTTCGAAAATTTTCGAAACTGATGTTTGTTTACATTCGAGAAGAGGGGTTGAACCTACGACTTTCTTTTCATCAAAATCAGTCAAACATATAACACGTAATTTCACAAATAATATTAATTAAAGCATCAAAATGGAACAAATATTCAACAAACACTCAATTGTTGTCATCAACATCAAACAAAAAACACAAAGATGTGAAATTAGAGCTAAATTGGCACAATTCGGAGAAATTGTGAAATTAACAACACTTCCAATGAAGAATTCCAGCGGTATGATGTCTTTCTGTAAATTTAACGATAACCTTAGCATGATTAATGCCATTAGAAAATCCAGGCAAGTGGAAATTAACAACAATTATCCAATCATAAGGAAAGCTTTTGATAAGCTTAATTTGGATGAAGCTGATAATATAAAGATAACAATTAAAAATAATAATAATCACAAATCAAAGTGCATCGGCATTCAATGCATACAAAATCATGTTAAGAGCATTAAAGGTAACGTAAATGAACTTGAGAGTTTAATAGTGCGCATCAATAAGGACCAAATTTCAAAACAACAATATACATTATTACTGAGACTAATTGAAATGAAGGATACATTTAGGAATCTTCTAAACTTTTTCTCACATGAAAAAGTAAACAATCATATTTTTGTGAATCAATATAATTCATTAAAATATGATTGTCACTCTAAGTGCGGTAATGTAACGGAAGATTGAGATTTGAATAATATCTCGAGAGCTTTTTTTTATCTTCAAATCAAATTAACATCGTGATATTTTAAATTATGTGAATTAAAGTATTAATAAGGCGAATAAAACTGCGAAATATATAATTAAACAATTACAACACATTCAGGCGTATTTAACAATTCAAATTGAGCTAAATCTTTATTTAATTACAGCGATATTGACAAAAATATATATTTAAAGGTTTTATCACCTAAGGTGTTAAATTATCATCCCTTAGAGCCTTTAAATATATCTATGGCGTTTAATTAAAATTCTATGGCGTTAAAAAAATATTAAAACCCACTTAAAAATATAAATTAAGTAAAAAAATTATTTATTTAAATGTTATTTATTGGTTAAATCATTGTTGAACATTGAATGTCCATCATTGAGCCACAACAATCGTTAATCAAGTTTTATCACCCATGCAGTAACGCATGGAGTCTTGATTTGGGTCGAAACAAGCATTTTAATCCTGTACTACGACTGGATTTCACTCCATTTACAAGATTAGATCCAGTGAGTCATCGAATCATCCCATCTTTCAAGTTTAAAGTCAAATTGGATGATCCTTTAGAGATAGCATCGCTTGATTTCATCAATTCGTTAGCAGAGTCATTTGAGATATCTCTAAATAGTACAGTGTTGCAAGTTCATCCATTAATTAATGTAGCCAAGTGGAAATTTAGTCGAGACACAAACCGGAATCAAATTCAAAAGTTTCCGTTACAGATTGATCACGTGTTAAGATTATTAAGACCTAAATTTCGTGCTACAAACAATTTTTTAAATTTAAATTATTACGGTTTTTTATTCAAATTTTAAAGATTTTTCTTTACTTTTAGTATTAAAAAATTATTTAAATACAAATATTATCGGTTTTTTAAGTTCAAATTATAACGATTTTCAAAAATTTAAATTTTAACGGTTTTCTGAAATTCAAATTATAATGTTTTTTTTTATTAAAATGAATCTTTTGTTTTAATTTTAATTTTTGCAAGTTGTAAAGTTAATTTCCAGACACAAGGAAACTATCGCACTTTCAACATATTTATCTTCTCAAATCAGAACTCACCTTCCCCGTCCTGAACTGAATGAGTAACATCTTACCAATCACACTTATTCAACTTCAAATTGCAAGAACAAATTTCAACTTATACGCAACATCTAAAATTACTTCAAAAGTAAAAAATATAACGCAGAATGACTTTTAAAAATCCCTTATTTTTACATCAAAAATGCTCAGTCACTGCTGCTTCAATTCTGGCTTTCCATCATTAGTGCTAAAAAAGGCGTAAACAATAACACGCAAATCCTTTTCAATTTCCTCAAAAAACTTTTTCTGCTTCGCATTTATTGTTCTTCAGTTTCATTTTTTTTAACAAAAAGTGCATTGAACCTGCTTGCCTGCTTGCTTTTTTTTCATCACTTGAACATATTTTTTAATTTTATGCAAAGTGCGTTGACAAAAGGAAATTTTTTGCATGCCTTTACCCACCCTCAAAAGCAGTTCTCCTTTTTTTTGCCTCTTATTCGCATTTTTTTCACACTTTTTTGTATTCCTTTGCAATTTGCAGCGCTGATGTGCAGGATTTTTTGAGATCTATGGTCCTTTGAGGTGCACATTGGCTGGCTGTACTATAAAAATATAGCTTAAAGTTGTGTAAAGTGCTCTTTTCAATAAGATGACTCAATAGTGATAAACAGCACACGATTTTTTAACAATTTCTCAATATATTGTGGATATGAGCCCGCAAGGGCGCCTTAGCCACCCTTCAATAGTGACTTACTTACTTGAAATGCATATTTTAATCATGTATTGAAGTAATGAAACAATGAGGGATAAAAAAAATGCATTTGAAAAGTGCATAAGTGGATGAAAAGCGACTTCATCGTGTGTGATAGTCTCTATGCTATGCTCTAAATGTTCCTGACTGTATGTGTGTATGTGTGTGCACTTCACAAGTGAAAATGCCTACGTGTTTACATTCATTAGATAGAAATGTACACACAAAGTGAATAGCAGGCATAAAAATTTGTAATCTGAGAAGTGCTTTGAGGAAAACTTTGAAGTTCCAAATGCGAATGTCGAAAGGGAAATGAAAAACAGCAGAAGGACAAAAAAGACAGCAAAAAGAAGAATAGAAATGCGAGGTGCAGAAAAATTATATTGTTTTTCAAGTACAATTGACTGCTTTTTATGTAGTTTTGATTTTGTTTTTTTTTCGAATGAATTATTAAAGGTGAAAATTAGAAATTTATAACGTCCATGTTGAAATTTTTAATGAAGCTCAGCTGTAAATATGATAACGCAACCTAGTTAAAGACTGTAAATGAAGCCTAAGGTTAGCTTGGAAGTAGCGAAGAGGTTTTTGATACATTTAAGTTTTAATAGGACTAAACTCAATCATAGGCACACAAAACTCGAGGGAGAACTTGAGACTGGCTCTTTGAGCTTGTAGACCGCACTCTATGCACCTGGAACTAGTAAATATAATTTTTAGCGCATTTGTCAAACTTGTTTCGAAAAGGTAGCTTAATAATACGCTTTGTTCGTTTGCTCGGCTGCATGCAAAAACTTTTGATCTAGACATCGTAGAGAGTTCTGGTTTTTTGCCTTAGCTGTGTTCAATTGAGTTATTCCGGCGACAAAAAGTTAAAAATTCTAAATCCATCGGGAAATACTATAATTAATGTTTTTTTTTTTTATTTTAATTCAATGTAGCCAACTTCAAGTGGGATAATTTCAAATATATTTTGAACGTTAGAAAGTTTGAATTTCAAAAAACCGTTAAATGACAAATTGAAAAACTCATTGCAATAAATTCTTAATTATGCTACAATTAATTATTTTCTAGTACATTAAAACGTGGGAAATTTTCAAATATATTGTGACGATAGAAAGTTTGGATTTCAAAAAACCGTTAAATAATAAAGCTTTTTTTATGAGCATTCATTGTAATTATTTGTTAATTACACTGAAATAAATGATCTTCTGATCTTCTAATGATCTGTAAATGAACGCAAAATAATTATATAAACAAATACTGATCGCTGAAGTCCCTAGATATATAACACGAGGACTTTCGCCAATTTTCAATATTCAAATCCATAAACTTTCCTGTAAACTTTATTATTTTTCCACTAATTCTAGATCACACTTTACTAGTTGTCTACCTCTTTCTAGTTCTACTCTTGGAACAATTGGTATAAAACTGTCTTAAACTCTTTGGCTTTGTTCGAGGATTCAATTGCAGAGAATTCTTAAAATCCATCAAATTTTCAATCTTATTGATCGCATCTGATGGCATGTTCCGGGTCTGTTTCATTGTTTCACTTGATATTATGTGGATTGAGATGACTTGTCGTGTTGGACATTCTGATGCGATGAATTTCTGAAAACAGAAAGAAATCTGTTAGATTAAGATCGACAATGCGATGACAATGAATGAACGGCGTCTGTTGTACAAATTTGGAGTATCAAAGAAGATTGTTTCTTGAGCACAACTTGGCCCAGAGTTGGCTGGACTTCAGAAGATTGAGTTTAACTCTAATGGAGTACTGACAATTCGAACCAAATCATTCTTTAGATTTAAGCTACTTTTTATCAAGGACACTACTTCCGTCGACTTAGATACTCACATCATAAAACTCAACGACCTCCTGATGAGTCAAATTTTTCAAAATCGATGCTTCAACATGACTTCTGTTAAAATGATACTGCTGAGTTGAAATTTCTTTATGAAATTGCCAAAATTGTGCAGCTAAAGTCAACGGTGTCCGAAGCTTCTTGAGTTTTAACGAATTTTTGTTGTTTTCAAACTTTTCTTGTGTCATTTCGGTTATTGTGCGCTGAAATTTTTGGTAAAAGATGCATACATTTTGATATTTTATTTAGTTTTCTTTGACTGACATAAAAAGATTGGCTAATCAGAGGAGCAGAGGTGTATGTGACAATTTGTGTATGTATGATGCATATGATGGTATAAATGATGCGTTAACAAGAAACCAATCTTCAGAAGTTAAAAGATCGGTATTCTATTTAAGCTACTCTACTTTAGCCTAGTCACAGTCAACACCATCATAATAACACCCCCGATTTCAGGAAATTTTAATTCCAAGGTGTTGAACGTATTAAAATGGTCAAAGAAATCAAAATTTTGGCTTCAACTTAATTACATTGGGTAGGATAACCCTTGCACTCTCAACCCACCTCTGATTCATATTTTACATTCAAATCCACAAAAATTACCTGCATTGATATCAAAAATCTTTTAATCCTCTCCTCAATATACTCTGGATGCTTACTAGATTCAATCACAAACTTTATTCCCTGAGTTCCATTAGCTCTCCTTATAAGACAATCTACCATATATCCCTGCTGCTCCTTAGTCCTCAAAATATCAAAGAAAGGTGCTCGAATGATTTGAAGAATTAAATCCAGTAAGACATTCGATTTATCATCTTGAAGTCCACATTGGATAAATAAACTGATGCAGTTGTACTTGTGGTAGTTGTTGGCTGTCTGGAATGTGTAGAAGTCACCTGCAATAAATGGTGATTTTGGATGAGATATTAGTGGCTTTGAGCTTAAACCTTCCAACCATCTATGTTTTATCTCAATTCCTTACCATCATTCAGCTTCCTCTCCCTAACTGTGTTCTGAGCTAACACAATCATCATCTTATTCGACCTCCTAGCTTTATTAAGCCTATCCTCAACAATCTCAGCCAACTTCAATGCCCTTTCCTCATCAACATTCCCAAACACAAAGCAGTCAGCATAAGTCTGGGTCAGAACTTCCTTAGCAAATGTTTTCAGCCTACAAATTGTAATAACTTTCATTGCAGCGATTAGTTCCTCATTTGACCATGTTTGCTCGTTAAGGATTTGTTCTAGATAATAAATTGCCATTTGCTGCGGCTTTTCACCTTCAAAGCCTTTCAAGTCAGCCATGTAGGAGTCATAAGTGTCTTCAAAGTGCCGCAAATCAATTTTAAATTTGAAAATTTCATTCAAAATTGTTTCTAAAAATAAATTTTGCTTGTGTGAAAATCCATCAACGTAGATTCTGATTCCAGCTATTGTGATGCCAATTCTCCACTCGATGCCTCCAAGGCTAGCTCCATATAATCGTTCCCTTATGTGATCTTCAAGCATCCATACAAATAAATGCGTCAAGTTCCAATTAAGTGGATCACAATTTATTGTTGGATTTTTGAGTTCAATTGTAAACATTGTTTTTGGTTTTCGGAACTCCGTGTCCTGTTTAAACCAGACACGGATCAAGGAGCTGTCTTTGATTATTTTCGGAAATGTCTGCTTCCAATTTTCAATCGGCACGAACTCAAAATCTGACGGAATGAATAAATTTGGCTCTGGTAAATGAAGTTCTGGATTAGTCTTGCAAATTGTCCAGTCACGAATTGTGGATGATCTGATTCTTTCAAGTCCATACTTAGTTCCATAAATAATCTCAGTGTAGTTACACTTGTAGTAATGAGTTTGGTCTACAATAATTATTCTGAGGTTCTCAGGAATTAACATACTGAGGATGAATTCAATCAGTTCTGGTTTAAATTCTTCAATCAATGTTGGACCCGTAAGGATGTCTTCAAGTGGATAGTGACGCATGCAGCTGGATAATTTAGACACAAGCTTCATTGGATTCTTCTCATCTTCAAATCTAAATTCAATTACATTGAGTCTTTGAAGTTCATCGAAGATCCACTGCTGTACGCCGAGATGTCTGATAAGGTTGAGGTATTGAAAGATTACTTTGACGATCTCATCTGTGTGGGTATAGCCTAAAAATTTAAGGATTGAGGCGTTAGCAGGTAATAGTAATTTATCTCATATTAATATTCAACCAGAGTTGCAGGTTAGAACCGTACAATTCCTTGATAATTTATAAGGTTTTTCTAACAAAATCATACACATTTTAATAAACCCCCACAAATTATCAAGGAATTGAACGGTTCTCACCTGTGCATAGGTGGGTGTATCGCAACCCTGTATCCAACTAACCTTCATCAGTCAAATCAACTTTAATCTCAAAGAATCCAAATCCATTAGCATACTTGACATGATCACAGTTTAATGAATTGCTCCAACGCTGTTTTTTTAATTCTGATAACACTGATCCTCGACCTTCATGACCCAGTAGATTAATTATGTATTGGTCGGGCTGGAACGAAGATAAACAGAAATTTTGTAGTCGATCAAGATATGCTTTAACAGCAGGACAGGTTATTATTGGTTGCAGTTTGTGCTTTAGAGTGTCAACTCATTCTAAGCACCGCCACAGAGAAGCCTACTCACGTTAAACAGTCGATAATAACTCACCTTAGACTTATAATACCTTAACAGACATGGCGTCTGAAATTGAAGTGTCATGGACCTCACATCCTTAATTGGAACAATCAATGTCTTCGTCATCATTGACTCTGCACTGAAAACTTTGTCACTCCAACTTGGAACCTCAATTTTCAAATTTTTAATCCCATCCTCAAAATATTTTTTCACAATTTTTTCAAGGTCATCCAGTGGTTCCTTCCCCAGCACAGCCAAGTTCATTAAATTCCCAGATTTATAAAACTTTTTATGAAACTCCTTCAATTCTTTACAAATATCAGCTCGACTTAATGTTTTCGTACTTCCAGTTCCAAATTTTGAGTAGTCATGATCCTGAATAGCTAGCTTTTTATTGACCATCCGTACACGCCAAGCATCCGATGCTAAATTCTTCTCATGCTCACTATTGACTGCGGAAATTTCACGCATGACTGACTCGACATTGAAAAGTGGAGCAATGAACATTTGTGAAAATCTGTCGATCGCTTCCTCAAACTTTTCTGGCAGAATGTCAAAGAAATATTTTGTCACGTCTGCGAAAGTTTGTGCATTTGCGTAGCCTCCGTTTTCACTTAAAAAGAGTCGGAAGTCGTTGTCGGTTGGGAATTTTTCAGATCCAAGGAACAATGTGTGCTCGCAAAGATGAGCTAGACCTGGAATATCTGTTGGATCTGACATGTGACCGACTTCGATGCTGATGCATGCTGCTGACTTTTGAGCTGTTGGATCTGAGATTAGAGTTGCTTTGAGGCCATTTGGGAGAATTATTGCGCGGTAGCTTTTGGCATCTTGTTGGGATTTTTTGATGTTTGAGATTGTTTTTTGGGACTGTGGTGGGGATTCGAGGATTGGTGGGGTTGGTGGGTCGATGGATTTATCTGATGGACGTCTTTTGAAGCGAAGTTTGTGACGAAATTGATTTTTTAACTCTTCTGTGAGTATTGTGGTTGAATTTTGTCTTTTATGCATTTTATTGTTTTATTTATTTTTTAAATTTTTTGTTTTTAAATAATTTGAACTTTTTAAAACATTTTAAATTGTTTAGTTTTTTATATTTTTTAAAATTTACATTTATTTCAAATTTTTAATAGTGTCTTAATTTTTGTAAAATTTTCTTAATTTCTTTTTCAGAATTTTAAAAAATATTTTAATGATTTACTTAACTTTGAAAATCAATATTTTTTGTCTTAGTTCTACTTCAACCAACTTTTGATAATCAAATAAATGAAATTATTGCTTTAATCAGTTTTTTTTGTTTATAGTATTATTTTTTTGAATGATGGCCAATAAAAAAAGAATGACTTAATTAGAAGCGTAAGTTGCTATTTTCAAGTTCATTACTACGTCTTTATATATAATGAATTTATTTTAATTTAAAAACTTATTTTACAATTTTTTGCTATTTTCTTGTTGCTTTTTCTTTTGATTCAACTTTAACATCACATGACATCCTCAATGACTCTTGATAATTTGAAATAAACGTGGTTTTGATTTTGAAAAAAATCTGCAATTTTTCTTTGGCATTTTTCTTCACGTTTTGCTCCCAAAATGTCCAAATGATGAAAATTTTTAAACAATTTCGACAAAAATTCACATAAAAGTTTTTAAAAATTCTCAAAATTTTTGGTTTTATTTTTAAAAAATGTGTAAATTTTTCAAACCGCCATTAAAAGATGTGATTTATTGTGAAATAATTAAATGTGAATTTCTTACGTTATTAATGTTAAATTCAGCGTAACAAATGAAGTTAAAATCGAAGATTAAGCATGTTTTGTGCATAACTAAACATAACTTGCAGAAATTGAAATTGAATAAAAATGTAAAATTTTTAAAAAATAATATTTTTGGATGCATGGGTTAAAATCATGGTTTTTTGCAAGTAAACATTAATATGTGAACAACAAACGTAACTACGATCCCAATTATAGCTAAAATGCTAAAAAGAATTGAGATGAAAGTTAAATTTCTAATTTTTCTTCTATTTTTCATGTCCTGAGCTTCGGCTTCTGCTTGGATTCTTGAAAGAGCTTCCTTCATTTCCGGAACAGTTTTGGCACTGAAAAAGTCAAAAAGCTTCTTAAAAATCCATCGAACTTCTTCAAGTCGTTGTAAATTATTTGCATAGTGCATCATTAAGTGAGGAACTCGAACAATCAACTCCAAATGCTGTTCTTGTGCTGGATAGCCGGAATAAATAACCTTAATGATATCTTCTCGTTCACAATTTTCTTTACAGAACCTTGAAATTACTTCAAAATCCTGTTCAGTTCCTGAATCACTAAACGAGTATGGATTCGCAAGGTTCTTGTAGACCAGATTCATAGCGTAGTGACAAAGCTCATGTGCTAATATCCCAAGAGCTTCAAATTTTTTATTTGGATTAAGCAGCTGCTTTGCTGCAATATAAATTCGTCCAAATAAATAGCACAATCCTTGTATCTGTCCATCGGTTGTTGGATCAATGTGTTCGACTGAATTTTGGTTGAAGTCAAATACGATACGGAAGTTCCTTGATGCTGCTACGACCATCAAAATAATTTGAATGCATGGATTTTGGTCCAAGATTTCAAATGCATTTTTGGTGATTTTATACTTTTGATCGTGTTGAGTAGTGCCAGGTGCTAGTCGAGAGTTGGATACCAAGACATGCATATGATTGTCAGGAAGGAATTTAGATTCTGTGTAGTGAATTTCACGTAACTTCTTTCGGTCCTTTTTCTTTATCATTTTTTTAAATTCGCTGAAATCTTCATATAGACCAAAAACTACATTTTTGGAAACTAAAATACTATATATGTCCCAAAGCTTGTTCTTCAATGCAAATGCTGGTGCTGATTGGTTACATAAATCGTAAAAATGACGCATTTGTGGATTTTTATTTAAAATTTCCAGAACTTTTAATGAATCCCTTTTAAGCATAGCTTCATTTAGACTTGAACTTATATTAGCAAATTCTTTAATATTATCTGGACAGTCCTGGATTTCGATTGACTGAGGATATCGCAAATTTGCATTCAAAAGTGCAAGCAAGACGTCAAAATGTCGTTTATTGTATGCTAAAGTTTGTGCATTCATGCCTTGACATTCAGCAGTAAAAGACGCATCCAGCAGGAAGTTCACAATGTAAAGATCACCAAGCTCAGACGCTATGAGAAGTAAATTAAAGTTGCGATGATCAGCAAGAAGATGAAGTTCAATTTTTGTTGAATATTTTGTTATAGGAACTGCACTGTGAAGCCCTAAAATGTATTTTTTGATTAGTATGTGTTTGGACAGATGAAGTTTAATCTAAAGATAAAGTTAAGGAAGGATTGGACAATATGTTGTACTTAGATGCCTGTAATTTAAACTTAATGAGCCGATTTTTGTCGAGTTAAATTTATGTTCAGCTTGAAAATTGATTTATTTCGTACATCTAGTAAAACAAGTCGGATTTAATGGGACCTCAAAAGAGACGATCTCTGACCACTCAATTAGAGATCCCTGCCACTCGGCAATCGAAGTCCTTATCTCACTTTGGCTATCCGTCATACACATACAACCAGTTTCACTGCGAGCCCTATACTTAGGACTATCTACTAGTTGTCAGATAAGCACTTACCCAAATGACCGAATCTCAATGAACTAGCAACAAAGTCAGCAATAAACATGAGCATCCTCAAATCATTAAAACATTCACAGCTATCATAAAGTTTAAGTTCCAAAAAATGTTCAATTTTGTTCGATTTCCAAAAAAGATGAAACCTTTTAACATTTTTTGTGATCAAAAACAAGACAATTGAGTTTTTCGAGCACTTTTTAGCCAATTCATTTAACTCTGTTTGATTTGGTTTGTTGGAAATTTCATGAATTTGCAGTTCAAATAACAATACATTTTGATGGTTATTGAGCAGTTCCAGTACTTCTGCAGATTCGAAATAATCATTAACATTTTCAACAAGGACAAAATGATCAATTGTGGTTGTTGCAACTGTTAATGTTCTTTGTATTGTGACCATCTCAATGGTTTCTTGAAATAAACAACAAAATTAAAGTTTATTAAAATTAAATTTAATCTTTTTTGAAAATTAGAATAAAAAGGTTAAAAGTTTAAAATTGAACTAAGAAATTAGTTTCCATTGAGTGAAAAATTGTGTCCCTTAATTGGAGTAAGTTTAATTTAATTCGTAGTGACAAAACTCATTCTTGAGTACAGAATTGACTCTTTTCAAGCTCTGTTTGGAACCAAGGATAAGATTTATTTTTAAAATTCACTAAGGGAATCTATGTATATTATAAAAGCCCAATTCAGTGACTCACTGACTCTAGAACGAAAGCCATGTGAAGCCATTTGTGAATTGGTGTGAATTGGGGGTAGCCAATAATTTTGGGAGTGTTGACAAGGTGGGTGTAAGGTGTGGAGTAAGGTTTGTCCAAATTTGAGGGGTTTTGTGAAGTCATGTGAAGTTTTGTGGTAGGATTGACCTTAAAAACATTATGGTAATTTGCGTCTTACAGTTATTTACATAAAAGTAATCAAATATAAACCCAGTTAACAGGCGCCATGGGTATATAATAACAAGTGAATTGCACCATGAGAAGATTTGAACTAAATATTTGAAAATAAACCTCAGGAAAAGGGAATATTTTTGAGGGAAAGCGGTGAATTTCTTGAGATTTTGTGATATTTCAAACAAAAGAATTTGTACCAAAGGGGGCAGAGAGGATGTTGAAAAATAAATTATTTACCATTAATAAAGATGTACAAGGCGCCAACTCTTTTTTTTACGTTTTTTAATCATCATTTGAGTCATTCCAAAATATATTATAAACAAAAAAAAAATATTGTTGCAAATATAAACGCGTGATGATTAAAAAAGATAAAAAGTATTACTTTAGTATTACGCATAGAGCAACTTGAGAGCAATCCGAAAATATTTGATTATTTTTTTGGGAATTTTTTTTGTAACACATTCTTTTAATATTAACCATTAAAATAATTGTAAAAAAAATTATGACACATAAAATGAGCCTCTATAAAAGTAAACTTATTCGAAACCATGACAAAGTGTTTTTTGGGATCACAAAACAGGCACAGTGGCCAAGATTGATGGAAATGAACTGGATTTACTACAAAATAAATTGCCAAAGTTTTTGGTGTCAACAAATGGTGAAATGGCATCAGTGGGCTTAGTGGTTTAAGAAGCTCTTTTTCCATTTCACCGCTCTAGTTCCGAAGCTCGGTTCATGTGATTGGTGAAGTTTTGAAGTCTTCGGCACATAAAGTGTCTCCTTTGCTAGGTATACAAGGATATACTAGCATCTGCTGTATTTGAAACTAGGTACATTGCAGGATACATAAATGGACTCGTGTCTTTGCAAAGTACACAGATTGCAAGTGGTTAGTATTTCACTATAAACTGAAGGTCTAAAGGGTGTGGTACCTTTTCTAACGTGGGAAGATTGAGATCAAAAACGTGTCTTTACAAGCATTAAAGCAAATAAACTTGATAAGGTCACTAGAGTCCTTAACATCCCGAACTAACATTGGAGTTTAAAGGATAGAATTGTCAAAGATCTCTAATCTACCTGCACTCAAAGTCAGGCAAGGAAGTAAGAGAAGCATATAAAGTTGTATAAAACTTAATAAATAAAAAGCTTTTGACCAGAGATCGAAGCCGATTTTTTCGGCTTAACTCAATTTTTGATTTTTTTGATATAAAAAAGCCATGTTACACCCATTTTAAGTATTTAAATTAAACTTCACATGTTTTACTATGATTCTGTGTAATATTTTGTCAGCATGTAGCTATAGTAAGCTCAAAATTTCAAGTTAGCCGATTTTAAGCCGATCGGCTTAAATTTCGGCTTAAAATTGGCTAATTTGAAATTCTGAGCTCACTATAGCTACATGCTGACAAAATATTACACAGAATCATAGTAAAACATGTAAAGTTCAATTTAAATACTTGAAATAAGTGTTAAATGGCTTTTGTCTATCAAAAAAATCAAAAATTGAGTTAAGCCGAAAAAATCGGCTTCGATATCTGCTTTTGACTAGTACTTTTACTTTGAATCTCAGTTTAAAACATGAATCGTGTACTTACCATTCTCAATTGTGCTGGAATCATTGAAGCTTCTGTTAAGAAACTTTCTAATTCTTTTATTCCAAAAATTATTTCGACTCATTTTTATTCACTTTCATCTCACAAAAAAAAGGCCAAATTTTTTAAGTCTTGTTTGAACTAAAGTTGATGTGAAACTAAAACATCTGATGAAAAAATTCAATCATATTTGCTAAAAATATGCGATAAGGTAATAATGACTAAAGTTGAATACGAATAGACTGACCATCTATTTGGTTTTTAGAGTGCAGTTCTTAGTTTTTATCATTTTTCAAAAATATTTTTTTTTTGTTTTAATTCGTCCAGAAAATGAATATTACAGAGAATCTGTAGTAGATAGGCCTGAGCAAATGGCTTGCGTTGAACTGGTTATATGTGCATGACGGATAGCAGAAGTGAGATAAGTACCTCGGTAGCCGAGTGACAGGGATCTCTGATCGAGTCATCAGAGATTGCCTCTTTTGAGATAATAAGTTCGATTCCTATCGAACCCAACTTGTTTTACATTAGGCACACATATGGCAACTATAGGGAGATCTACAGAATATCCTTTATTTTAATTTCAGGTCCTCTATTTTTCCAATAAAATATCTAGTTACGCCTAGTTGAATATGCATAAGTTATGATCCAATATTAAGCGCAATGCCTTATCTGTTGATGAAAAGAATCTTTTTATTATTAGTGATTATAATGATCCTTAGGAGAAAATAAGGAAATTTTCATTGTTTTATTAATCATTTGACACCAAAAATTATGTCAAAGGCCAGTTTCATGGGCTCCATGTGTGTCTTAACCTTGAATCGAAAATTGTATCGCGAAATAATTCTAAAATTGATAAAGAAATAAATTCTTAAACCTTTCTTATCTTAAACTCATGAAATTTTAAGGAATTACAGAATTTTTTTAATTATTGACATGGATGCATCAGGATTAGATTAAAATAAATCAAAAGTTTTCAATTAAGGACAGGAAATTTCGTAAGCAACCGATATAAATCAAAGGACACCCATAATGGTGTAAAGTATCCAGTTTCATCTCAACTATAAAATAAGACTTGATATAAAAAATTCCTCAGTTTTCAATTTTTAATATGATTTTAAATTTTTCTAGTTTTAAAATGTAATAAAATGTGTTTTTTGAGATTCTTTTTGACTTTGCTATATTTCCCACATAGGTCACATTGGACGAGATGTTTTGGGTGCACAGTTAACATGTGATGGCTCAAACTTTTCTTAGATTTGCAGAATGTTGGACATTTTTGGCATTTGAATGGATTAATCATTACTGCCACTTTCTTCTCTACACGTTCGTGCATTTTATAGTGACGTTTAAGACTTGTATTGTTATCTGTTGCAAAATCACACTTTTGACATTTGAGCAACATTAAGCGATTTTTATCGTGAGTTTTTTGATGACTTTTTAAATTTTGTTTTTGTTTGAATTTTTTGTCACATATTTCACATTTAAATTTCATTGTATACTCATGAATATGCTTAATATGATCATTTAGTCTTTGTTTACTTGGATAAAGTCCTGAACAATATTTGCAACTGAATTTCTTGTCATGAACCCGAATGTGCAAATCTAAATGTTTCTGAATTTTGAAACTTTTTGGACACATTTTGCATTGAAATTTACGAAAGTTTTCGTGGACAGTTCGAATGTGTCCATTCATGCTTCTTTCATTTAATTCGACTTCACAAAATTCACATTTTATTTTTAATCGATGAACCTTCATATGAAGTGTTATGCACTGCTTGTTTTTGAAACTTTTTCCATCGAAATCACACTCAAATTTCTCATTTACATTAAAAAATTCTTTTCCATGCAATCCTTCCATGTGCTTCATTAAACTTTTTGTGTTTAGAAATTTTCGATTGCAAATGTCGCAGCTAATTTTGATCTTTTCTGAATGCAATCTATTAACATGGTCTGTGATGTAGTTTTGGCTTAATTTTTTATTACAAAATTTGCATTGGACTTGAGTTAACTCTTCTTTTATGTTTAACGATTTTTGGTCACTTTTGATCTTCAGAATCTCTTTTTTAATGTCTTTCAGAATTGTTTGGCTGTTACTTTTTTCGATCTCATCCAAATCTATATCAAAACGTTCTTCCTTTTCATTCTTAATTTGTGGTAATGATCTTGGATCTTCTTGATTTAAATCACACTTTGTAAATAATTTTGGTTCAATTTTAAAATAATCTGAAATTTTCTTTGACATTTTTAGACACTTGTGTGTTGTTTGGTTGCTTTAAAACTTCCAACTGATGGGCAAAATATAAATTTTTGACAATCTTATATCAAAATTATGCAAATAAGTTTCAGACGAATCTCAAAAATTTGTTTTTAATTTTCAAAAGTTTTAATAATGAGTTTAAAAATTCTTATGAAATCTTCACATTAAGTATTTTCCATCTACGTTCTCAGGCCGACTTTACAGTTGCATAAAATGTGAGATTTCTATAAAATTGAACCAAAATTCAAACAAAACTGTAAATTAAATCAAAAACATACAAGAACAGCAACAGAAGTCAAGAACAAAAAGAAGGAAAATTTTGAAAGAAATTTGGATCAAAGTGAATCTGAAGATTATTCAATTTCACTAAACATCAGCACATGGCAAGGAAAAATGCAACATATCAACAAAGACATTCAAAATTAAGACGTTAAAAATTCAAAAATGAACGAGAATTCAAGCCAAGATCATTACAAAGAGAAGAGTCAAAAAATCGCAACATATTGAGATCGAACATTCAAAATAAATGCAAAATATGTCAATTAACACATCATGAAGAAACACATCAAAGAAGTTCATACAAATGCAAAGAGACTTCAATGCAAAATTTGTCAACAATATTTTAAAACTAAATCCATATTTCGTGACTTAATAAAGCCTTTAAGTGTCGAATTCATCTTATAATGTTCAAAACTAGCGTAAAGAATTTTGACAATTTTCCATCCTCAGTTTTGAATGTTTTCGACTCAAAAATTATTCGACATTTTGTTTATCGTTTGCCAATCTTCAAATATTTTCAATCTACTCTCAATTTATAGTATTTTCGCACATTTTACAATATTGCCATCAACAAAAAAAAATAAAAAATATTGTAAACCCCCTAAATTGGAGTGTAAATTCGTTATTTAATCAATTCTTTATTACAGGATGCTTTAACATTGTTTAATTACAATGTTAACATTTTGTTTAAAACATGCGAAAGGAAATGGATTTTTAGACCTTTTTTGGTATGTCTGATTATTTGCTATAAAAGCTCTGTTAATCAAAAGTTTCATACTTATATTTAGTTGACTAATCGATCTTTTGAATTTAAATAAAAATTGTGTAAAATGAAAGTTAATTCCTTTTGGATTGTGGCAGTTCTTGTGATTAGTGAGTATTTAAAGAGTGTTGAACAAGTTTACTTCGTGGATTAAGCTTAACCTTAACCTACAACAGTAGAATCTTCGAGTGGACATTAGACACATATATAATACTTACCCCTTCAGATAATCACAATTTTTCATCAGCATGTCTAGTCATAAACTAGATATTCAAGTCATTTGTCTACAGATGCTCAAACTCAAACGGATGTCCTAATGTAGAGCAGAGTTGGCAGGACGCTGAGCGCTCGGACGGTAAAAACGCTAAACGGCGGACGCTTTTTGACTGCAGCCGGTAGTTTTTTTTTTGCCGGCAACCGGCAAAAACGGCTACCGACATTGCCGGTCGCCGGCAAAAACGGCGACTGGTAAGACGCTGAGCGTCCAAAAAATGAAAATTTTAGAAAATTTTCTATTAACGATGAAAAATGTTGGGAACATTGATTTAAAATTATGAAAATAGTTTTGAATGATTAAAAATTGTAAAAGAAAATAGAAAAATTATTTTAAAAATGGAAGAAAATTTGAAATTCATGAAAAATGATAAAAAATTACGAATAAACTATTTTTTTAAGTTAAAGTTGACTTAAAACATTCATTAAACTTCTAGTTCTAATTTGTTTCTTTTTCTTTCTTCACATATATTTGTGTAATTTTCGAAATAGGTTTAAGTTATTTTTTATATATATGTTATATTATATATGTTATGTTATATATTATATCGGAGTTTATAACTTATCATTCAAAAGAAAATAAACTTCAACGATAATTTTAAAAAAAGATAAGATGATTTTTAAATGAATAGAAAGGAAATAAAATGTTTGAAATAATGCTCCTTGGAAAATTACAAACAATAATTTTAAAAGTTCTGAATTAATATAGGAACTATACTTTTGATAAAGGAAAGCTTCAAATCTCAAACAAAAAATCTCATCACATTAACCAAAAATAAAACCTGCTCAATGTTTTAAACTAAATTTTGAGATTCAGGACTAAACAGTATAAAAGAAGATGCAATCTAAACCAAAGTTGAGAATTTCTCAAGAATTCAAAGGATTAACACCTAAGAATATGACGAAAACAAAAAATCAAAAATTGGTGAAAGATTCTACGGAATCTGTAACCCAGCAAAGATTTCAACAACAACGTATTGTTCGTAATCGAGAAGCAAGCCAAAATTCTAGTAAGTCCACCGCTAGTGGGAGTACATCGAAACAGCCAACTCGAGTTGGAACAACTAGAACATCCGCTCCATCAATATCAGGAAGAAAACAAATTGGGGAAGGTAGTCAAATCAGACAAACCTCTCCACGGCAACAAGTTGGGGGAGAAGTTCCAACTAGAACTTCCGCTCCACGTACACAAGTTAGGGGAGTTGTTCCAACTAGAACATCTGCTCTACGTACACAAGTTGTGGGAGTTGTTCCAACTAGAACATCAGCTCCATCGACATCAGGAAGAAAACAAATTGGGGAAGGTAGTCAAATCAGACAAACCTCTCCACGGCAACAAGTTGGAGGAGTTGTTCCAACTAGAACTTCCGCTCCACGTACGCAAGTTGGGGGAGTTGTTCCAACTAGAACTTCCGCTCCACGTACACAAATTGGGGGAGTTGTTCCAACTAGAACTTCCGCTCTACGTACACAAGTTGGGGGAGTTGTTCCAACTAGAACATCTGCTCCATCAACATCAGGAAGACCACAAGTTGGGGGAGTTATTCCAACTAGAACATCTGCTCCATCAACATCAGGAAGACTACAAGTTGGGGGAGTTGTTCCAACTAGAACATCTGCTCCATCAACATCAGGAAGACCACAAGTTGGGGGAGTTGTTCCAACTCGAACATCCGCTCCATCAACATCAGGAAGACCACAAGTTGGGGGAGTTGTTCCAACTAGAACATCTGTTCCATCAACATCAGGAAGACCACAAGTTGGGGGAGTTGTTCCAACTCGAACATCTCGAGAGAGATAATGAAGAAGACCACGAGGAATCAGGAGGGGAAGAGATTCCAGAAAATGAGCGACCTAATGAAGATGACGTAGCTAACCGAGCAATAAATCTCGCAGAACTTAACGAGAGAGTTAAGGGGGACTATGATCCGTCAACAAAATCAAGTCAGTGTAATCGTTGCAATGGAAAAATCAAGGGAAACATTAGTCACCTAAAGGACCACCTGACATCGAAGCACAAAATCATCGCACGAACATTAGGATTAGAGCCAAGAAATCGAAGCAAACGTCCGAGAGAAGTAGACGAAGAAGAACCACTACCTAAGAAACTTAAAACAGTCAGCATTAACAAAACAATCAGAGAACTGATCGAATTCTTCTTAAGCTCAAACATATCTTTGAACTGCGCAGAAAGACTAAGAAAAGTTGAAATTGTTCAAAGAGAGTTCGATGCTTACAATAAGGTCTTCAATCGAAAGAAGCTCCGAGAATATATTCTTCAAGCAGCAGGAGAAGACACAGAGAATGACATAGAGGACATCCAAGAACCATTAAAAGGAATCTACAAAGAGATTGCAAATGAGACTAAAGGCAAGTTAGTATCAATAATGTTCGACTCTGCATCAAGACATGGAAGACACGTCTTTGCAGTGAGTCTGCGCTACGCAAAGGGAGACAAAGTAGTTGAGCGTACCATAGGAGTCATCACTCAACATCAACGACAAACAGGAGCGAACCTCTTTAACCAAGTAGAGCTACTACTCAGGAAAGTTGGTTTGACGATCAACGACATATACTCAACATGCACCGACCAAGGAGCTAATATGCTCAGAGCAGCTGATTTGGCAATACAGGCGCAAGATGCTATCAGAATATGCCGAGCAATAGCAAACCTTGAGCATGAAGAAGAAATAAACATCGACGAAGCACAAGCAGCAGAGCGAGCAGAAGAAATAGATGTAGAACATATGCTTCGTGTAGAGGCAGAACTCGATCGTGAGTGGGATGAACAACAACAACAACATCTGCATGATGAACAGGAACAGGAAGATCCAGAGCCATTAGTTACAGAAGTCATGGTAGACGAAGGAGCTCTGTGTTCAAAAATGGTTTGTGGTGCGCACACATGTCAACTCGCAGTAACAGACGTCATCATCGATTTTAGGATGGTCATAGCAGAAATACGAGCTGTTGTGAAGGCATCAAAGAGACTTGAGTTCTCTCAAGTTCTTCATGCTGCAAGAATCAGAAGCCTGCGCTTGGACGTCGAAACAAGATGGGACAGTTTGTATGGGATGATTAGCGACGTCAATGAATTCAGAAATCAGCTCCAGGAAGTTGCGTTTACACACGAAATACTTGCTCTCAATGAAGACGCCTGGGAATTCATCGATGAATTCATCCAAGTGTTCATTCCAGTGCACTTTGCGATGAAGGAGTTCCAGAGAGCAGACATCACAATGAGTGAATTTTACATCAGCTGGGTGAAGATGGAGCTCGAAATCTCTGGTGTTCCACTTGGTGACGAAGAAATTAAAGACAGACTACTCGAGGCATTGGAACGACGTAAGAGAAGGTTCTTTGAATGTGACGCCTTCATCGCAGCACTTCTTTTAGATCCTCGTATCAACTGGTCAAATAATCAAGAAGATTTCTTTGGCCCAGAACTACTGGAAAGAGGAATGGTGCATATCGAAAAAATTCACCAGGTACTTATCAACAGAGGACAAGTTGAGCAACTAGAGGATCAAAATCGAGATCAACAAAACGTCATTTATGAGGCATTAGATCAACGACTAGGAGGTGGTCGACGAGGACAAGATCAATCATGGCAAAACATAAACCAGCGATTGACCATTCGCCAACAGATCAACAGGTTTCTAGCAGAGATAAGAATATCATCAGGTGCTAAGTTAAACCCGCAAAAGTACTGGTACAACAAACGTGATGAAGAACCAGAAATCTACAAGGTGTCTCAGGTTGTCTACGGGGCTGCTTTTTCACAGGTCAAGGTTGAGAGAGACTTCAGTGGTTTCGCTCTTGTCCTTAACCACTTGAGGACGTTATTAGCAGACAACATGCTCAACGCAATCATGGTTTGCAAGTACAACTTAGACTTGTTACAAAAAATCAAATTTTTCTAAAATTACAAAAGGAAATAGAAGCTTAAAAACCAAGACAACCTAGACTTAGACTGTCAAAGCATAAACAAAAAATCAACAAAACGGAAATAGAGAATGAAAAAATTAGACTTAGACACACTTAGAAAAAAAGACGAAATAGAAGTTTAAAGAAAAAAAAAACAGAAAAAAAACAAAAAAAAAACAAAAAGAAAAAAAGACGAAATAGAAGTTTAAAGAAAAAAAAAACAGAAAAAAAACAAAAAAAAAAACAAAAAAAAAAACAAAAAAAAAACAAAAAAAAACAAACAAATCAACTTAAACGTACTTAATAACAAAACAGAAAGAAGTTTAAAAAACAAAAAAAAAAATTTCGACTTAACAAAAAAAAACTTACACTTAAAAAGAAAAATAGTTTAAACATAGTAATAAAAATAAAAATTTAGAATCTGCAGCAATTATTTTATCGTTTGTTATGATTTTCGTTTTTTACCATTTTTCAAAAAAAATTTTTACAAGTTTTAATCATATTTAACTACTTTTATTATTTTAAATCAACATTTCCAACATTTTTCATTGTTAATAGAAAATTTTCTAAAATTTTCATTTTTTGGACGCTCAGCGTCTTACCAGTCGCCGTTTTTGCCGGCGACCGGCAATGTCGGTAGCCGTTTTTGCCGGTTGCCGGCAAAAAAAAAACTACCGGCTGCAGTCAAAAAGCGTCTGCCGGCAATGCCGTCTGCAGGTTTTGCCTGTGGACGCTTTTCAGCACGCTTCCAACTCTGATGTAGAGCAACTAGAAAGGCTATTTTAATCGAAATTTTGTATACAGTTGCCTAAACTCATTTGAGTTCATAAATTATTTCCATGGCACCACTGTCGCTTGATTATCAAACTTAATCCCAGTTTGGTTTAATTCCATTTCAAAAACACCTTTAATGTATTCTATACTACTTTGATCTGAAGAGTTCAACTTCTTTAAAATGTTATAAATTCAGCATTAAAGTTCCTTACTATTCTATGGTCTTTAACACTCAACATGTCACTTCTTAAACGTCTGCCTTTACCCTTAACCATCTCAAATTTGTCAATTTTACAGCAATATCATCATCAACAATCGCTGCGAATTGCACAAAGTCCAACACAACCTGCACTTCTGGAAAAGTCTTCAACACAACATCATGCAAATGTAATTGTCCAGCTGTTACTTGCACTAAGCCAATGGCCCTCAATACAAAAACTTGTGGTTGCAGCTGTGGATTATCATCATGTCCACGTGGCTCTGTCTTAGATGCTGCTAGTTGCAGCTGTAAATGTAACGCAACTACCAAATGTCCAGACAATAAAGCAGTAAATTCAACAACCTGCAAGTGTGAGTGCTCAAATCCTGAGCCATGCAAGTCATTCTATGCTTTGAATGAAACATCATGTGGATGTGACTGTGCACTTCGTAGTTCTCATTGCTCATGGCCTCAAGTTTTAGACAAAAAGGCTTGTAAATGCAGCTGCAACAAAACTGCAACCTGCACAAATTCAAGAGTTTGGGATGATGAGTACTGCCGCTGTAAATGTCCCAAAAAATTGAAATGTCCATCTGGATCTTACTGGAATGACACAACATGTAGCTGTAGCTGTTACATCCGCTCATGTTTAAAACCTCAGGTGCTTGATAACAGCACATGCAGTTGCACATGTCCAAACATTACGACATGTCCATCTGGACAAACTTTTGACAACCGAACATGCTCATGTCGATGCTCACCAAAAAAATGTCCATCAAATTACAGATTCAATTCAACAACCTGTAGCTGTGACTGTGGAATTACAAAGTGCAACAGCAATCAAGTTTTGAATGCAACTTCATGTAGCTGTGGATGTAATCCAGCTAAAAAAGCTGCATGCAATGGAAGTATGACTTGGAACAATAATTATTGTCAATGTAGATGTGAGAAGATCAACGATCGCTGTCCATCCTATACACGAATGAATCGAACAACTTGCAACTGTGATTGTGCTTTAAGTCCAAGCTTATGTAGAGCACCACAAACTTTATTGAAGGATAAGTGTACTTGTGGATGTGTAAATGCAGCAGATAGCTCAACTTGTGCCAGTGGACAAAGTTGGAGTAAGTATCGAAATTATTTATTGATTTATGACCTAGAGTTTGCACAAGAATCAAGGAATGCACCTACAATAGTGTCTTTTGCTTCTTATTTAAATCCTTTCTATTAATAGACAACGACACGTGCTCATGCGGTAGTGGATCCAGTTCATCAAATCCATCAAAATCGGCTCCTGAACAGCCAACTGAAGCTCAAGTTGAACCTGAAACTGAATAAATTTGCCTCTTGTTTTACCAAACTTCTCAAAAATTTCTTTCTGAGTGTCTTATACCTTGAGACATTTTTTTACATTCCTTGCTAGATTTTATACATTAAACACAAAACTGTGACCAATTATTCAATAACCGTTATCCTCAATGAAAATATTTCTATTAATGAAGTTTAAAACTCTGAATACGACCAAACGTAGTCCTTAAAAATGTAATAAAAACAATAGCAATTAGCACTTTTTCTGAAAGTACACCAACAAATTTGGTTATTATTTTTTGGTGGGAAGGGTTGACTTTAACCATAGCTGTAGTCAAGGAAGTGGCTATTAAGAAAAACCGCATTTTTGGTTTAATATATAGAAAATTTGCTAGAATTTAATTTTTCAACCAAAGTTGATGATCATTATAAACCAGAGCTTAAAATAGACCTTATTTTGTAGCGCATCATCAATTGTTCCGGTTGTGGTATGATAGACTTATCAATAAAGGTAAAGGAGGTTAAAACAAGGAGGGTTGAGCAAATGATTCAACCTCTTTTCTGAACACAATCTATTTTTGCTTTGCTCCATCTCTGGTGTGGGTTTCATGGTATAAACCTAAACCTACACCTTCTACCTCGTGAATGCACTAGTGTATACCTTAGGATAGGCGTTGGTGTGTACGCAGTGGAGATGTAGGGTGCAGATACCAAAAAACCCACCCTTGGATCCAATGCACCTGACTATTAGTCTCCACCATAACAATAAAAATCAAAATAAATAAAAATATTTCTATCTTTACAGCTCAATGTCTGAAAGATCACACTTACAGTTATTTATAGGAAATTTTAATTTTAAGTTCTTTTACCTCGAGACAAAAAATAATTTTATTATATACTTTGCTTCTTATTTTTCTGAATTAGATAATTTTCACTTATTAAACAATCAATAACAAAATATTAAGTAAGTCGAATTAAATCATTTGTAATCAGTAAGTTGTTAAGTTCAGATCTATTAAATTAAAAGTCTTAGAAAAATTGAAATGGGATTTGAATTTTTTTAATTTTAATAGTTGTGACTTGAGTTATTGATAATTACATTGTGAACTTGCGGAAAAGAGATCTTAGGGAACTTAAGGAACTTAAAGAACTTAGGTCTAAATAAAGATGACCTCAAAGTACTTGAAGAAATGACAGTTGTGCTATAAAATTCAATAAATTGAACATCAATTAAACAAATGAAACTAAAATATGGTCAAAATGGACCAAAAAGACAGTTGAAGTGAATAAGTGTGCATAAATAATGCAACTAGAGGCCATTGATAAGGCTTGCTGAAGATTCTTGAACAATACAGTGCTAAACTTAATAATTAACTATTAAAATATCAAACAGCGACTTTAAAATCTCAAAACATTCAAAAAATCATTTAAATAAGCAATTTTACGTCTAAAAAAATCATTCCCAACCTCATTGAGGTTCAAAACTTCCTCTCCCACCCAATAGTTCACCTAAGTGCGCACCTAAACACCCCCAGTTCCCCAAAAATCTTCCTATGAACGAAATCAGCAGCTACGAAAAATATTTCAAAATGAAAATTCTTTGGTATCGTGAGTTTGAAGCTACTTTCGAGTATGTTCATAGCGCGGTGCCATGTCTTGACTACTTGCCCATGGAAATTCTCATCAAAATTTTCTCACATTTAAATCCATCGGACATGCTATGCATTGGATTGACTTGTAAGAGATTCTTGGATGCTCTTCAGTATCATGCATTTTCAAAATATTGGATATTAAGTTTCTGTGAGCGGTATACGTCCAACTTTGCAATTCCTTACTATTTATTCACATCTAAATGTTGTCAACGGACAGTTCCAGCAGTTGCTATGTATTCAGCACAGCTTGATGAGCCAACTGTTGAGGATTTTTGGGAATTTTATGGCCACAATTTACACGAAGTTCAATTTTTGAGTGGACTTTTGAGGAAGGAAGAGTTCGCTAATGTCATGAAATATACAAAAAATGTCAGAACCATAAGAATCGAAGCAAACAGCATGTTCAAGAACTGGACGATCCAAAAGTGTGGCTACGACCCACTTAGACGCATTCTCTTGTATCATTGCCGACATTTTGGACTAGCGAGAAACAGTTTTTTATCACCAGACATTTTTGAGTACCTGATGATGACCGTACCCAATGTCACATCTATCGATCTATCGAATTGTCTCTCAATCATGAATCCACCTGAAAGAAATCGATTTCTTGATCATGTCCTCGCCTACATCAACGAAAATGCGGAACAAATAAAGTCCTTGAATTTCGCAAATACGCCGACTGATGATTTGTTCCTCGACAGACTTGGTCGTATTGACGATTTGAAGCTCAAGGAACTTCACTTAACATTCACGGGTTCGACGAAAAATCCAGTTTTCGGAATTCCAATTTTAATCGCGTCACAAAATGAGTTGGAAAAGTTTGACTTGACTGCATCGCCATGTGCCAACGACTTAATTGTGAGGATGATTTGTGGATGCATGAAGAATATGAAGGTGCTGTTGCTTAAGAAGTGCCATAATTTGACTGATCATGGTGTAAAGGAACTGTGTAAATTGAAACATTTAAAATCTTTGGAAATATCTGACTGCGATTACGTCACAGACGTTGGAATCATGGAAGGTGTGCTGTCTGGTGATCCAAAAGATAAAATGGAGGAACTAAGGCTTAGTGTAATGACAAATTTGACTGAAAACATCATTTTTCGAATGTCTTACTTCTTTCCAAACTTAAAAGTGCTAGACCTTGGAGGCGTATCCAATGCAGTCACTGACATTTCAATACAAATGATCTTTAGACACATGAAATATTTGAGATTCCTGAATGTCGAGAGTTGCTGCAAATTGACAGATTTTGGATTTACTGGACTTGAGTCGACTTACGCTAAGAGGATGCATTCATTGAGGAATTTGAAAGGTCTGCAGGTGCTAAGGGCTAATGGACTTTATAAATTGACTGACTTTACACTTTCTGATGCTTTTGTGCTGAAGGAATTGAAGGAATTGTACGTTGCGAGGTGTAATGTGAGTATTAATTGAGGCATAGAAGTATATCCAGGGTAGACAATTGATTAAAGTACCGAAAAGATTCCACAATAGTGTAGAATTGACTGAGAACTTTGAGGTTAAAAATATTACCAAAAATTAATATCTAATCTCAATTTCCAGTTTACAATCAAAGGCATCACATCCCTAGCCGAGAACTGCCCATCTCTAGAAGTCCTTGATTTGAGCGAATGTAAAGCAATAGATGATGAATGTGTTGAAATAATTACAAAGAATCTGACAAGACTAAAAACTTTAAAATTTAACAATTGTGACAAAATTACAGAGAAAAGTATGGAAATTATTACAAATAATTGTGCGGATTTAAGGGTAAGTAGTTCAAGTTTTGTTTAATTAGCTATTAAATCCTATAATTTTCAAACATTTTTGTAGAATCTCTTTATAAGGAACTGCAAGTTAGATTTTGATCCATCGGACAATCTTGCGTACATGCGTGCACTAAGGAAGGTTGTGTCATAAAAATATCTTAATATTATGATAAAAAACTGAATATTTATTAAGTTTGATTTAAATAAAGCTCAAAAATCAATAAAGTTTATTTTTAATGTTAAAATTTAAATTGTTTTTTAAAAGTCATTGTCTTTTACTTTTGACATTTGAATAGTTTTGGCAATCAATTAAAAGTTTGACAAAGCTTAAAAAATTGAAAATTTGATTTTTGAATCTTAGCAAGTATTTTGATGTAAAGTCTATACAGCATAACTCTTCAATACTCAGAAAATATTTCAATACACATTCAAATAAAATTGAGAGAATGTTCTTTTGACTGATTAATCTCTGTGCAACCTCTGACACTGGCAGAGCTAATTTACATTTTTGAAAAGTTTTATTTCAAAATACCAAAAGATGAGCAGAATATATTTGTAAGTATCAGTCAATAAATAACATATTTAAATTTTCAAATGTTCCAAACATTTTCCCAGAGCTGTTGTGCTGTTCATGAACATCAATAGTGCTCTAGCATCATCTGCTCTTCAGTGCACATATGGATCCCATCATTATGAAGTTGTTAATGACATTTATCAATGTTCTGCAGATGTCAATATAAGCATAACAACCCAAGATTCAGCATGTATAAGCTCTGTAACAGGATCACATGTAGGAACCAAAACCAATGAAGGTGTGATTGGATTTCGTGCAGTAGGACAAAATATTCAATTCTTTCCATTAGGGCTACAGCTCCAATTCCCAAACATCGAGCTTATTCATCTTGAAAGTTGTCCATTAAAACACCTGCACAAGTCTGATCTAAAGGATTATAAAAGTCTTGTGTATCTATGCATTTTTAATAGCGATCTTTCGATCATTGAGGATGGAATATTTGATAATAATCAGCAATTAAAATTAATAAATTTTGGAAGTAATAAATTCTTAAATATTGAACCTAGTGCATTTAAAAATTTGGATAAACTTACTCATTTCTACCTGCATGCCGTACCATGCATTGTTAGATATACTAGAGACAGAAATGGAGTTGAATCCATTTTAAACAGCTTAGTAACCCAATGCAAAAATCCTGAATTCTTATCAATGCACAAAAAGTTCAAAAATTTAGAGTCTCGATCCACAAGTGAAGATATTAAGGAAGATTTGAAAGTACTTCAGCTAGAATTTCAATCTTCTGAATTTTCTGAAAATCCATCATTGAAGACTAGACTCCAAGAACTAAAGGTAGCCAAAATTGACAATCTTGGAACTCAAATCAGTTCAGATATGCAAGCTGCTAGTTTTAATAAAGGATTAAAGTTTGATAGTTGTCCTAGAACAGAGCTTATGTTTAATGGCATCAAATTACAACTTACTGATCATGACTCAAAGCTAGTAAATATTCAAAAAGTTATTGAATCTACTCAAAATTCCACAGCCAGTTCTATTGACAATATCATAAGTAGCATTAATGACATGAAGTCTTCATTAACCAAAGCTAAAGCAGAGCTTAAAACTGACATTCAGGCATCTCAAGTAACTTTAAAAGCTTCACAAGACATCATCAAGTCATCACAAGACGAGGTGATCAGCAATCTCAGCAATATTAAAATCACAGTCAGTGACGTCGAGTCATCATTGAGCAAGATCAAAGGGTCCCAAAATGAACTTCAATCGTCAATTAATAAGCTTCGACTGACTCAAAATGAGCTCGGTATAGCACTTGATAAAGTTGGTAAAAATGAAGATCTTGATGAGAAGTTATCCAAAATTGAGGTTGTTGAGGAACATCTGCTAGATTTTGAGGTTAAGACGAGTGAGAAATTTCAAGAAATTAAGCAAGACTTGGCAAGCAGGCATCATAAAATGGGTGTAAATATCGAGGAGAAGATCAAAGGAATTGAAAAACGGTTGATTAAGAAGTTTGAAGATATATTGGAAGAAAAGTTGAGAAAAATTCTAGACGAGAAGCTTGCAAATATTATTGGAGATCAAAAACTCAAGGATACTTAATATAAAATTTTGTTATTCCCCGTCTGATTTTTTCGTACGTCAGGCTTTGCAAGATTTAAAATTGAGAGCAAAATTCTCTCAACTGAGAATAATATTTACTCAGATTTATTCTTTCTTCATTCTTTAATCAGCTTTTGCATTATAAAGTTCACTTCTTTTTTGTATAAATTTTTGGAGGAAATAAAAGTTTTTAAGATCTTTTCTAAATTTTTAAAATTTATTGATTGTTAAAAATGATGAAAAATGTATTGTAAGTATTGGTATTGAGGCACCATGGGCATGCCTCGCTCTTCTCTATTCTTAATTAGCTTTTGCCTTAAGACACTTCACAAAATGTCAGGTATATAACAAAAAAGGACCCTAAGAAGTATTTTTCTATTTCAATCCTCAGTTCTCTGATCAGTTTTATCGCCTGTTTCTCATCAAGCTCACAAGTCAGCATCGAATGTGACTACAGCACTTACACATATGAAGTTCTCGGCAATACTTACCGATGTAATGTCAAAAATTCTCCAAATGTCATAAATTCAGAGACAGCTCTAATTACTTCAACTTATGGAGTCCATCAGAGTGGGAAAAGTAACAATGACGTGATTGGATTCCATGTAGCTGGAAACAACTTCCAATATTTCCCACAAGGCTTAGAAAAAAACTTCAAAAACATCAAATTAATTTACATGTTCAGGTGCAAGTTGACAGAAATTCATCAAGCTGAGTTAAAGCCATTCCCAAATTTAGTTTACATTTACTTATTTGCGAATCTAATTGAAGTCATTGAGCCTGGATTGTTTGATTTTAATCCTAATTTGGAATACATCAGCATTGGTGACAACAAAATTGCTCATATTGACGCCAATGTCTTTAATGGACTTACTATGCTGTGGCATTTACATCTCAATTCTGTTCCTTGTTATGATAAATATACTTGCACGTATTCACATACTCAAGACTTTATAAGAGAATTGATAAGTAAATGTAAAGACTCAGAATACATAGAAATTGATGAAAAATTGAAGAATCTTGAAGAAGAAGCAAGAAGTTTGGGATATCATGACTTTAACACTAAGATAGTCACTTTTGAAAAGGAGTTTTTAAGCTCAAAATATTCCAAAAATTCATATTTTAAGATTAAGTTTGAGGCATTGAAGTATATTAAGGTATAAAATGCCACAGCAAATCTACAACCTCAAATCACAAGCGTTGCTTCAAAAACTTGCATCAACTGCTGTCCAATCGACCAACTTACAACCTTCGATATGCAAATTGGAAACTTAAGTGCCACTTTAGCTACTTTTAAGCCATTCCAAGATGTTATGGACAGCCAACTGAGTGGAATCACATCAAAAATCAGTGAATATGGATCAAAATTTAATGATGTTCTGGTAGCTCATGAAAGCATTAATTCTCGTTTGGCAGACTTTGAGGTTAAGACGAATAAAAAATTTGAGGAAATCAAGCAAGACTTGGCAAGCACACGTCATAAAATGGCAGTTAATTTTGATGAGAAGATCAAAGGCATTGAAAAAAGATTGATTAAGAAGATTGAGGATATTTTGGACGAAAAATTGGGAAGAATTCTGGATGAGAAGCTTGGAATTTTAATTGAGGCTAAATCAGCTACAGCATAGGAGAAACAGGAGAGTAAAATGTCTCACTGGTCCTCAGTTTTGCTTGAATTTGTTTAGTTTAAAAAACTTATTTCATGTAAGGGGCCATTCACTTATTACGTAACGCTTTTAGGGGGAGGGGGGTCTAAGATTTTGTTACGGTTCAAACAAGGAAATTTTTTTTCATACAAATTTTGTTACGATGGGGGGCGGGGGTCTAAGAAGTCATTTTTTCGCGTTACGTAATAAGTGAACAGCCCCTAAGGTTAATCTATATTTGGGATTACTATTGTTAACTGACAATCGATATTGATTACTCAATTTTAAAAATCAATTGGTTATTTTCTTATTCTTAACCTAAAATAAAAGTAAAGAACTTAACCAAAACAAATTATTTTTAAATTTTTCATCCATTTTTTATTAATTTTTCTTCATTTTACGCTTCACAGTGATTTTTTTGCATCATTTAATGATTTTTTTTATTTTTTTTTTGTTTTTTCACTTAATTTATAAATATTTTTTGATATATATTTAATTAATGTATATATATACTTATGTGTATATGTATGTATAAGTGTTGTATATATGTGTTGTATATAATTTCCTCATCATCATTATTATTTTTAATCATTTTTTTATTACTTGGATATTTTTTCTTTTCCTTTTCTTTATACAAGAAGTTTATTTTTTTTTTGTTTATAATGTTTTAGGATTAGGTTTTTCTTTTTGAGTGAGGAACATTAAGTTGATAGATAATTTATGAACTTGAAGCTCCTCAAGTTTTTTTTGAGAATTTTTTTGTTCAAAAGTTCTGGAAAAGTTAAAAAAATTGCCATATATTTTTTAAAATTGGAATATTCACTAATATTTTCATTAAAAATAATCAAAAATTGAAAATTTTAGTTGAGATTTTCAGGAACCAAATTTTAAATTAATTTGAAGAAAATAGAATAAAATTTTGAAAAATTTTAAAAATATTCAAAAAACTTTTAAGAAATTTATAATATTTTAACAAATTAACACAAATATTAATTTTTTTTGATAACTTGAATCATAGTTTAAAATAATGTAAAAATTAAGTTCATAAGAACAACATATTTTAATAAATCTTCGTCAATTTTTTCAATTTTCCAAAACCAATTCAAATCTCAAAATTGACACCAAAATATTTTTTTATATTTTAAAAAATTGTGTGCATATCTTGTCAGTATCAAAAAAGTAAGTTTTGTCGACCATTTTTTCATTGATTTGAATAAAATTTTTGTTTTCTTTGGGATTTGTCTTGTTATGGTTTTTTGTGTGTTGATTATTTGTCAATGCAGTTCTATGGGTTGGGATATTGTGAACTTCCACGCGATGGCATGAAAGCTTTGTTTTATAATTAAAAAACAAATAAATTATAAAAAACAATTTTTTGTTACAAGTCAATTAAATTTACAGGTAACATAAAATCGCAATGTTAAAATTTCATTACATTTTTTGAGAATTTATAAAAAAATCTCAAATTTTGTAATTTTTACTAAATAGCTTTTTGATCAAAGTTTTGAAAATCATGGTAAATTTAAAGTTTTATTTTTAAGGAATCACACAACATTTTTATACATCTCATTAGTTGCTATGTGTCATTGTGGAAATTTGGTCAATATTATTAAATTCGCAAATTAAATAACTCTTACAATTTAAATTAAATTTTTGATAAAATTTCAGAATTTTAAAAAATAATTTAATATTCTAGTTTTTCATTAAAGTCAAACATTTCTTTTCTGAAATTTTAATTTTAGCTTTAATAAAAGTTTGACAAAATTCCCACAAAAACATTTTCAAATTTTTTAAATTTCATTTATTTATTGATTTTCATTTATTTTAAATGCCCTATTGATTCTCTAAAACTTCACCGTTTATTATTTTATTATAAATTATTTTTACTTCAAACATCAACTTCCTATGAAATGTTTTGCATTATTTTCTAATATTTATTTTACTTTTATAACCACATTTTTTTAAATTTTTATTTTCACTATTTACACCGATGAACATATTTTTAATTTTTTTTATGAGGAGTGAATGATTTTTAAATTTTTCGCTAAAATTTTTCAGTTTTAAATTAAAATCACATCCTCAATGGAAACGTTAACTGTTTTAGTAGATGAGAAAAGGAAGAAAGATGAGAAAAGTTTGGGAAATGTTTCAATTTGTTTTTGGATTTTTCTGTCAACTTGGGGTTAAAATTTGTCATTTTGAATCAAATTTTTCAATTTTTTGTCATGATTAGAACAGAAAGTTCAATTATTCTTGAATAAAGCTCTCAATTACATTCATTTCTACAATTTTATTTTTATTTTAAATAAGTTTTTAATGTTTTCTAAAATTTCAACAATATTTGTCACAATTAAGTAGGAGTTGTCCATCGATATGCAAGAGAAATTGGCTTTGAATATTTAAAAAAGTATTAAAAAATTAAAATAAACTTTGAAATTGAAATAAGAGACTAGATTGTATGGAATTGATTGCCATGGGTGTATTTATTATTATTTTTATAGTCAATAAACGCTATGAGATGGGTTGTAGGTTTTGTAGGTCCTTATGAAGCTTTAAGTCGAAATTTAAAAAAGTACGAACGTTTAAAAAATTTAAAAGCGTCAATTATTTTAAGGAATTTAAAATAATACTACAAAATTAAAATAATTTAAAAAAAATTGAAATATTTAAAATAAATTTGAAAAAAAACTTTAAAAACGTTTTAAAAATTAAAGTAATTTAATAAAAATTGAAAAAGAACCAAAAATCAATAATCACAATTATTTAACATCCGAAATGCCCACATTCCCTACACTAACCATCTCAATAATTCAGAACTTTTATTTGTTTTATAAAATCATTAGTTTTACATTACTTCTTTGTTTGCATACATTTTTTATTTTTTCACATTTGTCTAAGTTTTTTAATACAAAAGAAATTAATTATATTTTCCTACACACATGTATTTGAGGCATTTTTGGGGCAATTTCATTTAAGAAATTCAGAGAAATGCAAAAGAGATATAGGAAGTCATAGAGATAGGTATTCTGAAGGGTTACTTATAGAGAGATGATATTTACGATGAAATTGAATGTTTTCATGCTTTTTTTTTTGTTACAAAAAATTTATTTTATGCTATCGATAATGTTAATCTTCTAGTTAAAAATTCTTCATCAAGTCTAAAGTTAGAAATTTTTTCATTTTAAATTTCTTGATTTTCTTTTTAATTTATTTTATTTCATGTAAAAACTGATTTTTTACTTAATTGTTGGCCGGTTGAATTTAACTTTTGCGTGCCTTTTGATGGATTTTGAGGTTATAAATTCAATTTTTGAGGTTATCGATTAGAATTTTGAGGTTATGATTGCCCAATTTCTAAAAGATTTCCAAATTTCCATTCAAAATCCACCAACCTAATAATCAACATTCCACCCGGTAATCCTATATCATCTTTAAACATGAAATACTCAACAATTATCATTTTTAAAAACTATTTTTAACGTCCATACAAACATGGATCTTCACCTTAAAATTTACTAAATTTTTCATTACTTTCATTATTTTTAACCCACACCAAAAGCGTGTGGAAATGATTTTTTTTTTTTCATTTCTTCATTGAATCATAAAAAGGATAGCAAGAAGATCGACAGTCGAGAGGGGAGTCGGGGGGACGAGGCAAAAAGACGGCGAAGTTTCCTTCTCCATAAAAAACGCGCTACAAAAGGTGTGATGCGAGAGAAACTTTTTAAGTATCTTTGCTTTTTGCTTTCAATTGCGTATCCTTTATACGATTCGGCTCAATAAAACAGGACCGAGATCGTAAAAGTAATCGCTAGTTGGATCCATTCGTGTTTTTTGCTGGTATACTTGTTGCTGGTGGACTTATTGTTACTGATTTATTTGTCGATTCGATCTCTGTGCCGTAAATTTTGCCGACTTTTTTGTTTGTTATCGATCCAAGTAGCTCCTGACTCGTTTTGTGCGCGAGACGTATTGACTGTATCCATTCCTTTTGGGCAATTTGATCCTAAAATACAATGTTGAGAAATTTTTGAGGTTATAAAAAAATTTTTAAGGAAGTTTTTATTTACAATTTAGAAAGTTTAATACTGGGGGTCCTCGATTTGAGTAGTTGTTTTGTTCCAAAAAATTTCTACTCAAATCGAATCTATTCAAATCGAGGCAAAGAATCAATACAAAATTACATGTTTTGTTCCAGAGTCCAAAAAATGTATCAAAACAATGAAAATTTTGATCATTTTTGCACATTTTATTTCGTTGCTTAACTTTTCCTATGTGTTTTAGATAACTTAATTTATTTCAACACATATTTATATTGTTTTTAACCAGAAATTCACAAAAAATATGTTTTTGAAACAAAACAAAAATATGAGAACCTTGCAAATGTTATTTCACCGAACAATTTGTAAGGTTTTTGAATTTGAACTTTTTAAAACCGTTAATTTTATATCGATTTTTTAAATTTTTACTTTAATTTTGTAACTTTAGAATTGATTTTTCTATCAATGTGATAAGTTCACGCTTATTGCAGTAAAATTTATGTTTTAAAAATATTTTCTGAAATGTTTTTATCAAAAATATTTGTTTTGTAAACAATTCAAATCGAAGAAAACAGGAAGGAATCTACTCAAATCGAATATTTTGGTGGGTAAAAATTTTTCTGTTCAAATCGAATCTACTCAAATAGAATCTACTCAAATCGAGGACCCCCAGTAATAAGATAAAAATCTCAATTTTAGGTTAGAAAGCTCACTTTGAGGTTAAAAAGCTCACTTTGATGCTAGAAAGCTTACTTTGTAGCTAGAAAGCTCATTTTGAGATTGGAAAGCTCACTTTGAGGCTGGAAAGCTCACTTTGTAGCTATAAAACTCACTTTGCAGCTAGAAAGCTTACTTTGAGGTTAAAAAAACTCGCTATCAGGTTACAAACTTCAATTTGAGTTTGTAAAATTCAATATTGAGCTCAGAAAGCGTTCTTAAATTTAGTGTTACCTGATTATACAAAATGATGCGCTGCATATTGTCTTTTAACTTAATTTGAATGCTTGACTCATTTTTATATGGCACATCGGCAGCCACTTCCTCGATTTGATCCATAAATATTAATTCTGGCTTGTTGTTCCGATTTGGTGGCAAGAGTTCCAGTCTAAAATTCAAAAATAAAATAAATATAGATCTAAATTAAGCTTAAAAAGTGTGATTTACCTATTAGGATACAACTTGGCATATTTCGTTTGCCATCCGGATGCGAATGAATTGCCACGTTTTTTAATATAACCCTGCAATATGCAATCACTTTCCTTCTCATCATCATAAAATCGCGCTAATTTTTTTGCTTTGTTCTTCTTTTCTAGACGATCTGCTTCCTGATTCACAGACTCGAATACTGTTTCGGTTATTTCCTGTTGCCATCTGAATTGAAATTGTGAGTTTATAATTAAAATTAGAGCTCAACTAGAGTTAAATCCTCACCTCTCACTAATAGTAAGTGAAAAATCGCGATAAATTTCCTGATCTTGTTCAGTAATTTTCACAGCTTTCGTATCATCCTCATCAAAATTACCAATATCACATGCATCGGCAGCATTGACTTCACCCTTTGGTGGAATGAATGGTGGTGCATAATTTTGTTGATATACTTGCTTCCAGTCAACTCCATGGAAAAATGGATGATTTTTGACCTAAAATGAGAAAAGTTGGTTAAATTATGATGGCCAGGAGTCAATGAAACCCATCTTGGGTCATAGATTTCTATTTATAGCTTGTGGTCACCAAAATGATCCTCAATTGAGTTAAGAGGTCCCTATATAAAGCAAGACGACCCAATTCTGAAGCCAGAACCCAAAGTATATTTAAAAGTTATAAAGATTTTCTCATTTGAAGCCGCAGATTCCATCTGGACTTGATGGTAAATTTGAGTATCAACTTACTAATGTTATCACTAATTTCTATATGCCTTCCTCATGCATCAACATCTTACTCAAACATATCTTAAATCTAAAAAATCACAATTTCATACCTCTTCAGCTCCTTGCCCACAGCATCCCAATCTCTTATCAACATCTCGCTGCAGGAGTCCATCAAGTAGGCCTTTAACCTCCCCACTACAACGAAAATAAATAAGGATAAATAATTATGTGGATTAAAGAATTAAAGACTATTGCAATTACCTATAAGAATCCGGTAATTCAACTTTCATTGTCAATGTCATTCTATCAATCTCATGTTTATCCTTCGTCTTGTGCTGTCTAAATGGACTGTGACCTTTTAAAAGTTTGTATATCATGCATCCAAAACTAAACCAATCGGCACAACTGTCGTAGCTCATTCCTTTGCAAAGTACTTCGGGTGCCATATAGCTGTGTGATGGAACAAAAGTTTTGATATTTTATTAAATATTAAAATTATTATTTGAATAAATATAAAAGTTTTTTGATGTGTTTGATTTTTTTCAAGGGATGGAACTTTAGTGGTTTGATGTTGTTAAAGCTAACCTAAAAAAACGAGAACATAACCTTAAAGCTAGAAAGCTAACCTCAAAATTTGAGAATATAACCTTAAAGCTACAAAGCTAACCTCAAAATTTGAGAAAATAACCTTAAAGCTACAAAGCTAACCTCAAAATTCGAGAACATAACCTTAAAAATTAAAGTCAATCTAAATTTTCCACCCCTTGCTTTCAAACAGAAACCAAAAAACTTTACTTTAAAACAAAAACAAACTTACCCATGTGTTCCGACACTAGCATGAGGCTTCTTTTTACTACAAAATAAAATCAATCAAAAAAAATTAAAAAGTTAAGTTACACTCAATTTATCAATAATTCGTCAAACTTCACCTAAAATCACATGCAAGACCAAGATCACTTATCCGCACGTGTCCATTCTCGTCGAGTAAAATATTGGCAGGTTTTAAATCTCTATAAACTATGTATCTGAAAAAATATAATGCAATAATTGAGTCTCAGGCTGCCGTTAAAGTAAGAATAAATAAATAAATTGAAAACTTTGATGTGAAAATTACTGAGTTACAATGAAGTTGTAGAAATATGATTCAGTACGATGTGGCCATGAACGGTTTGAAGGTTTCAAGGACTTACGTTTTGTTTACGATGAAAAGTGTTTGTAAACAAAGTTTTGAGCTTTAAAGTTTGCTTGAATTTCATGCAATTTTCTCTTACAAAGCTCTTAAAATGGTGTCTGGAGGTTAAGTGTTGTAATAATAGTCATGTTTAGCATACGACTTTAGACACTTTTGGTATATTTGCTAAGAATTGTCAATTTTTCATGAATTTTTATGCAGTGCATTGCTTTTAATATGCTTTTCAAGGTCTTGACCTAAATATTAAGCAAATTGAAGCATATCAAATGACAAATCATGCCAGCATAATGCATTTTCCTAATTCTTTAACTCAATTTCAACGACTCGTGTCTACAATTTTCAATTAAACATGTAAAATTGTCCACATTTTTAATGACTGAACAACCGAGAGTCATAAATGTCCCATCAATTTCAATTTCGAATAGTTGATTAGTCATTTTTGTTCCCGTACGGCTTGTCATTGCACTTGCATTGATTCAATTAAAAACCAGAATGCGAGAAAAAATTGATTCGAGCTTTTCAGTTTTCATTAAATTTTCCCCACAAAAAACCTTTTATAAATTTTTTTTTCAGTTCAGCCAATTAAAAAACTCACCTCCTGTGCATATGCTCAAGTCCAAGTATAATTTCAGTTGCATAAAATTTCATATTTGTCTCATTAAAAACTCCATGTTGTGATAGATGATAATGTAGGTCACCGCCATTCATGAGATCGAGTATAAAGCATAATTTACTGGGCGTATGAAATGCGTATGTCATGCAAACAATAAAAGGACAATCCTCGCCTGTCGATACAAGACTCAGCATGGTGCGTTCGTTCAAGGCCAATGTCTCGCCTTGCTTCATCTTGATCCGCTTCTTGTCGAGACATTTCATTGCATACATTTTTCCTGTGTCGACTTTACGGCATCCGTAGACTTCACCAAACCCACCACGTCCGATGATTCTCAGGACACTGAAGTCATTCATGGTAAGCTGGAATTTAGAATGAGAATATATTCATAAGGTTAGATTTGACATGACAGTAAGAGTAGGTATGACCCTTTTAGGTGTGTCACTGCTGATTCCATACTAATCAGCTTATTAATCTCTCCATAATCTACATCAACCATAAAATCACTTCCTTACCTTCAAATTCAATTCTAAATTCTTCCATTGCAAAAATCTCGAATATCTCGAGCTCTCCATAAAGCACTTGAATGGATCGCCGCGTAAATGACTAAAAATCTCCTCAATATATGGCTCAAATAGATTTGTAGGGACTTCATTTTTCTGTAGATGACTATTAACATGTGCTACGCACTCTTTGGAATATTCCTGTAATAACAGAGAAAGTATTAATAAAAATTGATAAGAGGCTTATGTCAATTAAATCTCACATGTGTATGACTCAGCATCTCTTTCATAATGAAATTATCGTAAATTGATTTGGCCAATTTTTTTCTCTCCTCAGCGCATTCTGTCTTCTCGAAATTTCGAATTTCCTCGTAAAATTTTAATTGTGGCACGGGATCTTCGCGATAGTTTTCGCAGTAGTCTTTGAAAAGGAGGAAACCTGGAATGAAAATAATATTACTTGAGATTAGAAATGCTGAACATTAAAACTTTTCAGTATCGAGAGCTGTTTACTCATTGTTGATAGATGTGTACCCTTAGTGAGAGCTGTTTACCCCCTTAGTGAGAGCTGTGTACCCCTTAGTGAGAGCTGTTTACCCCCTTAGTGAGAGCTGTGTACCCCTTAATGGGAACTGTGGACCCCTTAGTGAGACTTGTGTGCCCTAAGTGAGAGCTGTGGATCCCTTAGTGGTAACTTTTATCTTGATTTAGAGCTGTGTATCCCTTAATGAGAGCTGTGTGCCCTTAGTAAGAGCTATGTATCTTTAGTGAGAACTGTGTGCCCATAGTGAAAGCTGTGTACCCTACTCAAGAGCTGTGTTATTGAGAGCTGTGTACCCCTATTATATATTTTTCCAATAAACGAATTAATTTCTCCAAAATATAAAATCAATTTTTGTTAATATCTTCTACAAAAGACTTTCCCCACCCCCAAACAAAAATTATTAAACCATTTAAAAAATTCATTTCACTTCTCAATGCACATCAATAGACATCAAAAATTTACTTTTATTTTATATATTCGTCTCATACTATTTGACCCACGAACAAGAAGAAACCAAAAAAATATAAGCAATTTCATTGATTTTGTCAGATACTTTCTCTTAATTCAAATGAGATTTTGATGGAGAGCAAAGTAAAAAAAAGGAACCGAAATTGTAGAACAGATAAGAGATCGATAAATTGCCAAGAGAATAATTTGAGAAAGGTACGGAAAAAAATTTGAAGTTTCGGGTTGAGTGAATTATTGGAAGGTAATGCGATCGGAATTTTTGTAGAAAATCATTTTTTTTTTCGTGTTGTAAAATCGGATGAGATGGCAGAAATATTTTTGATTGAATTTTTTTTTTTTGTTTGAAGGTGCTGGAAAATTAGAAGGTTCGAAATTCAAGAATGACTGGGAGAATTTGAGAAACTAAGGAAGGATAAAATCAATTTAAGTGCTATTTCGAGGTTGACAAATCTCTTCAGAGGTTCAAAATCTTTAAAAGAGGGGTTCAAAACTTCTAGAATGGGAACGAAACTCTTAACAGGGGTAGAAAACTTATAAAGAGGCACAAACTAAGAAAGTGAGCACTGAGCGACTACAAAGAGCATGAACTATTTATTCATTTCCTGGTTTCACAGTTTAGTATCATAAAACCAACATTTAATTAATTAACGCATCCAAATCCACCCCAACTTCCTCCCTTTTTCAATTATTGACCACCAAATTTAAGACATCCTCGTCCTTGTCTAGCACAAAAAGTCAACAAACAAACAAACAAAAAAAATATTGCAAGCTCAAAAAAATCAATAAAAGAACGTAAAAGGAAATTCCCAAATCAAATTTCCATTTCCCTCATCCCAAACACCAAAAAAAAAGAAATAAAAAAATAATTTTATGGAGTAATTTTTCGTATAAACAAATTAATTTATCGATTTGTGTGTTGAGCTCTGTAAAAAGCGGACTAGAATAGGTTGGGGAGGGGTTGGAAATTCTTGGTATAGTAAAATTGTGCCGGTCATTATTTTTACACGCAACTGAATCATTTTATGCTGTGCGATGTCTCTTGATCGACAATTTTCTATGTTTTGTCTATTTCGTCCTCTTGCTTCGCATGCTAATGAATATTGAACTGATTTTTGTTCTGATTGAGTATTTTTTGGACATTTATTGCGTTATTTGTGGTTAGTTGAGGGATTTATATTAGCATTAATGAACGCTCAGCTTTAATTTGCAGCGCAGCCTAAACTTGAAGCTAAGCCCTAAATGAAGCTCGAAGATGACGCTCAGCTCTAAGATGCGACTCAGCTCTATGATGAAGTTCGGCTTTAAGATGACGTTCGGCTCTAAAATGACGCTCAGCTTTAAGATGACGTTCTGCTCTAAAATGACGCTCAGCTCTAACATGATGCTCAGCTCTAAGATGACGCAAGATAAGTGTGCAACATTTTCTTCACATTTTTCCAAGAATTATTTACCTTACACTTAGTCTTTTATACCATCTTTTTACATCCCCTCTGCCTATCAGTCAGTCCATTAATTTTATTTCTGTTGATTTATTTATTATTGCCGCTATTTCTGTACAATTCAGTCGAACTTTTGCAAGAGATCATTGAGCCTTTTATGTTTGATTTTGGACTTAATTGTTTGTTTTTTTTTTGAAAGGGTCGATGGGCATAGTTTAGGTGCAGAATAAACTTAGGACTGTTAGGAAGTTCTGCTTATACTTTGAAAAAAACCCACCAGCTAAATTTACATTGAAATCTCATGTTTTTTCATTCTTCCGTTCCTCGAAAATCACATGAATAATTTTTGTGGAAAATTACTAAATTCATTTTCCGTTTACGTTTCTGCTGTAATTGGTGCAGAAACCTTATAAACTGAGAAGTAGCAAAAACAGAGTAAATAAATTTTATTGTCAAGTTTTTTTTTGTGTGTAAAATTTTCATTCATTTTTGGAATTTTCATTACCATAAATATAATTTGTGTTGTGTTTTTATAATTTTAATGCCAATCCAGTCACATAAATGAGCAATACAAGTCTACTTGCTGTGCGATTAATGCATACTGAATAAATTTCTTGGGTTTGATAATTTGAAAAATGAATTTGTGGGCATGAAAATATGGAAATTGTAGGTATTGCATAATCAAAACGGTGAATTAATATTTCCGGACTCAGCGGCTCTTGAACAGTTGAGCGTTTTTAAGCTGAGCGTAACGTTTGCTGAACGCAACTTAAGCTGAGTGAAACCTAAGGTGAGCGACCCTTAAGCTGAGGATAACCTGAGCTGAGCGTGTCTTGAGCTGAGCGAAACATAAGCTGAGCGTGTCTTAAGCTGAGTGAAACCTTAGCTGAGCGAAAACTAAGCTTAGCGAAACCTTAGCTGAGCCAAACTAAAGCTGAGCGTGTCTTAAGCTGAGCGAAACCTTAGCTGAGTGAAACATATTAAACTGAGCGTTCTTTTGACTCAAATCAATGCAACATTTACAGCAATACTTCACAAAGTAATTGCAAAAGATACTAAAAGCATCACATATTCTTAAGATGCATCAATTTCCTTTCTTGACCAAAATTTTAATGAGCTAATTATCTCAAACATTTTTTCTCCAACCCTACTTAACAATAAAAAGTTCATTAATTATCTCTCGAATCTTAGATATTTATAGCAAATTTAGGTCTTTAGTCAATTTTATTAGTATCTTCCAATTATTTCTTCAAAATTAAATTAGAGATACATAAATAAGTTTTTTGTAAGTGCTGCTAATTATTCATTATAGGTATGGATACAGATATAATGGAAAAAAGTCGATAAATTGTTTTCGTACCAAAGTATTGTTTTAATTAATTTTTTGGATTATTGTATTTTTAGCTGGTATCTTAAAGTTATGCTCTAAATAAATCAAAGCCTCGTGTTGTTTAGTTCTTAAAGTAATTTAATATTTCGATGTAAAAATATCTAAAATAGAAAACTCAAAATAACTTTCTTAATAAATTCAAAGTGTTGTTCTTTTTTGTCGCCATTGACATAGTTTGAAGAAACTTGATAGTTTAGTAAAATTTTAATTGATTATTTTCAAATGGTTAAATAGCGAATTTTATTGGTTTTTAACTTATTTGTTATTGATTTCGGTTGAGTATCAAGCTGAGCGTAGTTCAAGCTGAGCGTAGTTCAAGTTGAGCGTAGTTCAAGCTGAGCGTAGTTCAAGCTGAGCGTTGTTCAAGCTGAGCGTAGTTCAAGCTGAGCGTTGTTCAAGCTGAGCGTTGTTCAAGCTGAACTTTACTTAAGCTGAGCATTCTTCTGGCTGAACGTTCTTAATACTAAACATTCGTCAAACTGCGCGTTCAATAAACTGAGCATCGTAACTCTACGAAAGCTTTCTAATTTATAATAATTCATTCATTAATGATGCATATATATCATCAATATTTATAGTATAAACCTCTTTCATTCATCAATATTATTTATATACATCATCACTTCTGTTGTATAGATCTATAGACACAAAAATAGAATGACTAATGGATTGCACGATTTTGGGACAATAGCAGATTTCGAAATGGAAAACAACAACAATAAAAAAACAGTTCAAGCTTTTGTATTTAAAAAAGAAGAAAAAGGAGAAAAAAGTTGAAAGTGAAGAAGAAAAATGACGAGAAATAAGATCGTAGCAAAAGGAAATTGTGATAAAAGGGTAGAAAAATGTGGAAAATTCTAGTAATAGGAAAAGTAATCAGCGGCAGTTCGATGAACTAAGTTCAATACTTATTAATTAAGTTTGATTTTTAGGTAATTTTTGACGAGGTTTATTATGGATTTTTCCAGCAATTTAGGGGATTTTGTTTAAATTTTTAAGCTTGAGTAGAGCCGAATTTGACTTTGGAGTCATTTTAACTCTCTTTTTAATGCATTTAGTACCAATAGTCTTTAAAATAATAGCAAGAGAACAACAAAATGATCAAAAACATTTTAACAAGGAACTTTGTATCGATTTCCAATTTAAAAGTTTATGATTATGTCTTGAAAGTAGTCAGTACCATTACTACACTCTCGTTCCTGTCACATTGCACCTTTGCATGGACTAGCAATAATATTTACTGACTACTATGTCTTATTGTATCCTTTCTCATTTCACTAAGCACTTATAGCTTTTAAATTATATTAATTTTGCATTTATTTTCCATATCCACCCCGACTCCACCTCCCTTTCCTTCAAAATTCTCCCATAAACTTCTCATTTATCCATAAATAATTTTCATGACAACATAATCTCGAAAATTCTATCCAAAAATTAAACTATCAAAAAGTCTCAAAGCATGTCGTTCTATAAAATGGATATTAAAATAGGTCAAATGCACAAACGCATTCAAATGCAATAAATCATTTCTATTCAATACCTCTAAAGCCCTTAAGATGCATTGAAATTTTCTGCTTTTGATATTCAAAATGGACAAAGAAGTGGATGAGGAATGAGGTAGTGAAAGGATTTATCCTCATAATAATAAATGAATTGGGAACTTTTTCAGGTAAATTTATGGAAAATGAAATGAATTTTAGTTTTCTTTGAAATAAGAGAATTTTAAGGCACTCTTTGGGTTCTTTTAGATTACTTTGAACCTATTTAGACCCTTTGTTGACTTTTTCAGATCCACTTGAACCTTTTCATCTCCCTTTGAGTCCCATCTGAATAATTTAAGTCATCTTTAAAAATGCGCCTAAGCCACTTACTCCCCAAGATTCTCTTACTTGTCAATTTTTTGTGCAAAAAATTTCAAATAAACATCAGAATTCGAGAAAGTAAAAGAGTTTTTTTTCTAATCAACTCAGAACTAGATTTCTTGTGTAATATACTTCGCAGAAATAACAAATAATAAAATAATGATGAAAATAACAATAAAAATAATATTAATATTAATAATAATACAATTTTATTGAATGAGAAAGCAGAAATAAACAAAAGCAATATGCGAGAAAGAGATGGAAAGATAATTGAAATTAGCTTTTGATCGATACAGAAACATAAAGACGATGTAGAAGAAGAAAAAAACTAGAAAGAGATTTTTACTGTGTGGAGGTGGAGGGAATTCATAGCTTCGGGTGAGGTGGGCATGATTGTGTCTATAAAGATATAAGAATGAATGAGAGACAATGGAAAGTTTGACTCAATATCGACAAAATACAATTCAGTAATGATTTTTCATCCTGTTTCTCATCTCTCATCTTTTTATTAAGTTATACAAATGGATTATGATGGTGATGATAACAGAATAGAAAAGGTAAGTTGAGGAACAATAATGGAGAAAAACGAGTTACGATGGATGCTAGAAGTTGTTAAAGCTTTAATTTAAGAAATTTTCTGATTTAAATGGAATTTTAAAAACTTTTTAAGAGTTTTTCAATTATTTTTTTAAAGCGTCGCTTCAAATTTAATTCTTGAGAATAAATCGCTGCTTTATGTTTGATTTAAAAAGTAAGTCGTAGCTTTAAGTTTGATTTTTTAAAGTAAGTCTTCGTTTTATTTTTTATTTTTATATTTGAAAGCAAGTCGTCGCTTTATGTTTGTAAGTAAGTCGTCGCTTTTTGTTTAATTTTTGAAAGTAAATTGTCGCTTTAACTTTAACTTTTGAGAATAAGGCATCGCGTTAATTTTGTATCTCTCTTACGCCAATTCATTTTTCTGTGCACCAAAATCATCCGAAATCCCATCCATCTTCTTCTGCCATAATCACTTCTTGCCTCAATGTCTCAAATTTCGTTTTGTATCAATAGATTCGTCATATTAAACAGAATTTTTCCATGACTGATAATTTTCATTAGAGATAATTTATTACACATCGTGACAGTTTTACCACCTCATCGGATAATCGTTCCCCATAAAGTTAATTCCCATATAGAAACTTGTTTGACTTTATCATTGTGATAATGATTATCAATGTTGACAAATTTACTGCTTTTTAATCGATCGACCCGGGATGGATATAGAAATCAGTTGGATATGTGATTGGGGTTGAAAGGTTCTGTGGGTTTAAGAGGGGTCAGGAGACTTCGAATGTTAAACGAGTTTTTTTTATGGATTTTTATTGAGATCTAGCTGTTTTTGACATCTTCGAGGCATTTTAGTAATTTAAGAGTTTTCGGGTCGAAAGAACAAAGTCTACTTTCCAACTATTTACACATAATATCCTATAATCTTCCTGAAAATCAATTTAATGAGATGAAATTCAAACAATTTAATTATAGCTGTAGTTTTGAAACAACTTGTAATATTTAGGTAGGAGACTTTAAAGTTGCTACCCAAAACTTTTGCACCAAGTTAACCTAACAATGGGCTTTTATGCTCCCATACCCATCGGGCTTAATTAACCATCAATTGACAAAATAGACAACAAATGTGAAAGCTTTTTATCACAAAAATACCTAAAAGCTTCTCACTTTATCAAAATTATCGGTTTAATGATGTATTTTTATCATAGTTTATGGCTTCACATGTGGTTTTTTTGCAGTAATATCGGGCGCATCATTGGTCGTATTATGTAAACTTTATGCACATTGATTTTTTTTGTGTAATATTGGCTATATTTTTACATAAATTTCCAATATTGTTCTATTTTTCAAGGTATTGCAGCATGAAACTGTGCAACATTGTTGGAAATGCAATTAAAATTATGTTGTTATTAACTTTGGGGAACAGACAAACCTCATCAATGTTGCAAAATGAGGATAATATGATATTATAATTTTAGATCGTAAGGTATGAAAGGAGATGTGCTGAATAATTTGAATGAGAATGTCTTTAAAAAAATTGTCCAATTAAAAACTGAATAAATTCAGGTTTAAAGGGGTATTAACCTTTCAGGACCATCAATTAATATATAAAAGCTTCATCAAACATTTAATGCCCTGTTATATTTAAGTTGGCTTTTCGAGGAGCATGTTATCAGGTTATCAGGTTTAAATTTGATTACTATTTTGTAAATGACTGTAAGACGCAAATAAACGTAAGGTTTGAAGTGTCAATCCTACCGCAAAACTTTACATGGCTTCACAAAACCCCTTAAATTTATACCCATCTTATCCCACACCTTACCCCTACCAGACACCCACATTTATAATACCCCCCAAATTATTGGCTTCAAAAGAATCCAACTATGGCTTCACACAGCTTCAGTCAGGGATTTGTTCTTTTATATTACAGATATATTACAAACTTACCAATCTTTTGGTTGAAAATTTTGTCAAATGTAACTTCATTTTCACGCTCAAGATATTTATGCATAGCACTTCGAACACTGAAAAGATAGAAAAGATGAGAAAATTAGGTTAGAGAATATTGTGTAAGTTTTATAATATGAAAAAATAAAAAAACGTGCAGCATATTTTGGGAAAACAACAATGTATTTCCTGAAATATGGCTCACAAAATATTTTTTTTTGAAGTTTTAGTCTTTCAATATAATTTGAATAATAGAAGCCTCCTTTTGCTATATCTCGCTTAATTTATCCCCAGCCACAACTTACATTGATCTAATACTTTGCACCTAATAACCTGCAATCATCTTAAAGCCTCAATGTATACCTCATTTCAGAATCTAATCTTCTAACTTCAAAAAGTAAATTCTTAAAAAATTTCCAATATTGAATTCATTTAGCTGTTATGCAACGAGAGCTACAAACAAAAGAAGAAGAAAAATTTTCCTTGAGCAAAATTTCTTTATTTGACGTTCAATGACCTTTGACCTTTTCATGTGAATCTCATACACAGCTACTCATCTTGCTATCGTCATTAATTCACCTGTATGCAAAGCTTTCAATTAAGTTTTTTCTTTCTGTTTTTTTGCTGTTCTTTATTTTTCTTTCAATGAGTTCGAGGAAAGTAGGACATGAGGATGAACATAACATGTTTATTCAAATCACGCAAGGTAAAATTTTCTTTTTCTTTCTTTGTATCTTCATTTTGTTGTCTTGTATGTAGCTTTTTATGGAAATCATAGATTTTTTTTATTGGAACGGTTTTAAATGGTTTCATCAAAAATTCAAATTTCCAAGTTTCTCTTAAAATTAAAATAATTAACAATTTTTTTAATTTTACGGATCTTTTCAAACAAATCATATTTTTTTCCCAATCTTTTTACCATAGTTCCCTCGAATAGATCACAACTTTTCCATCTTACCCCAGTTAATATTCCAATTAATCAACATGTCAATAATAAATCTCTGAATTTATTTCGTTACTATATTTTACCACACTACACACTCGATTTCGACCACAAATAAAAATTTTTTTCAGAAAAAAATTCTACACATCGATTCGGACAGCAAAAAAAAACCTCAAATCTTGCCGTCATTTTCCCACAAAATTAACTCAATTTGTCATTTCAAACAAAAAAATGACCTCTTGAACTATCATGGAATGGAAATTTTACTACATTAAGCATGTGCTGCTGACTTTTGTTTCTGTTAAGCTGAAAATGTATATAAAAATAAACAAAAGAATTGGACAAATAAGGAAAATCAAGGCAAGTTATTTTGTATTCAATAGCTTCAGGACCCGTACAAAGTCATTAGAATTAGTTGGAAAATTTCAAATTCTTAAGCTTTTAACTTTTTAAATTTTTTTGAATTTTTAACAAATTCAAAAGTTTTGAATTTTGTGGAAGTTCAAAAAATTTAATTTTGAACAAGTTAAAAATATTTTTAAATGTCTTAAAATCAAAACTTTAAATTAGTTTGAAATTTTTTAAGGTTAATTGTTCCTTTTATTTCCATTTTCTATCCTACCCGACCCTCATACATGATTAAATTTAAAATCCTAGTAACGACTCGACTCGAGTCTAAATGTCATAATGATATTTTTCCTTTATATATTAAATTTCAAATTAATGAATGTAAAATAATGTAGATGTCAAATGTTCAGAGATCGAAGCCGATTTTTTCGGCTTAATTCAATTTTTGATTTTTTTGATAGAAAAAAGCCATTTAACACCCATTTTAAGTATTTAAATTGAACTTTACATGCTTTACTATGATTCTGTGAAATATTTTTTCAGCATGTAGCTATAGTAAGCTCTGAATTTCAATTTAGCCGATTTTAAGCCGATCGGCTTAAATTTCGGCTTAACATTCTTTAACTTGAAATTCAGAGCTTACTATAGCTACATGCTGAAAAAATATTTCACAGAATCATAGTAAAGCATGTAAAGTTCAATTTAAATACTTAAAATGGGTGCAAAATGGCTTTTTTCTATCAAAAAAATCAAAAATTGAATTAAGCCGAAAAAATCGGCTTCGATCTCTGCAAATGTTAAAAGAAGAATTTTTTTTGATTTTGTTGGAAATTGAATTAATTTGAAATTTCTTTTAATGTTAAAAAATTTTAAAAATGAATAAATTTAAATTTTTACATTTGGTTTTAAATTTTTACATAAATTATTTTCAATATTCATCGAATTTTCTTAAAATTGTTTTAAAGTTTTACCAATTTTATTTAAAACTTTCTCTAGTTTTAACAAAATCTTCTTAAATCCTTACAAAATCATTACAAGGGACCCTGACTAAGCACGAATAAATTTCATTAAATTTCCTTGATTTGTGAATTTCATCATAATTTAATTTTAATGACATGAGTCGTTCCACTAACTTGATATCATTGAGTTCCCCTCAATCTCCACATTTCTCTTGTTTTTCTCGTTTTAATGATTTTATTTTCGATAACTTCAAATAAAAATTGAGTAAAAATTCAATAAATTGTTTCACAAGTCGAAATAAAAAAAACATTGAAATTTGATCTCAAAATTGAAAATTTTACATTAAAAAAATTGTTAATTGCTTGTGTCTTGATACTGTCAGTCGATTATCTCAGTAATTATGAAGGCAATCATTTTTAAAAATTTTTAATTGATTCAAGTGGAAACTTGAGAATCTCAGAGGATTTTGTTGTTTTTGTTTGCTTTTTTCTAATTGGGGTGGAACAAGTGGCATGGTAAGGGTCATTATAGTCTAGTTTGATATTTGGAAAGACAAGGTGGGATCGGCAATTAGATATTGTATTCTCATCTTTACCCTAGGCTAAGATGAGACATTTGAGACTCAACCAAGAATTTTGAGGTTAAGACCACGCATCTGAGGCTGAAAAAAATTATTTGAGGCTAAGACAAGGAATCTGAGGCCTAGATATGGCACCTGAGTCTAAAACAAGGTATTTGAGGCAAACACAAGATATTAAAGGCTAACACAAAGTAACCAGAGCTTTTAGACATCAAAAATTCTTTCTAATCCACCAAGCTCAAAAATGAAAAAAAAACCCTAGATTTTACACACATTTTAGCTTAAACGAAGTTTCTAGAAGTTTCCGTCTAAATCTAGTCTTCAAAGAAAAAATAATAATCAAAAATTAAAACCAGATTGTGAGGATGTTTCACATTCTGGATCATTAATTTCTTAAATAAACAACAATTTCTATTCTTTTCATCATTCTCCAATAAAGACACATGTCTACTGCAATTCAATACCCCAACCCCATCCCGTAACAAAAAAAAAATTCAAAATATTTTTCCAATAATCCGAGCCAAACCACTCGATGGCATTTAATTGAAGTAAACAAAGAAACTTGAAGCAATTAATTTTGCTCCTTTGTAGCTCTCACATATTATGTATACGTGTATGTCTGTGCTAGATAACAATTTGATATAAAGCAATCAGCTCTTTTGAAATTTCACTTTCATCGACACAAAAGCTGCGTGCTGTACAAAAACCAGCAGCAATGAAGAAATATTGAGAATCGTACGAAAACACACGTGTAAATATTTAGAATGGAATGGAGAATTTCAACCTACGTTAGATGGGGGTGAGTTGTTTTGGTGGAAAGTGAGAGTTTTATAGGACTTTCTTGATTGTTTATTAAAGTCAGTTTTATTTGGTGGGTCCTGACTTTTAAGGTTAGAAACGTAATGTTCAGATTTTTGAGGTTACAATCTTAATTAAAAACTTTTTGGGGTTAAAATCTTTTTTTTGAAGATTTTTGAGGTTAGCATCTTTTTTGTAGACTTTTGAGGTTGGATCTTTAAAACATCAATCTTGTGAGGTTAGAATATCAATTTTCTTTAAAAAATTTAATGTTAAAATCTTTCTTGTCTACAATTTGAGGTTAAAATCTTTCGAGTCGACCTAAAACTATGTAATTTTGACAATTTCTAAATCTCCCAAAATTACCTTTTCAAAAATCTTTAATATCCTATTTTATTTAAATTTTCAATCACTAATCTCATTAATTCAATTCCTCCCAAATCGATAAATTCAGTCAAAAAGAAATCTTCATTTATTTTCACAAATACCCAATCACATCCTGTAGATCTCATCCACACCAAAGAAAAAAATTGAATTTGTTTATTAAAAAAAAAGTTTTTTTTGTGCTCGTATAATCGTAAAATTAAAATCTCGTGAAACATAAACACAGAAAGTGAATATATTTATATAAAACTGTCGACACACATTCACAGAGAATAAGTGTATGAATGAAAATTGTTGATGGTTTTGGTGTTGAAATTTAATGGGTCCGGAAAGGAACAAAATCTTGATATATTAGAAATTCTAGCCTTAAAACCCTGACAATTTTCGAGGTTATGTTGGTGAAAATCAATCAATTTTAGGTTAAGTTGCTGATATTCATACAAATTTGAGGTTAAATGTCTGAATCTCATACAATTTTGAGGTTTATTGAGGAAATTACTAAAGTTCTCAGAATTTTGAGGTTAAGTTGCTAACATAAAGAATATTTAAACCTCAAAAGTTTTTTCAATATTTCTTTAATCTCAATAATCCGTACCCATCAAATTATCACCACCAAACCTTCATCCATGAACTTTTCCAAATCCCCAATCTACAAAAACTACACCGAAAAATATTCCCAGACTCCCATGAGCACTTTACAGACAATTTTCATCTTAACAATTCTCTCATTTCGTACTCAACTATTTGCGTTAATTTCAACAGCACACAAAGTTTCCACGTCTGTTTACATTTAATGAGGTAATGAGAAATAATTTGAGAAAAGAAAAAGAATTCTCAAAACAAATCTCGCCCTCGCCTTTTTTTCTCTTTGCTCATCGCTTGCTTTCTGCTGTTTTCATTCTCTTTCCCTTTTGTTCCGTATGTACTTTTTTATGTGCACAAATACGGATGTAATAGAAATGTAATGATGAAAAATGAGTTGTTTGGTTAAGGGTTGAATGTGCATGAATTTAGCGCATTTATTGGAGAAGGTTTGAGATGTTTTGGGGTGGGTAGGGGTGGAAGGAATGGTATGTTGTACACTTTTGATCAGTTTACCCTAAAAGATTTTTAATGCTGATTCAAAGTTAACTAGACTAGCCAGACTAAACAATATTCTATCTAGCTACACAGATGTCTGAGCCAGGCAACATATGGACTCAGGTATCAATTTTTTTAAGGTAAGGCTACTTTCAGTCATCAAACAGACATCCCGCTCAATCAACTTGTGTTTTGCAACATAACATAATAAAAACTAGGTTTGGGAATTTTGAATGAAGACCATGGATCACAATTGATCTGTATGGCCAGCGAATTAAGTAAGTATGTGAATTTTGTGTGTTTTTGAGTTTAGAGCGCATTTTTATAAGATTCTTCATGTTCAGCAAATGCTGTTTAATTAACAATTCTTGTCATTCAATGACAAGTCTGATCAACATTTATTCACATTTTTGAGCAATACCTTATCTTCCCACTAGTGGTAATCCTAGCACATCTAACACATCCACCAAAAAACTTGCCAAAAACACAAAATCTTTAACTTATCGTTCAAAAAAATTTACTTCTATTTTCAAAAGCAATTTCAAATCAATAAATAAAGAAATCATGCGTGCAAAAAAAAAGTTCTTCCTATATTTTTGTCGTATGTACTAGACTAGTTTGGCACGACAACAAAATAGAAAAAGTTGACTGAGGGAAAATAAAAAAAAATAAAATTTTTCAATATTTAAACTTGACATCAACGTGAAAAGCGCAATTGGACTGGAAAATCGGATTTTTCTTTTCTGTTTACAATTAAACGTCGTCTTTAGCGATAGACAGGTGCGGGATTTTAAGAGGAAATTTGACGGCGAATAAGAGCGTGTCAAGGAGTAAGTTGAAATGTTTAAACGATTATTTGAGAGAAAGAAGAAGTTTATTAAAACTTAAAGGATCCCACATGATGAATTATGGTTTAGATGAATTGAGGTTAGTTTGCTTGGAACTAATCTAAATCTTATTTGTAGATTTATTTGAATCGAACTGGTCAATTTTGATTGGTCAAGATCTGGTTAATTCATATTAAGCAAACACAAGTTGAGAGAATAGCTCAAGATTAGTTCAGGTCAGGTGGAGCAACTCTGAACTAGTTTTAGTAAAGTTGGACTAGCCCTGAACGAGTTAAGATCTGTTTGAGCTACTATGAACTAGTCTGGTGATGTTAAACTAGGCCTGAATGAGTTTAAATAAACTTAAGTACCCTTGAACTAGTCTAAGTCAGAATAAGTTGCTTTTAAACTACGTTTTGTTAAATTAAGACACTCCAAACTAGCTCTGATCGATAAAATTATCAAAGTCGAGAAGACAATCTCAAATTAATTACTGCGAATGTTCTAATTACTACAAACTATATTTTTTCATCTTAAAAATCCAACACAAAACGTAATTAATTCAATTTTGTTTAAAAAGTTCTCATGTAAATAATACTCGGTAATATCCAACTACTTCATCTCAAATAACCTGTTAATAACATAAAATTATCGAGTAATTTATTACATCAGGATTTATTTTTTTTAATTTTGGTTTGGCTAAAATCTGGATAATTTTAATTTGATATTCGCACGAGTTTTCTTCTTTGTTTTGTAAATTTCACTTTAATCTGTTCACACCATGAAAATGTATTTTGCAATAAATTAATTTTGTGTGAAAAGATTTTCCGCAGCTTTTTTCGATGGAATATTTTTCGTTGTTAATTCAAACTGGAAATGGATTTGTTGAGGGTATTGTGATATAAATTTGTTTCTCTAGGATCTGGATTCTTGGTATTAGCAAATGATTCCATTTTGAATTCTAGTATATTTGACATAAAACTCACTAGATTTAGTGTGTGGTTGTTATTTCTACCAGAGCTATTTAACCACACATGAAACAGCCAAGACTTACTATTCTTTACCTAATCTAGTTCTGATTCAATTTTAAACTAGTCCAAAGTAGCTTTATCTGACCTAATGTTAGCCTTAAGTGCCTCAAGCTAATCCAAACTATCCCTGAGTATCTTATAGCCTCTAACCTACTCGAATCAAACAAAATTGTGTCATTTCTATATAAATTATTCTTAATTAACGAAACATGATCTTTCATAGTGCTATATATACCAATTTCGATTAGATCAACTCACCTTAGTCACCTAAAGTGAAATTATCTTGTTCTATATAGTCTAAAATAACATGATTTGACAAAAGCTATTCAAAGTTGACCCAATCGATCCAAACTTCGTCTATTGAAGTTCAATTAGCTTTGAGGTGGTCAAAACCAGCTCAGCTTTACCTGAGCTTGTCTTTAAAGATTTCCGAATAGCCCAAGTCGGTTAATCGAATTGATACCCGGCATTTAGTAGGCATGACTATTGCACGATGTTGGCTTTGATTTAAATCCAGCACCATACCAGAATCACACTGGATTTTTGATCAATTAACCGACTTGTGCCATTCGGGATTTAAAAAAAACTGAATTCTTCAAATTGGGTTAAACTAACATAGCCAAGACTAGCTCAATCTTACTTTAGATCTCCTTGATCTTCCTTAATTAGTAAAAATAACGGTAAAATATCAACAAAATCTAACAAAATCATCTCAAATCCAGAATAACCTGAAATCTGCTTAAATATCCACAATGATTCACAAAAAGAAAAACTTTCTAAAAATAAAATTCGAAAGAAAAAAAAAGTTTTTCATTTGAATGTAAAATATAATTCTTTCAAAAGGTATAAAAGGTGTTTATGTATGCAACTCATATAAGCTCCTGCACATACACACAGCAGTCAGTAATGAAACTAAATACAAATGGATCATGTTCTGTAATACAAGCTGTTCCATGTATTCTCTTTGTAATTTACTCGCTCTTTCCTTCTTAACATTGTATAAATGTTGCACATTTTCCATATCGAGACTATGTGAAAAATGGATTTTGTTGGTTATGTAGTTTACATTAGCACAATTATGGTGCATGCATGTATACCTGTATGACTTTAAACTATTTTGAATAATGGAAATAGAAGCAGAAATTTTCAATTAAAACGATTTTGAGGTTTTGGAACAATTTATGAGATGATGAGTCATTAGACGCTTGTACTGGTGCACAGGTGGATATAAAACATTGTGGATATTGTTAGGAATTTTCTGTTGCACGGAGGAAAATTAGAACTGGAATCAACAAAATGAATTTTACATGTCGGTTTATGGAGATTTTGTAATGGTCGTTATATAATTTATAGAACATGAACATGTATGGTTGTTGAGAAAGAAGTAAATTCGCTATTAGATATCTTTGACTGATTTTTGAAACTATTGGTTAATGGATGGAGTGGTTCATTGACATCAAATGGGTTATTTGGGGATTAGATGAGGATCTGTAGCTTCAGATGGTTATCTTCTGTCAAAAATGAACTTTAGATAGCTACTATCACACTTAGATGTGTGCATTCGGCTCTAAATGGTCATCTTTAGACTAAGATGAAGGCCTTCGGCTTTAAATGCTTATTTCCAAGCATAGATGTAGACCTACGGCTTTAAATGGTTATCTTCAGTCATAGATCAAGATCTAAAGCTTCAGAAGGTTATCTTTAGCTTTAGATGAAGTTCTACACCTTCAGATGAGTGATATCAGTCCACGATAGTATCTTAGGCTTTGATTTTAATCATAAAAATGTAATTTAGTATCCCCAATGACTAGTATTACCTCACAATTTCTAGAAAAATCGATTCTAACCTCAAAAAACCTTTTCCAAAGAAATTTATTTTCCCATAAGTAATGACTTTTCAAAACAGAAAAATCAATTTATTTGCCATAACTTGTTCTGTGCCTGCAAATCACATAATACATTTCTTATTTTCTTCTATTAACTCCCCCCTCCCCATGACTCCATAGCCTCCCACTCTTAATCACGTGCTTAATACATTAAAAGAAAATGTAAAAAAAACTCACCTCGTATCTGGCAAAATAATTTTCTTGCTTGACTCCGGCGTCTGTTTGCTCATCTCCATTGCCATCAGATAACTGACATCGGCCAATACAGCCTCTAAATCCGCCATTGTGAGTGTGTTTGTCTAGTTTTTATTATTTTTGTTTTTCTAATTCACTTTTTCTCGAGAACTTTTTTTTCTCCCTTTGTTTTATTCTTTTGTAATATTTATTTTTTTGCACTTTTTCTTGTTGTTCTGCCAGTTTAAAATGAGAAAATAGAAAAAAAATGAGCAAAAAATTTTCACTTCAAATTTGAAAAGAAAAATTTTCACACGCACACCGGCAATTTAAAATAATTTTTTTTACAATGGAATTTTTTAATTTAATTTTTTTCTTTCGTTTGCTTTAATTGCACACACAATTTTGCACGGCATTTACTTATGTTTTTTTTGCTGAACTATTTTAGAATTAAGTTTTCTTTTTCTTATTTTTCAATGATTTTACTTTTATTTTTAAGATGAAATTTTTTATAGTTTCATTAAGTTTGAATTATGTCGTTTACTTTACAAGATTTGTTTTATTAACACTATTGATACCCTATTGAATGAATGGCTACCTTAGTAATTTGAGATGGGTATTAACCAATGGGTGCCGATGGTTCTTATTCTTCGAAAATGGTCCTTATTCTTCGAAATCGAAAATTCGAATTTGAATTTTTTTCAAAAAATGAAATTCCGTTAAAAATATTTCATCAAAAAATTATCTTTGTTTACATCAGTAAAATTTTGATTAATTTTCATTAATTATGGGTAAAACCTGCAAAATTGCAAGCTGCAACAAAAATAAAACAATTACAAATCTTTTTAAAGTACCTAAGCACTCATTAAACAAAGATAAATGCTTGTTATTTTTAAAATCAAACAACATAAGTGTCGACGGAAGTGAGATTTCTGCTGTAAGTGATAGAAACACATTCAAGACAAAATTTTCAGATATTGTTCTTAGTCAGGTTGAAATTCCATTTGAGCATTGTTCAAAGACTATTGAAAATTTAATATTATTTTTTGTAACTTTTCCATCAAAACTTGAGCTTCATTGTCGATTGTTACATTCAAAAAACAAATTTGCGTCGAAGAATTGATTTTTGTTCATAAATAAATTTAACGGTCTTTAAAATTTCAAAATTTTTTATAAAAAATTATTTTTCGAATTTTTTCGAAACAGGTTTGAATTTTAGAAAAAATAACGGTCTACATTGTTGTAGGCACCCATTGGGGTATTAAGAATTAGACTAAGTTTCGAACAATAAAGTTCCCTAAAAGATTAGGTTAAGACTTACTATTGGGTCAGATCAGAGTTATATACGAGTTAGAAAATAGTTTGGTCAAGTAGAACCAATTTAGCTAGTAATTTAGGTTATGGTTGTATTAGCTAGTGCCTGATCAGTGGTAGCTCGGAGCTTAGATCAGGGTTTGATCAAAGTTAATTGGTTCGTCAGATAAAGTATACTAAAACCTACTATTGAGATAGCTACTAGGTTTGTTCAAAGTAAATACAAGGTAAGCTTGTAAGTTGTGTCAACGATTCCTAACGCCTTCCTGTATAGTTTTAAAAATAATTCACCAGTCACAACTAAACAGATGAAATGACAATAAATGAATGACATAATACAACAATTCTGAAAGTCAACTTTACATTGATTGGCAATAAGTCATTCTTAAATCTATACAAGAGCATTATGACATAATCTCCAGAATGCACATCTTCATGAAGTTGCATGCGTATCGCAAAATATAATCCTCGTTACAATTCTGAAAGAAGATTACAGGCATGAAAACCAGAGTCGTTAATAACTTTGACATGTCTTCCTCTACTCCAGCACCTCCAACGACAACATCAAGATTCTTATTATTAATTTTCAAACTTGAAAACGTTTTTCGCAAAGTGAATTGACAAACACAAAAGAAACTTAAATAAGTGAGCGTAATTAGCACCTTTGGTATAATCGAGACTTGATGCTTTAAATTAAAACCATCATCACAGACATCGTCATCATTTCAACACAATCATACAAGTTGATTGCACTTCAGCACTTCCTTAATGATTGTCTTTTATGACTTAATGATGCACATCCATTAAAATTCTTTATTGTACCTTTGATGGTCTCTTTTTGCTGTACTGTTGGAAATGCTGGTATTTAATAGGATTAATCTTTTAATTTGCTACATTTTTTATTGGATGAAAGGGTTCTACAGGGTTAAGTTGGCTTTTATTGAACGCGGTTTTCTGAAGCTGGAAATTGTTCTCTTCAAAATATATAAAAATAGCGCGTTTTGCTCGAAAAATTATAAGAAAAATGAGCTCGTATTTCACAGAAAATTTTGAAAAATCAAATCTTTTGTAAAATGAGTGCGTTTGCTCAGGTGATAAATCTCTGAATCCCCAACTAATTATACCATTTCCTTACTTATTCCTTAGCAATATTTAATGTGACAAACTCCTTATATAATTTACGTGATGAAACTCTGAAAAGAGAAAAAAAGAAATTTACGATAAGCACGATTTTGTTATTTTTTCCACATTCTTTTCAGTTCACAAAAGTTTGTACAACTCGATGGATATGAATATGGCTTATTATATGGCAGTTATGTGATGATATAATTTTCATTTTCTTCTTCCTTTTCAATTTCGTCTTCGTTCTGTTTATGTGTCAATGTCCCTTAGCTGCTTCTTTTTGTGTTACACATTGAAATTATTGGTGGATGAAATTGGCGTGGATGTGACTTAATCGTAGAAGTGCGAGAGAATAGAATGGCAATAAAGTCAGAGATTTTTTGGGAATTGGTGAGCTGAGCAGAGATGTTTTAATAGATAAGGTTAAACTGGAAAGTCAGGTTGACTGATTTTACATCAAATTCGCTCAAATAAGCTAAAGTTGACTCAGATCAGCTCAAGTTTACTTAAACAAGCTCAAGCTGAATAAAATTACTTCAACTTGACTAAAACAAGTTGAAGTTGACAATAACAAGTTAAAGTTGACTTAAATTAGTTCAACTTGATATAAAAAAGTTCAAATGACTCAAATAAGTTCAAGTTGACTCAAACAAGTTCAAAATGACTCAAGCAAGTTCAAATCTCAAACAAGCTCAATCTGAAATAAATTAGTTAAACTTGATTTAAACAAGCTCAAGTTGACTCAGACAACAAGCTCAAGTTAACTCAAACAATTTCAAGTTGACTCAAGCGTAGAAAAAAAGAGTCCAAAAAAATTAATCAAAATCCCCTCATCCCAAGCACGTTTAAAATTAAATTATACAATGAACTCAGTGTCAATCGCTATGCAAATAAAACCAGAAGTGGAGCAAACCAACAAGAAAAAAAATGTAAATAATAAAAAAATGCACCGAGAAGAATTCTTAGTGACTGAATTAAAAGCAATTAATTTTAATTGAGGTACTTTTTTTGTGGATGAAATTTTTTTTTCTCTCTCAATATTTTTTACAATTTTTCCATCTCGCTCACTCGTGGACATCTTCAAATGCTCACTCATTCGTAGTTTCATTCAGTTATTCATGCAAATTCAGTCACAATTCTCATTCCATATCTACTTTCATGACCGCAAACCCTGAGCTGTGTACAAAACAGAACCAGATTACTGTTTTGTTAATAAATTAGCACTTTAAGAGATGATTTTAATTATGAAATGTTTTAAAAGGTGACGATTTAATTAGCTTTATGCTGAACAGATTGACAAAAATGAGTGAAATGAGTGACGCGATGTCAACTTTTTTGTGTACACTTTTGGGTGGGAATTAATTTTAATGACTTGAAATTGGATTGTGTAATTGACAAATTGTTGACAGTTTTAATTGACTGAGATGCAGTTTGGCTTTTGGTCGTCAATTAACTTTGTTAAGTGTGGGATTGAGTGACTCGCTTGTTGTAAAGTGATTCAGTTCCATTTCATATGTCTTGATAATTGATTGGGATAAATCTAATCTGATTTGTATGAATTTGAGATGATTTTGTGCCAACTTGATTTTAATTTAAGTCAACTTGAGCTCAACTTGATCACAAAGTCTATCCTCAAAGACCAGTCAGTTTAAAATATTTTAAAAACTTCCTATAATAAGTTCTCTCAACACGAATTCACCAACTTCATATCCGCAATCAACCACAAAATACAATCCATCCATCATTTGCAACACAATCTAATTGTCACAGCAATCAACCGCCCCTAACATCATCGACAGAATCCCTCATGAAACATTTTTCAAAGACAGAGAGAGAGTGGAATGGCAAACAGGAAAATGAGCAAAGCACACAGCAGAAAATGAAGCATGAAAGTAGTCACAACAGAGTCACACGGAGTCCATTAACGGTCAACACTTGTGGATAAGTTAATTATTTCGATTGTCTCGTGTGTGCAATTAAAGACGGAATGACTTCCACTTCCATGTAAACGGAGATGAAAATGAGAAAAAATTGTTTTTTTCGGCTGTACGAATGAATTTAATTATTTTTTGTTGGTTCGGAATCCTTTTGAATATATCTGACTAGTGCTGGTACCGACTGACTTAATTTGACTCCTTTTGAATCAGCAAGGAATAAATAAACAATTAGTTTTTAACTCTACAGCTCATTTCTAATCCATTTGTCCTTTTGACTCCCTCAGACTCTCACATTCTAGTCTTCCTGACCATTTCTGTCTTTTCTGAATCTTCAAACTCATCCTGCTTCAATGTCAAACCTGAATTTAACCGATTTATTCCTAACACGCTCCTGTTCATCTCTCTAAGTCATCTCAACTTTAGACAAAAATGACATAAATTTAAAAAACACTCAATTTTAATTTTTCATACATCATCGAGCACAAAATTTAAGTCAAGCACAACTATAACATTCAGTTTCAAATTTTTAAAAAACACACTCTCATTGATATTATTTGTGATTCATTGCAACACTCTCGTGTCTGTTTGTTTTTGTTTTGTATCGCAAGATTGCACATTCGTGACGCTCAAAAGCTGCTCAGATAACATTCAGTAAATGAAATTATAGAATTAAATTAAAATTTATTACTAACGAATGAAGGTTGCTAATTGATTGAGCATATTTTATTATTGAATAAAAAAAAGCTGGTTTTTATGATTGAATATGGAATAAATTATTATTGGTTGATTGAGTTTTTTTTTATTTGATGATAATTATTTTTTTACGAATTAAATTTTATGGGATGCTTTTTAAGGAGGTCTCGATGTTGATTATAGCATCAAAATAAAGAGACCAAAGCATAATCTAGGCCTTTGTAAGCTTCACGATAGCCTTAGTCTTCTGTTTTGTGACTTTTCCATTAGAGGTGACATCCCCTCAGCCCTCATCATGATACATTTTATTTAAAATTTGAAAAAAGTTAACCAAAATAATTCCAAAATGAACTAAAACATAAAAGCTGAATAAAAACAGATTAAAAAATTAGGTCATGCAGCTTCATTGTGTCATGAAATAATTATTAGATATTCAGAATGCGATTAATATCCACAGATATAGTTATGTGCATATTATTATGGAAAAACAATATTTTGAATGAATATTTTGGGAATTTATGGACATAATTGAAATGGATTTTGAGGTTTCAATTTGGTTTTGTGAATTAAAAGTGTTGAATAAATGCTGTTCCTATTTTGTGTATACTAATAAGGTATGATAGTGGAATAAATTCGAGAATCTGCTCAAAATTCGAGTTATTATTATTATTATTATTATTATTATTTTATTAAGTTAAAACGAAGCATAATTGATTGAAACTAGAGCTTGAAGTCAACTCGAAATTTTCATCGATTTTGCATAGCAGAGTTGACTCCAAGTCGACTCGACTCCATACAAAATGTCATCGACTTCGAGCTCTGACTGAAACTGAGCATAACTTAGCAAATCTGTTCAACCTTGACAACTTTAACATTCATCTTAATTTTTGCAAGCAAAAATAATAAAATCCAGCACATCCCATCCTCGATATCGCAAACATCCTCACCCACATCCAACCATAACCTTCGCATTTCCTTCATCATCACACATTGTCCCTGCTGCACATTATCATCCTCCTCCAAAAAGTGCAATCGAGCATAAAACCACAGACTGTGTTCAGCTTAGAAACTGAACATTTTTTTTCCTTTATTTTCTCATCTCAAATCTGCCTCAATGTTTTTTTTTTGTGTACATAAAAAAAATTCGTGACGTAAATTGGCCACCGACAGTGTTTAAGAAATGAGAAAAAAAAGTACTTTCTTTGGGTGATTTCGGATCGTCTCGCATGAATTTTGATTTTTTATACTTTTTATGATGAAAATGAACAAAAAACAAAATTCCTTTGGGTATGAAAATCAATCTAGTTTGTAAACTCGTGGTTTTTTGGCCTTTGCTTTAGCTTTTGAGATGGGATTTTTTGAGATAGACGATTGAGAAGTTAATAAATCCTTGTGAATAACTTGTTGGCTTTTTAAAGGAAAGTTTTTAAGGAAGAGATTATTTGGAGAGATTTGTGACTTGATTTTTGCATGAGAGATGAGATGGTGTGATGTGGGAGGCTTTAAATTAAATTGTGGAATTTATGATTTTTGTTTTAAAATAATCTGTCAAAGTTGCTCAGTTTTTGGCCCATCTTCAATTTCCACCTAAACAGTTATTCCTGATAACCACAAATCATTCACTCAACACATGTTCTTTCTAGAATTTATCACAATTTATTTACTAACATGTCGCATCAAAAACCAGCAAAAATGTAAATTCAAATTATTTTACATCCGAAAAATTGCCAAAACATTCGACAAATTAAGGAGCACACCATGCGGAAAATCAGAAGCAGCTTTGGTCGACGGAAAGTAATTTCATTTGTAAATGTCATTTGAATTTTCACGAACGAGCGAATTATGAATGCAAATATAATTTAATGGCTGTTTGAATAGGCTAGCCTGTATTCCTTTGGATTAAAATTGTTGGAATTTTTTTCAAATGTCCACGACAATGACGCTTTGTGCTGGCTTGATAATCCAATCACATTTTCTTGGAACTTTTTAATTCATTGATTTAACGAAGGGCTTATGTGTTCCAATTAAAAAGTTTGAGGCTCAAAAAGAGGCTTATGATGCACATTTTGGATATGTAAAGTTTTTAATTAAATTATAATCAGTTGTTTCTATTTTATGCTTTATCAGAAGTTTCTTAATGTTACATATTAGGTTTTTGTCAACACATTGGCTTGAAAACAGTCATCCCAGCTTTTTAATGTCTCCAATCATGACAATGATGTCCAACTTGGGCTAGTCTATGCCATTAAATGCTAAAGTCAAGTAATAAACTGAGTCAAATTTTAATGTTGTAGTCCAAATCATCAAAAGAAAATTATCAACAAATGATGTCAACCTAATGGTATTCCCCAAATACGCATTTAGTAAGAAGCAATTTTAAAAAAATTCAGAATAATTCGTCAACAATCAAATAATTCAAGTTTGAATTTACAAAAATAAAATTATTAGTAATTTCCTGATAAATTTTGACATTATTCATACTTAGACGTAGACATGAGCAGCTAGGATGATATGGTCAAAATTCTATATCAGCTACTGAGTCACTTATAAATGACATTTTTAAAAACACATTTTTGGAAATCAGAAATGCAAAAAGTTACAAAGTCTTTGTGTTAGCTTGTTAAGCGTAATAGATTATTTGATACTGAGGGACATTTTAACTTTCACGGAAGAATTAAATTTAACTAGAGTTGCTCCCCACTGTACTTCTAGAGATAGCATTCTGATCATGATTTTACGAAACCGTAGGAAATTCTGAGGTTTAAAAAATGACTGAAGATCAGCTCAACATGAATGATGTCGTCTGTTCACAAGGAACTATCTAATGCTTATGATTTCAGAAAGGTAAAACAATGTGATTAGAATCTAAGATAGCGCATTTGAACTTTTTTCACATGAAGTTGTCCTCTCTTGGTTAAATACTGTTCATTGTTGTTGATATCTTTATACTAAAGGCAATTGGATGTTCCCAAAGGATGAAGATTGGTCTCCAGTTTTGTTTATTAAGCCATTGAATACTAAAAATCAAATTCAATCTAGATTAGAGGCATACCAAAAACTTTGTAAGTTCCTGAAGACAACTTTATTCATTGAGAAGACTCCTGCATTAATTATCCATAAAAACATCTAACAATCAATACAACCTGAGCTGCAGCCTGCAGCAGCAAGCAAGGAAATGGAAAAGATTCCAAGAAAAAGCTCAAAAGCTCACCCATGAAAAAAAAAAAAAGATTCAATCCAAAATTCCCATCAGGGGACATCCAAAAAAAATAGGCATAACAAAAAACTAAACCTGGAACTAAGTGAAAAAAGAAGCAATTTTCACGGCACCGAATGGATTTACAAAAAAATTGATTTTCTCTCTTTCTCACTTTCTCATAATTCACTTGACTTGATAATGATTCCAATGGACACCAAAATAATTTTTAATTTTTTTCAATTCTCCATTTTTAATTCCGCATTTTGATCGAGTTGACAAACTTTTCATGACAATTATCGTCAATAATTCACAAATTTTCACATCCAAAACTTACAAAAATTCAATGTAAAATTTTTTTTTCTTCTTTCAAATCACAAAAAAAAGTTTTTTTCTCTCTCCATTTTTGTTTTTGCACCTTTTACGACCCCCGTGGATTAATTTAATGCATTTCGTACGCGATCTTTACAATCGATTAGTCCACAAAAGTCATTTTTTGATTGACAAATTCCAACTCGACCGAAAGTTTTTGCACAAAAAATTTTTTTTCACTGCACACAATTTTTTTTAATAAAAATATTTTTTTTTTTGCTCAATTCGAAGTTCTTTTTTTTTTGCTATATGGAATTGTGTGGATTCGACAGCGATTCTCTCATTTCTTTTACTCAATCTGTCTGAAACTTTTTTTTCTTGCCTTTACAAATTCTTTTTTCACTCGGTTTGAGGCTCTCTCAGCTCTCGAAATTCGACTTATTGGAGTTGTTTTGCTGTCTCGTTCGTGCACATGCGACAGTCTAATTGGAATCTTTTTTTTTTGGTTCTTGGTATTGTGAGAGAAATTTGTTCGAGAGTCGAACTGTCATGAAATGAGGGATTTCCGAAAGATGTCGATGAACAATGTGCCGTGTTTTGATTGTGTTGGTGAGGATATAGTGTGATTTCGGTGTGTGGAGCGTGCGGGAATTTTTGAATAATTTTTTCGATATTTTTAAAAATTATTTTTTATGCAACGGATTTTTTGTGAAATAACATGAATTCAAAATAAGATCAAATTTACAAAAGAAAGCTCAAAAATATATTGAATATTTAACATTAATCAGCATGACTCTAATTTTCGTCGGAATGATTTACATCTTAATTGGTACCAAATCATACAATCATCAAGTTTAGACAGTTGTATAAACACAGAATTTGATGAAATATGCGATTCCATGTAATAGCCAGTCAACGATAAATCATGTGGTGCAACGGAACAGTGAATAATAGTGTAACTTATATATGGGATTTAGCCATATAGTCATCTAACCCTAAAAGCTCAGTGGCAGGAGCATGCGACCGGATATCGTAGGAAGTTGGTTTGAATCCCGCTCGGGATCCGTTATTCGGAGTTACACTTTTTTCTGTGGTTTTGTCATCTAGAAGTTTGCTTCTTCCTTCTAGATGTTTCAATAGAATTAAAAATTAAAATTTCATACAATTCAAAGCTTCAAGCTTCTTGTCGATTACTTGAGAGAGGTAAAGAAAGAGGGCATGAATGGGGTTTAGAGTTTATGGTTAAGAGAGTAAAGAGGCTCCAAATAAACGTCTTGTTGATTAGCATATAATTCTTTTTATTTCTCATGCCTAACATCCAAAAATGTTCCCACTAGTACTCAAAAATAAGAATTCATAGTTAAGTTGCCAAAGAATACCTAAATTGGATGTTTTGATAAGGATGCTAGAGTCCTTAATATCTAGAACTAGAATAAGGTCTCGGAGGAAAGAGCTGTCTTTAGGCGATCTCTAAACTGGGAAATGGGGCCACGTGCGCCCTAGCCAAGAAAGTAAGTAAGTAAGTTAAGTTGTATTTAGAAGAGATTTAATCAAAATGAATTTCAGTGCAAGAACTTAACACCGGTGACGGAAATAATCCGATTTTTGTACAAAAATCAATTGGTCTCTAAGACGAAGCTCTGGGTATCATCAAATTAGCAGAATAATTTTTGAACGTTTATTTTACAAGTTCTTCGTTTAATATTTGTTCAATTTTAATAGGCACGGTCTTAAAACTTGACACAATTCAATGATTAAGAGTCTGTCGATTTCTAGAAAATAAAATTTAACATTAGAACTTCATTAAAGTGTAATTGACTAACTGAATTATTCAAAAAATTTCAAAACTGCATGAAAATCCTTTAAAAAAACTCCGAAACCGAATTCAACCATTCAAGCAAATAAAAACCTACCGAAAAATAGAGAAATAAAAATAACAGAAAAAGCGAATCAAAACAATAAGCAGCAATGAAAATATAAACACAGCTCGACAGTCGAAGTCAACCTTAAACAGCTGTCATAAAAATATACAAACGAAAACATCATAAAAGTCTGGATGTATATGTTAATCCTAACATGTGTTGGTTCCTCCAACTGTCGACAGCCAAACACATTTAAATGTTCGAAAATTCGAACAAGTCACAAGTCAAGTGTCGACACACGACGAACTATCGTAAAAACAACAAAATATAAAAAAAAATACAAAAAAAGATTCTGAAAGTCGAACGGGGCCAAGAAAAACTTTTTTTTTTGTGAAAGAAATTGGAAAATTTTTTTATAAAAAATTGTGAAAATTTCACGGGAAATTGAAGGAAATTGTCGATCGTCAGACTATCAAGGCACGAAGCAAGCGAGTCTGCGAGAAAAATATCCAAAAAACACGACGAGAGCGTCCAAAAAATTACATCAGAAAAATATAAAAAAATTTTGTCGACAGCAAAAAAAAAATTTGTAAAAAAAAATTAAAAACATTTTTGGAAGTTGCTGAAGGAAAATTTGAGTGGAAATCAAGGAAAAGCTGAGAATTGAGAACAAATTTGCTGGTAAGTTCGTCAGAGTCGGGAGAAATTTTCGAGAAATTTTTCAATTTGTCTGAGAAATTTTTTTTGCTCCGTGCTCGAGTGGATGAGAAAAAAAAGTGAAATTCTGAAGATTTTTCCCGATTTATGCTCAACATGTTGCTGTGGATGTGATGAATGTCGATGGATATTCAAGAAATAATTTATTTTGAATTGATTTTTAGGTGAAAATTTGTGAATATTTTGTGAATTTGTTTTTGACTTCAGTTTACCTTTGAGATGTTCGAAAGATTCTATGGACATTACTTTTTCCTCGTAAATCATTAAAATTTCGTCTGGATCTGCTGGATTTTAAGAATTCCTCAGTCATTAGTGCTTTATTTTGCCAAAAAATTGAGAAAACTGTGGAAATTTCAGTGAATTTTTGGGGAAATCCTGCGAAATTTCACTTTTTACTGCTTTATGGTGTGAACATCCATAGAAATCGGACATACAGAAATGGGATTCATGGAGATTTTGATTAGTTTCTGTGAATTATTCTTATTTGATCTACAAAATCGTCTTTTTATGAAATATTCTCAATTTTAAGTCATGCTGTTTGGCAAAATTATGATGAATTTTAATTCTTTATCGATGTTTTTAAGGTCCTTCATCCTCACATCGATTAGTTGCATGGAAAATCTTCATATTTAGGATTTTCATAGGCAATTTTCTTACTAATTGACATAGTTTTTACTTCAAAGGGTAGAATTAATTTGCAGATGAAGGAAATTTTAAGGAAAATGATGAATTTTGGATATTTTGATATGCAAAAAAAATAATTTTGAAAGTGTAGCACAGAAATATTTGGCTTAGAAGCTTAAGTTCTTATTAATTTAACTAAATATATGCAAGCTAGCATTTAGGCTGGAATTTGAAGTCTCTCGTGTCGTCCTTTCATTTTAGATATGCGCCTTGTACAAATCTGGATTAAAATTGACTACTCTTTAGTAAGGGTAACCAGAAATTTTAATTAAAATGGATGACGTCCTTCAATTATAACAGTTTTAATCATTTTATTGATAAATTAATACAGAACATGAAAGAATTTATTATTTTTAAAAAAATTAAAAAATGAGAAGGACTGTCGTTTGAGACACAATGAAATGGTTACAAATGGTTAGGAATGTTTCATTAATGATGTCTGTAGATATTTACTTACTTCGCTGGTTGTAAAGATCAATTATGATCCATGACCTCCCTTAGTCGTCCTCTAAAACAAGCTCTATCGCTGGCTACCGTCTGCCAATTGCCGATTCCAAAAGCAACACTGTCTCTATCAACAGTCTATTTCCATGAGTCTGATGTTTAATAATACTAGTTGATAACAAGGGAGGTAAAAATGTTCATATTTTCCAAGGGTACAAAATAAAAACCATGCAAAATCATTAAAAATCAAAGAAATTCTTTCTTTTAAACATCCTTTTCCTTTTCTTTGTGACTATCTAATGGCTTTAATAAGAGTAGGGTTCGATCTGCTTGAGTTTTCTGTTATATTCATTTTTCCTAAGCAAAATTGATTTGTTGCAGGCTTTTTATTAAGTTGCTCTGTCTTTTGGTCTTGTTCAAATCTTACAATCGATTTTTTGACCATTTTTATTTCTCCAGTCAAGCTTAATTTTCTCAGATTCATCAGAGCAATTCATAAAACCAGTCGACATAAGGATTTCATGTATATTCCATAAACGATTTATGTACACACTAAGGACGAAAGAGATCCATTTTTAATTAATCCTATTTCACACAATAATCATGACGCCTTTTATGAACAGCTCCATCAGAAAATAGTTTGCAATTATTACTATCGAGTCACATACTTTATATCATAGTTAGCAGTAACATTCATTTCATAACATTCACTAACAATGGTTTCATAATATTTTGTAAACATTCCATAAATCAGCCGCAATACATTATTTGATGTTCGGACGACTTTTTTGATGATTTGCTGAGTTGTTTTAATATTTGTGTGCGAAAAATTCAGATTTTCTTAAACTTTGGTGAGGATGACTCACTTTACTGTCTATCTAGTATAGGTTTGGTATGTTCTTTTAATTTTGTGACATTCAGTTTGATTAAATCCACACCCTTGAGCTGGATTACATCTTGTTTGATGACTCCAGAGGAAAGTCTGACGTGTTTTGTCTGCAGTTTTTCCTCATCGTGTGATAATTTTAGGACTCTCCACAACATTACTAGAACTATTAGATGTACTCACATATCTTTCATGATACATTATCAAAAAATCTTCAGTAAATCTACAAAATATTTCACAAAATGTGCCAAAACGGCACCCTAAGGATCAATAAACTTTCATTTTTGGCGATGTGCCTCTTGGGAAACTCCATTGCTCTCACCACATCTTCTTATATTTTCTATGCATTCTTTAAGAACTTTTTATTAAATTTTCATTTTCATTCTAGCTTCATCGGCAGCCATCACATCACTTACATCCTCATAACTCGCTGAAAATTTATCAATAGACCGAAAAATCCACAATCAAATTGAAAATAAAGCCTCAAATGTCATCGACATCGCTCGCCTATCGCATCTCAACCAAATCCAAATGAGTAAGCATCATCACTACCATCAATCCCAATCATCGGGAGGATATCACACATCAACAGGATCAGGAGTTGTTTCAGGTACAACAACAGCAACAACAAAATCAAAAACTCGTCAACTTACTGAGCATTATGGCAATCATCAGCAACAGCAGATCCATCATGAAATTAATGAGATGATGATGATGTCGCAACAGCCACAACAACAACAACAACAGCAGTCAAGTCAGTCAATGAATGGAATGAGACTTCAAATACCAAATGGAATAGCTCAACATAATGGTGGCAATGGTAGTTCCACTGGCGATGTCGATTCTAATGACACAAACAATAACTACAATAAGCATCATCACAATCATCACCATAATCATCATCATCATCATCATAGTCATCACAATCATCGTGATGGAAAGCGGAGTGCATCGTCAGGCAGTGGAAGTGGAAGTGGCGAAGCAAGTAGCTCAAAACGATCAAAATTGAGTGTTAATAATAGTAATAACAACCAGAGTGTGCCAAGTAATAAGTATGGGAGTTTAATTAATAATCATCAGCAGCATCAGCAACAGCAGCAGCAAATTTATGACTCAATTGCGATGCAGACGGGAAATATGATAAATAATAATAATAATACAAATAGTAATAATAATAGTGGTAATAACAATAGCAGTAATGGAAATAACAATCCAATTGGTGGTGCTGGACATTATAATATCATGGAGAAGCTTAAGGATTTGTACAGGGAATTGAAGGGCGATAAAACATGCAAGGAAGTGAGTATAAAGATGATTTTTATTGTTATTAAATTATGATGTGGTGTATTTAGGGTCATTTTGAGGGGATGTGAGGGTTTGAATTTATAAAGAGTGTATATCGAGGCTACATTTAGTTCAGGGATAAACGTACTAGGTTCAAGCGCAACTGTATACTTTTGAACAATAAGTTTCTATTATGCGTACTTCATCTATTACTCCTTAGCTTAATCTAGTACTCCTGAATCTAAAATTGTACTCTCAAACCCAATCTAGTACTTTTAAATCCAATCTACTACTTCTGAATCTGATTTAGTACCTCTTAACCTAATGAAGTACTTATGTGTCGAATTGAGTCCTCCAGAACCTAATCTATTAAAATTCTGAACCTATTGTAGCCATTCTAATACTTAACCTTGAAAAAACCAGAATAATAATTCTTTATTACGATCGTGGAGTGCGTTCAAGAATCTAGATGAAATTCAATATCTCCGTCAACTATCATTGACATTCAAATTTCATAATTCCTGCAATTATTCAATCAGCTTATGACAATTTATTCAAATCTAGTTCAACCTGTTCAAAATTCACAAAATAAATCAATCGAAGTAAAAAATTAATTCAAAAATGAGCCAAGGTCATTGAACATATAAAACACAAAAAATGAAAAATTGAATTTTTTGAATCACGCACATGGCGATTGAGGGAATATTTATAGCTTCTGTCTTAACTTCTGTCTTTATTTCCATAAAAATATTTTTTGGGAATTTTTGAATAATGTTGATATACAAAATTTTAATTGCTCTAAAATGGTGTTGATTTGTTTTTGGAAGGATTAGGTGGTTTATTAAGGAATAGAAACTACGAGTTTTGAGCAAAATTGATCAAAGGTGTAGAAAGATACCAAATCAAAAATACAAGGGTTCGAAACTACGCATCTGAAATCTAAGGGGTTTAAAACTATGATTACAATATAAAAAATATTGTACAGAGAGTAAACTATAAATTCAGGATCTAAGGTGTAAAAACTACGAATACACAATTTAAAGGGTATCAAACTATGAATACAAAATATAAGGGGTTTAAAACTATGATAAAATCAATGACTAAACGAATAACAAACCAAAATTCAAGAACTTATTAATTCAATATTTCACACATTTTATCCTTTTAGTTACACTTATCATCATCATCATTTCTCCTCGACAAGCTCGTAACCCGAGAGCGCCTCAATACACTCATAATCAACCTCTACCCAGGCAACAAAGGCTATTCGTTGGCATTTCGTGTCCCGACCGCTACAACCGCAACCACACCCACATCATCAATGCCAAAAGTTCAACAATCATTACAGTCACAGCAGTCTCAACAATCAGAACGTGAAACGGTTCACGAAACATCATCATGGCTATATGACAATGCTCACCTACTGGACGCACTCGATGCTGAAGAACTTCCACCACTGCTCATAGACTTTTGCAATGCTCATTGTCCACATTTATATTACAATGGTGCTGTTATTGCACAAATTCGTGATTATCGTCAGAGTTATCCATTAGACATCTGTGATATTCACTATGTGCTGTTACGGCCGACAGCCGCTGCTTTATGGGATGAAATAAATGGTACAGTCGACACTAGTTGGAGTATAAAGGAGCGTACAGCACTCGAATCTCAACTAGTTCTCGCTACCGCACCACCAATGTGTCTCGATCCATCACCACAAATTGGCATCGCAGCAATCAACTCATCGACTGAACGATCACCAATCGCATCATGCGACGGTGTCGTAAAAATGGCCAAAAAATTCCTTCAAGTAACGAAAAATCGAAATAATAAATTGGAGAAGAAGACACATTATCCTCAATTGTCGTTGGCTAATCATATAAAGCATCAACAGAAACGTGATAATCAAGGAACATCAAAAGGTGCGCCAACGGCACCAAGCTTCCCATTAATGCCTAATGATAGTTGTAGTAATGAGAATGTGGATATAGGTAGTAGCTTTAAAATACTTCCAATTGTGCCGCCATCGCAGCGTTATGATTGGCAAGCGCGCAATACCGAAAGACTTACATTTGAGACAGATCGTGACAATTGTCAATATCGTGTGCGAGTGGAGCTGTTTGAACGAGCCACGACATGTGAGGTTAGTGGTCAGTTGACGCTCGAAAGACAAAAGAGTGGAAGTCAAGTGAGTGGGCGAATGTGTCCATTTAAATTAGCAAGTCCGCTGGCTGCACGTCGTTATGTTAAGGAATTTATGGGAATTTTTACCGAAGAGGGTCGAAAATTTGTTAAAATTATTCACGAAAGGGAAACGAGGGTGGGTAGGGAAATTACTGAGATGCAGACAGGCGAAAAAGTCACAGCTACGACAACGACATTACAAAGTCAACCGAAAATTCAAACAATTCCGATAATTGCGCAACCAGCACAAACACAGCCACAACAATTAATTGCACCGCAGCTACAAACACTCCAACAACTCATAACTTCACCTCCACCCGCATCAACATCAATAACGTCGCCCCCGCCACCTGCTCTCGTTGCTACCACACCGACTACATTGAAATTGACAGCGGCACCACAAAGAATAATCACAGCTCGACCATCACCAGGACAAGTTGTTGTATTGACTCAGGTTAAACAGGAATCGCCTGGAAATCAAGTGATAAAGAATCTCCTCAATCAGCCACGTGCACCGATGACACAGAGCATGGTGAATGGATTGGCTTTGCCTGCTGGACAAGAAGTTCAAACGGTTTATCTTCAAGTTGATAATAGTAATCTAATACACATGGGTAGTGCTGTGCCGGCTAATCTACAGGTAAGTTTTTTTTGCACTAGATTCAATGAACTTTCCTGAATATTGTTCTTATTATGTACTAGATTTTTCTTTTTTGTACTAGATTGTTCGTGATTTTGAACTAGACTATTCATTTTGTGTACTAAATGACCCCTATTTTCTGTACTAGATTAATTCTATTTTCTTTACTAGATTAATTCTATTTTCTTTACTAGATTAATTCTATTTTTTACTAGATTAATCTTAATTTGGACTAGACTTTATCTTTTTTGTTCCAAATTTTAAATTAGATTGTCTCTAGGGATTTTGTGCTAGATTATCTTTTTATTTGACTAGATTACAATCGATTGTAATTCATTTCTAGATTTAATTACGCAAATTTTGGATTAGAATCGCAAATTTTAATTAAATTTTAAAATTTAAAATGTTTTTTCAATTCCAGTTCCAACAGCTAATCGTTCCTGCATCGCCAGGAACGCAAACCACACCAACATACACAATGAATGTTCAAACGGTGACACCGCAACAGGTGACAGTCGTGAAACGGCACCGAGACATGTAGTTCGGATAAACAAAAATAAATTTTGTAGGCGACGAAACAAGAAAATTATTTAAAAAAATCTAGGAATAAAAAAATTTAAATTAAAAAATACTAGAAACAAAAGAAGAAAAAAGGAATTGAGTGATACAAAAATGGCGGAATAATGGAGCGATTGATTTTTATACGCAAAATAATTAAAAACGTGCTTTTAAGTTTACGTTAAAAGGTAAGAAAAAAACAATTAGAATTGACGATAAGATTTTTTGTAAAAAAAAACAATAAAAGAATTAAACTAGCAATAAAGGCTTGGACATAAATCACAATCAATATAATTAATGATAAATGGACTAGATTTTTAATTTTCTTAAATGTAATTTTTGTAAGACAAAATTTTTTGATTTCCGTAATGTCTTTTAAAAATTCAATTATTTGTGGTATTTTAAAATTTTCAGACCAAATGACCAAGTTGAATTGTAGTTCCTAGTTTACAATTACGACTAGAAATGTCTAAATATTCAAAAAAAAAATTATTTTCATTTTAGACTCAGCAAAGCAAAATTTTTAAAAATACAACTAAGTTAAACAAAGCTATAAACTACTTTAACAAATCAATAGGACATAGGACAACATCAACTCAGATGACGATGAAGTTTCGAAAGAAAATTAACAAAAAATGGATTTAAATTACAAAAAAACCTACAAAATAAAGCCCTAGAAAATAGACTCATCAACACACATAGTTATGTAAACAAATTCAATGACAAAAGAACTTTAATGAAAGAAACACTGATGAACTTTATGAGGAACTAAACAAAAAATTTAATATTTAATTCTAATGTTTAATTGATTGTAAAAAAGTTTATATTTAAAAACAAAAAAAAATGTGAAAAATGCTAAAGAAGTTTTGAAATTTTTAAAATTAATTTGTTTATTAGTTTTTAATTTAATTTAATTTTTAAAAAATGAATAATAATGAATTAGGAAATTTAACAAATTGAAATAAAAAAAAGAATTTTTGAAAAATGAATTTTAAAATTGTGGATATTATTTGTTTATATTTCTATTAAAAAATTTTTGAATTGCTTACCATTTTTTTAAATTTATGAATTTTCCAAATATTTTTTAAATTATTTTACATTTTCAATTAAATTTTTCATACAATTTTTAAATTTTTAAAATGTAGAGAATTTTAATTTGGGCAAAAATTTCAATAAATTTTCCAAATTTATAGACAACTTTTACCTCTTAGTCCTTCTTTGTTCCCTATTACTATTTAAATTAACTACTCCGGAAAATATTTGTATTGATTTATTTTTTTAAATTGAAAAAAATGTGTAAAAATCATATTTAAATTTCACAATTTTTTTGGTGGTTCTGAAAATTTAAGCGAAAAAGTGGAAATTATTAGGTAGAATAAACAAAAAAAAGAAAAATAAAATAATAATGAAAATTAAAAAGAAAGTTGATTTTAAAAAATTTAATGCAACATTTTTATAAATGTTTTAATGTTTTAAAGCAGTGTGGTCCAAAGTTTTTGAGCCACGGCGCACCTTAGGGGTAAGTCATGACCAAAATCGCAATCAGCTCACTTTAATGATTAGTATATATGTAGGCTGACCATCTGCTAGGTTTTTCAGACTACAGTCCTCTATTATTTTTTTTGTAGACACGTGGGATATTCTAAATTTTACTTTTAGGTTTCTTCTTATTCAAAAAATATCTGATCACTCTTTATAAATGTCTAATTAAAGTCTTGTTAATGTCTAGTTCTGTATGTCAGCATCAAAATGACAGAGAATTTTTTTTTAAAAAAAAGAACAAATATCGCTTTATTATACAATTATTTTTATAATTTTTTTACATCCACTAGAAGTATTGTTAACTTTTTGACACTTATTAATTGATAAGCATTACAATAAAATTTATATGTTTTATAATTTAATCTTTAAAGCCAAACAATTCAATCAATTTTAATGAAAATGTCTGAAATGGTTGTAAAGTGATATCGAATACGTAAATTGTTATAGTTTAGAATCAAAATATTTCAGCCAATAATCATTATTTATTTAAATTTAGTTGCCACTATAAACCGCATTTAAAATTTTATCAATTTTTTCTTCAAGATTTTCAATTTTTCCCTTTAAGTTTGAAATGTCACTCAGAATCGATGAATGTTGGACGTCATTTTTGATCAATTCTGACCTTACCTCTGATGAATGCTCGAAAAGTTTTTCATTTATTTTTGTAAATTCATCCTTCATGAGATAAAGTGTTTGATAATTGACATCTGTGCATGACTCAGCAAATGAGTTTTTGAGGTTATGTTCAGTTTGATTTAAGGAAATTTTAAAGGTTTCACTCAAATTGTTCTCAAGATCATTAAAGTTGTCATACATGCAATCGTCAGGCTGGGCGGATGTCTTGGTTACAGCAACTTCTGTTGTGCTGGATGTGAATGGATTTTGAGTCGTAAAATCTCCAATTTTTATGTCATTCAGAACCTCAAATCGTTTCTTTATGCTTATCAGATATGAAAATTTTGAGTTATTAAATTCATTTTCCAAATTTTCAAGATTTCTTCTCCAAATTGAAAAAGTTTCAAATGTTAAATTTTTTGATTCCGTTTCAACATTTGATAAACTTTGGGAAAACTCATCGAAATTGGCGTCAATGCATTTTGTTTTTAAAGACTCGACTAATATTTGGACATCAGTGTGACTGTTGTGAGCACCAGCATTAATGCATAAATTAGAGTCAAATACCAAATAAGTAAGATTATTCATGTTATTGAAAACACTTTTACCGACATGAATAATTTTATTTGACTCGTACCAAAGAACTTGCATGTCCGGATTATTGTCAAATAAACCATCCTCAAGGATTTCAATTTGATTTCGAAATAAACTTAGAAAAACCAAATTTTGCAGGGGTTTAAGGTGCGTATGACTGATTTGATTGATTTTATTATTAATAATGTAAATTGCTTTAAGGTTTTTGAAGAATTTATCCAGATCCTTCGGAAAATATCCCATTGTTTTGTTATCAACATGGAAAGCATTCACGTTATCATTGTCATATCCACTTAGATGAGTTCCTGATACATCCTCAATGACAGCATCGTCCGGTTGAGTTATTCTCAAATCATTTGTAACTTTACATGTGTATACAGTATCCACAGAGCTATAGGTGGACCAGATGAAATTACATTTAATATTCACTGATTTAGAATATTTAATTATTGAGAACAAGCAAAGCAGAAATCTATTTAAAAAAATTTTTTAAACAAATTAAAATTAATCAATTATTTATTTTATTTTTTACCGAGTAAAATGATAATTTTTATAACAAAATTTTAAATAAATTAAATACTTGCAATAAATAAAAACATTTTCCCATTATTTGTAGATTTTATGAATTTTTGTGGAAACTTCAAATGTTTACTGTTCAAAAGCTACTTTAAAGTGGATTGAAAGGCTAGAGAGGCTACTTGCTTTATATTTAACCAATAAAATTTATCTCTAAAATATTTGATAAGATTTATTCCGTCTAATCAGCGGTTGTTGGCTTTATATACACGAAAATTTATTACCTAATTGATAACACCACTACTTTTTGCTCAATCATTTTTTAAATTAGTCAGAGACTGTTGATTCATGTTAAAGTAACTATGTATAAGTTATTCTCATGTATGTTTGAAAAATGTGCTGTGAACCAAAAAATTTTTTTTCGTGGCATAAAATAGGCTATCGCTGGTCAATATGATTCAAATGGCGGTAAATTGGCATCACTGGCAAAAGTCCTAGATTCTCCCTCAGACCAAATCATGTTTTAGAAGCTGCTAAGGTCTCTTTTACTTATTACTTTTGAATTTACTAGTCTCTAAATAACTTTACTATTACATCCTTTGCAATTGAAAAAATATCAAACCAAAATTTCATTTTTTTGAAAAAATTAAATTTAATTCATATATAATTTGTATTTTTCAAGTTTATTACAATTTTTTAACCAAAATTTGATGTAAAAATTTAAATTTATTTTTTAAATGCAAAATTTTATTTTTTTAATGTGTTTAATCCAGTAAAAAAATTACCATTGAGTCAAAAAATCAAAAATAATTAATTTTTATATTTAAAATGCTTTTCCATCATCTCGTAATTACTTTGATAATTATTGCTTATTTATTAATATTTATAAATTATTTCAATAAATTTTAATTTAAATTAACGAGGTCAAGCAATGCTGATAAAAGTTTGGAGGTTCTGTATTCTAAGTGTCAGAAAAATCAAAAAATTTGTAATTTTTCTAAATTCTGCAGTACTTGCAATCTTGTCTTAATGCTACTCAAATATGAAATTCTAGATGCACTAAACTCATTTTGCAAGTCATCAAGTTTTCCGCTCCAAATTTGGAAATTTTCATCATTTAAATTTTTTGATTCGATTTCAAAATTTGCTAGATTTTGTGAAAAATTACCAAGCTTGTCATCATAACATCTTCTTTTTAGTGCTTCAATTATTGAGAAGACCCTTATTGGGCTGTAGTGAGTGTAATCATTAATACATTGATTAGATCCGAACCCAATGTGAGTTAAATTTCTAATATTATTAAAAACGTTTCTACCAACATGAAAAATATTGTTGCGATTAAACCAAACTATTTTTAATCCCAAATTATTATCAAAAAGTCCATCTTCGAGCACCTCAACATTAGAATGTGACATTTCTAAATATTTAAGGTTAGGAAATGCACTAATATGTCCTTGATTGATCTCCTTAATTCTATTATAAGGCAAATAAATGATTTTAAGATTTTTAAAGAATTTTTCCAGTCCTCTTGGAAAATATTGAATGTTTTTCTCAGCAGCGTGAAAGACATTAACGTCATCATTAGTTCTATTTATCATGTGAGTGCCTGACACATCCTCAATTTCAGAAAATTTGATTGTTGTTATGTTGAGATTCTTTGTAATTTCACATCGATAGACTTTACCAATGATGATGTAGTTATGGGCATCGTTGAAGTCACATTCAAGGTGTACAGGTGCTGAATATTCCAATATTGCTAAGATGCAGACCGTTAATCTAACATTAGAAATAAAATAAGCTTTAATAATCTCAATCTAGGGTACGAAACTTGTTTCTGTCAATCAAAAATGTAGCTGACCTGCTTTATAGATATTTTTGTAAATTGTAAATAAATTTTAGAAAACTCACAACAATAATTTTTCCATTCCAATCCAATTTCTAATCTGCTCACTTCAAGAACACACGAAAGAGTAAATCAGAATAGCCAAAATAATCAAAATCATCTCCTTATTTACTTTGATAACCCTTATTTACTCTAATATACAATTGTCATTACAATTCCGTCCGTTATGACTATTATGACGTGAAACTGTGATTGTAGAATGCTTTATCAATACGCATAATATGTTTTGAGTGACTAAAAAGAAAATGAACGTCTAATGTAAAAATAGGAAAGATACTACGGCTCAACGAAGTGAATCAAGGGTGCAAGAAGCCATACCTTTGTAGTTTCGGATAAAATTAGAAGAACCAGTCTAATTTGATGAGATGAGAAGAGTACTAATTATGATATTGGAGGTTAAAAGGGGTTGGAGTGGGGACTTGAGTTACAATAAAGTCAATAATAATCAAATGATAGCACGATGTTGCTTGGTACCTTAACAAACACATCCACATGGTTTCTATCAAACATTATGACATATAAAGCCATGTAGATGGGTTCATTAAGTGTAAAAAACATAACACATTTATCAGGATAATAGAGGATATCCAAAATGTCGACAATTTTATTTTTCAATTCTGACGAAACAAAAAACAAAAACAAATTTATTTTTAAAAATTTATCAGCCCTGATTCAATTTTCTCTCGTTAGTTCTTTCAATAGCTCCGCCAACTGTCTCGTCAAAATCCCTTCAATCTTTTTGGTCAACCTTCCTTCCATCTCCTTAATCTTAACATCAATTGTTTTGACAATCTTTCCATGCATCGCATCCAATTTACTATCAACTTCCTTTCTTATGCTAATCAGATTACTAATTTGAGCATTTTTGAGGCTATGTTCTGTTGTATTTAAAGCCTCAGTCAACAGTTCCATTAAGTTTTCATCAACATCTGTCCATTCCATGACCATGCAATTTTCAGAGTCACTTCTTGGAGCTTCTAATAGTTTTGAAGATCTAACATCGATTGATGTAAAGTTCTGAACATCTATGTCTTTTAAAGCCTGAATTTTTTCCCTCAAACTTGGAAAATTTGTAAATTTTGAATCTTCAAAAACATCCTGCATACTTTGAAAGTTTTCAGTCCAAGCCCCAAAAGTGTACGAGTTTAAGCTTTTTGACTCTTTTGAGAGTTTTTCAATATTATTGACAATTGCTGTGTAATCGGAGCTGACACACTTGCTCTTCGTATATCTAATGATCTTCTTGACTTTATCAACATTTCCAGATGAGAACATATCGATGCACGGGTTCTTGCTAAGCCACAAATGCGTGACTTTGTCCAAATTCTTAAAAACGTTTGAATCGACGTGGAAAATCTTGTTCATGTAAAATGAAATGAGCTCTAAGTGTGGATTGCTGTCAAACAGACCTTCTTCAAGGATCTCAACGTCATTTTTGTATAAATTTAGTTCCTTCAACTTTGGAAATGGCTTTAAATCTGATTTGTGTATTTCTTTCAAATTTCCCTCCCAAATACTAATTGCTTTAAGGTTCTTGAAGGTTTTATCAAGGTTGGTTGGGAAATATTCAATAATTTTTGACCATGCAAAGAATGCAGTCACAAAGTCATTAGTCTTTTCCATTTCATGAATCCCATAAGCCATGCTGACTTCTGTAGACTCTGGTGAAGTTATGTTTAGGTCATTCTGTACTTCGCAGCGGTAGGACTCTGGTAAGACATAGTAGGTTCCTTTCATATTGTAGTTGCATTGAATTGTGGTGGGAGATGTTGAATTGATGAGTAGGATGGAGAAGGTTAGTAACCTAAAATAGGAGGAAAATTGGAAAAATTATGTTTGTGGAAATTAAGGAATCTTCCTCGAACCTAGTTAAAAAAATTTCTCAATTTAAGTACTCCTTAAGAGCCTTGGATCTTTAAAGTACGACAAAACCAAAGCCTCTTATTGTCAATATCGAAGACAAAGGAATCTTGGGATTTTCAATTTTTAATAGATTTGAGAACTAAAGAGAGTTAAAAGAACCTTTAAGATCCTAGTCTTAATGTTAATTTGTATACTATAAGAATTAAAGTTAACTGGCTTCGTTGAGTGGGTTAGGAGACCTATTGAAGCACTCCTTAATAAGTTTCTTGAGTCTTATTTTGTAGATGGCAAAAGAGCACATGGACGTCCCAAGAACTTTGAAGCTGTTGACAGAGACACTTAGTTTTGGTAATTGGCAAGCGATAGAGCCAGCTTCAGGCACCATCTAAGGGAGGTCATTGATCACAATTGATCTGTACGGCCAGAGAAGGAATTTGTATACTTACAAGCAATATTTCAACATTTTTTTCTCAAATGTAATCACACTTTTGTATTTTATAATCCTCCTGAATCAGCAAACAACACGCAAATAATCTCAAAATATTCTAAAAAACAAACAGCAGCATGTCAATTAATTGAGAAGATTTGAGTAAGTTCTCAAATGAGAAAATATAAATTTAGTTTGTTTACTTCTAATTCAATTACGAAACCTATAATAAAATTATTAATCTCATTAAAATTCAAGGCAAGTGTGTCATCACATCAGAATTCATTGATAAGAAATCATTTTATGAAATTGAACTTAAACTTCTAATGAGCTTTAGTTTGATTTTCAACTATGCGTTAATAACAAATCCGGTAAAGAAAGCTTAAAACGAACACAATTGCATTAAGTTACCCGAAAATAATGCTTCAGCTTTTTTCTCCAATCAAAATCAAATCTAAATGTTTATCTCAAATGTTCGTCATACGATGAGATTGCCGAAAGCATAGATCATTTCGCTCGTTTGTTAAATTATTTTCAGTAGTCGGTGTGTGATCACTAAGAAACGACAAAATTCGTGTAGTGATTAGTAAAGCTTGATTAAGTTCAATATTTTTTTAATGTAAATTTAATTGATTCAATTAAAGATTTATTGAACTTTGTTTAGCGGTTACAGTTAAGTGAAACATTAAGAGTGTCAAGAATATTTCAATTTTCTGATCATTAAAATGTTAAGCACCTTCAATAAGACATGCAAAATCGCAATCCTTCCTAAACTCTTCTTTGCCAGTTAAATGTTAAATGAAGTGAAGAAATTTTAATGAATCTTGACAATAAGTGACTGCAAACTCCTATAAAGTATAATGCAACATCAAAAGCATTATTAAATTCAAGACTGAGTTAACAAAAGTGTCTGTTCCTTTCCTAGTCATGCATTTAAGTTTCTTATCTAGAAAATTACAATTTTCCTGCTTCAATTTTTTTTTATTAAAATTATGTTCATTTTTAATTGAATGTCGATGCAAGGATTTATAAGTTATGTCAGCAACAAGATAAATTCTTATGACTCAAGCAGTCGCAATAATGATTTTTAAACAAAAGTATCTGATTTCATACTTTTGGATGTCGTGTCGTGTAATTTGATTACTTTTATCGCTGATTTTGAAATACTTGATCTCATTTTTAAATAATTTCATAAGTTTTTCGAAAGTGTGTGTAATGAATGTGCTTAAAGACTTGAAATCACATAATGATGTAGTAAGAAATCGAGGAATTGAACCTCATTTATTATTTTTTAGTCATTTTGCATTAAAATATCACTTACATATTTAAATTTATACAACAAACCTCAAAATTAAGGCACTTTCATTATTATTTACTGAAGTAAAGATATTAGCAAAGATACAGCCACGGCAATCTTTTAATCTTTGCTGCATCCTGCTTCAGAAGATGAATGAACTAATCAAATTTGAGAATCACAATTCAAGTTTAAACTTCTTGCTACTCTTTTAATATCTTCCGACTAAAGATTAATGTTTATTCCAGGAATGGCCGCTGTGGAGCAAGTTGAAGCTTAATCAAGCTTGTTCAATGGCTGCTATTTTTGAAGTAATTTGATTATCGAACAGCACGCAGTCCTGGTTAATCAGTTTTTAAATGATATTGATAAATTTGATAAACTTTGCAATCCTGCCAGTGTCAACATGTCAAATTCTGATCGAAACGCCTGTAATTTGGCGAAAAATTGAGTAATTAAATGATTGTTGCAGTTTGTTAAACGCTTAAAGTTATAATTAGCCTTAAGGATTCTGTAACAATAGATTTGATGCTTAAAAATAACAAAAAATTAATAAAGTGCAAATCCCTACCTTGGTTGATGAATAATTCAGGGTTTTCAAGTTGGATTTAAAGTTTGATGAAAGGATGTGCTGGGAATTTTAGGTCTCGTCACTCCTGTGTCTTAACTTTTACTTATTGTGTTGAAGAATCACATTGTAAAGAAACACCTTAAACTCCCAAAATTGGAAATCATTTATAAACGACCCTTAAAATTATTAGCCCTTTAGCAACAACATTTACATATTTAAAATTTTTATTTTCTTAAGGTTTTACATGAAATCTTAAAATTGCACCAAAAAAAGTCACCAAAATCTACAACTTAGAAAACACAGCAGCTTCTCCCTTTGACTGCCCAGCCATAACAGCATTAACAAAGTCCTCACTCTGTAAGTTCATCCTATTAATCTCCATAATATGATCTAGACCTTCTTGATTTGTGTGATCCAATGAATATACCAAATTCTTCTTAGTTCCTTGGACAGCCACAGGTGATTTAGATGCAATTTCTTCTGCAAGCTTCAATGATGCTTCAACAAGCTCCTCTTTTGTGTCAAAAACTCTCGTTACAAAACCCCAGCGAAGTGCTTCGTCTGACTTAAATTTCCTTCCTGTAAAGCAAAGCTCGCGGACCAAACTTTGACTGCCAATTGCTTTTGGAAAGCGCTGTAAAGTTCCAACATCTGCAGCCATTCCAATGTCAACTTCTTTAATCGAGAACCAGCAGTCTTTTGTGCAGTATCTGATGTCAGCTGTGGAGACTATATCAACACCAGCACCAACAACAGCTGAATGTGTAGCTGCAATGACAGGCTTGACACATCTTTCAAGTGATGAAATGGAATTTTGATGATGAACGATCAGTTCCTCCATGATTTTGGCTTTTCTAGATACGTCAGTGACTCCTGCAAGTTTCTGTCCAACTTGAAGCATGTCCATTAAATCAATACCAGCTGTGAAGTGCTTTCCAGCTCCTGTTAGTACAATTGATCTGACATCCTCAGATGCGTTAAGTTCGTCAAAGCATTGGCCGATTTCACTAGTTTTGGACAATATTAAAGATTAATGTGGATGTAATTGGATATAGATCTGTGTGTTATACATTAGCAAAACATGTACGACCAACTAGTTTGCTTAAGCTATAGCTCACGTATGATATTTTCTTGTACTTACTGCCATAAAGTGTAGTTTAAGGCATTCAATCGGTCTGGTCTATTGAGCTCAACATGAGCAACAAATGCCTGTAAATTAGTGACACAAAATATTAAGAAATCGATCATATAGAAGATTGGAACTGCTGCATCATTGAATGCGCGTCGTTTTGAGTGTTCAAAACTTAAGTTAAATAAGAGTGTTTAAAACTGGCTTTACACCTTTAGTGACAACCTGAACAGTAGCAACGACCAGGAAGCTGAGGATGCATCTAAGTGGATAGTGTTACGATGCAGTGACTTATAACTAATTTATGAGCATTATAGTCACCGAATCGTAACCTTATCTATTTGATGCAATATAACACAGGAGAAATATTTTGAGGAGATGTGGGTCTGAATGTCAGCAGTGGCCGTGAAAGAAAGTCCGCAGTTTGGTAGCAATTTTGGAGCTTTATGTAATCTGCTTCGACCCAGTCAGCCTCTCAATTGCTTCCGAACTACATTTCCATGACTACATGATCATGTGTGCTACCGTTAAGGAATAAATGAGCTCTATGATCCTCTGTTCTTTTGGTCTATAGCTCTTCAGATCAACAACAATTCAAAATCAATCTTCAAACCTTTATAGCTCATCAAGAATCATTACCTTCGGTGTGGAAACCTTCAGCGTCTCGAAAGTCGATAACATTCTACTGGATTGTCTACTAATGATCGTTCTGGTTAGATTAAACATTTAAATAAATTTTTGAACACTTTTGTTATTTATAGAAACTGGAAAAACCTCAAGATAGCACTGAGTAAGTGACGAAATAGACTTAGATAAAGTAGATAGGAAAGATTAAGTGATTTTGAAGGTGAATTTTATACTTTTTGTACTGATTTTCGATTGAGAGTTGAGAAATTAATTTTGAATTTCAATAAATTTTAATTAGTTTTGTTAAAACTTAGTCAAAAGTTTATAAAATATTGAAAAAGTTAATTCCAAAATTTTAAAAACTCAAAAAAAAAATTTCTCTTCGCTCTTGCAACGAACAAAGTTCAACTTCAGTAAAATCACAAAATAAAAACATCGAGGGGCAAGTCAGCAATCGAAACTTCAATCACCAAAATCCTCAACATTTGATAAAAAGTAAATAAAGTTAAAAAAAAAAAGTAAACAAACCTTTTTGATAATTTTTGAAATAAATTCAACAATTAGACATTCCAAGTATGAGCAATATTGGCGGAGCTGAAACAGACAGTGAAGATGAGCTGCCATCAGCATGGGAGGAACGAGTCACAAATGAGGGAAATGTCTATTATTTAAATCATCAAACTAAGTCTACACAATGGTGAGAATGAACTTTTGGACTTTGTGGTTTAGGAGGCTTCATTTATAGTATTGACTTATGATGGTTCCAGAATTGAATTAAAACTGATAATTCCTTTCGAATTTAATCTTAAGTCAGAAATCACCGGTTTATTTGAAATATGACTAGGAATAATAAAGTATTGTCTTAATGCTTGCTGTAAATGACAAAATTTAACAGCTTCGACAAAGCTCTACCGCAAAAATCACTTTCAATTAAAGATTGCTTACTTCGAAGGCCATAAGAGCAATTGTGCTCCATGAGCTCCCTTTGATTGCCCTTCAAGCTGATTTTTTCGCTGGCTAAAACTTGAAGATTTTTGATACCAACTACAATACTGCCTCTGCCAACATTCTCAAGATTCAATTTAACTCAATGATTTTAATCAACTTCCTTTTCCAACAGGACTCATCCAAGAACAAACAAAATGAAAAAGGTAACTGGAAGTCTACCATACGGATGGGAAAAGAAAGTTGAAGAAGATGGAAGAATATTGTTCATTAATGCTGAGAAAAACGTTCAATCATTCACAGATCCAAGGTTAGCATTTGCTCAAGAGGTGAGAATTAAATTTAGGGAATGGGTAGATCAAGTCTTGGTGCCTTGATTGTCGTGAACTCTAATAATTTTGACTAGCAAGTCTAAACTTAATTGGAGGTCATTTTTAACCAAGGCTGATTAAAATCTACGGGAGCCTTATCTTTAAAAAGTGTTTAAGGCACTAGAAATAAAATAGGAACTTAAGCAACCTCATTTACCACCTATAAGCTATAGATTTAAGCAATGCTTGACACCTCAGTCAACTCTTTCATATTATAAGTTACATCAAGTTCCTTAAATAAACCTATTTAAGCCTAGGTACTTTCAAAGCAACCCCATGTGTTGAGCTACACTTAGTGCTCCTTCGTGCTCAATTTTAACGATTTTTATTTGAATCTCCAGGAAGCAGGACAATCAATCCGTCAAAAATTCGACTCATCATCGACAGCACTTTCAGTGCTTCATGGAAAAGACTTAACCGGAAAAATAGCTCTCATCACGGGCTCTAATATTGGAATTGGCTTAGAAACTGCTCGATCTCTAGCTTTTCATGGCTGTGAAATTATTTTTGCATGCAGAAATCGGCAAACGACAATGGAAGCAATGGAAAAGCTGAATGAAGAGAGACGCGGCAACTGTAAATTAAACTTTATTCAACTTGACTTGTCGAGCTTGAGAAGTACGAAGAATTTTTGTGAAGAAGTTAAGCGACAATATCAGAAAATTGACTTTCTTATCCTTAATGCTGGTATCTTTGGACTTCCTTATGGGACTACTGAGGACGGTCTCGAAAGACATTTTCAAGTCAATCACTTGTCACATCAATTTTTGACTACTCAGCTATCAGAACTGCTTAATCATGAATCAAGAGTCGTCGTTTTGTCCTCAGAATCCCACAGATTCTCAAACTTTCCAAAACACGACTTGACAAAAGAAATTCTAAGTCCATCGGCATCAAAATTCAGCAGCATGATGGCTTATAACAACGCAAAACTTTGTAATGTCCTTTTTGCTTGTGAATTAGCAAGAAAATGGCAATCGAGAGGAATTTCTGTGTTTGCTGTCCATCCTGGTAACATGATATCGACTGGAATATCGAGAAATTGGTGGTTCTGGCGCTTCCTATTCGTTCTCGTTCGACCATTTACGAAATCGCTGCAACAAGGTGCAGCGACTACAGTGTACTGTACAACAGCACCAGAACTGACTGGATTGACTGGAATTTACTTTAATAATTGCTACATTTGTGAACCATCGAAATTGTCACAAAATGAAGATTTAGCTAAAGAGTTGTGGAATCTTAGTGAAAAGCTGATTAAAGAGATTTTTGAGAACTATGGAGATGGAGCAGCTGGAGGTACTGGGATGTTTATAGGAAATTAATAAGGTTTTCTGGCTTTGAATTTTGTTCATGCCTATGTTCATCTTGAGACATCAATGTGAAGAAAGGATTAATGCCAAAAAATTTAATTTCAAAAATCAATAAAAATTTTCTCTATTTAATTAATGAAAGTGTTTTTTATTGTGTTTCCTTCATACTAATTATTTTTGTTGCTAAATTGCGAGTAAAGTTTCTAATAACCCTTGGAAAATCGATGGCTCTTTCCCTACATCTGACATACCTAACCCAGAATTTAATGTGCTGAACGCTTAAGGGTTGGACATCAATCATGTTAATGCCAACATCAGACGGCGATGCGTTTAAAAGATTTCTTGATTTAATATCTTACTTCCTTCCTTACTTCGCCGTCCGTCCAGTTCAATTATGATCCATGGCCTTCCTTAGATGACACCTGAAGCTAGTTCTAACGCTCGCTACTGTTTGCCAGTTTCCGTTGATTTGAAATCAACTTTAAATATATCTTGACAGCAACTCCAACAAGGACCTTAATAATTACGAAGTGCTTCCATGACTGTCAACCGTGAAATTTAAAAAATAATTTAAATTTGTTGATAATGAACAATATTATGTATAACTTTTGTCATTCTATTTTTTAACGTTTTTTAACTGATAATATTTGGCTCTTCATTAAGCGAGATAATTTATGTTTATAAAAGGTTATCACTAATTTTTTTTCGAAATATAACAACTTTATTATTTTGCTGATTAAATTAATACAAAAATGTATTTTTAAAAAGTATAATATTTCATATAAGAGATAGTATTCTCGATGAGTATTCTAACAGCAAGTCTTTGTTTTTCTTGCGACAAAGTATATAACTCTAAAAGGTTCAACAAGCGACTCGCTTTTTTGAAGCTCGAAAATTTTGCTCATTTGGTCCTTGGAAAATTGTTTTTGTTCTTCTTCAGACATCGATGTGAAGAATGGATTAATTGCATCTAAAGTTTCTATTGGAGATTTTATTTAAAAATTAAAATTAAATTGGCACAAACCCAATTAATTGGATTTTATTTAAAATGTTAAAAAAATAATCACGACTTTTCACTTACTTGCCATATTTTCTGGAACACTAAAGTTATAAAACTCATTTCTATCGTCAATAAATTTAACAATTTCAAATCCACTTTCACTTAAATTATTTTTAATAATTTCGTCAGGATTGTCAACAGCAAAAAGTGGTGTAAAGCGGTTCCTCCAGTTGCTCATCACTGGATACTTCTCAGTTAAGGCATCCCAAGCAGTAATAAATGTATGCCAAGTAAAAAATACACAACCAAAAAGTCCATTAACAGCCAGCAAACCGTTGATCGTTTCGAAAGCCTTCTTTAGGTCCCTAACATGATGTAGGCAGTAGAAAGACGTGACCATGTCAAATTGTTCACTCATCAAATCATCAGGAATTTTATCAATGACATCCATGTAACGAAAAGACATCAAATCACTTCCGTAAGTTTCACTCGCAAAATTCACCATTTTTTCGCTTTTATCGACGCCGAAAATTTTGGCAAATTTCAATCCACTTTCACCAACCGTCACTTCCGACAAGATTGTGCCACATCCACTTCCAACATCGATTAAGGAAATTTCTTGATTTTTAAATTCAGCCTTCAAAAGGTCACCAAAATAATTGTAAAATTTTCTTGATGCTGATTTTTGGCAATTATTATTTTTTGAGTACAGCTCGACGTTCTGCATCCTTGCGACTTTAAATTGTTTAAGTTTCCTTTTACTAAACTGATGCTTTGTTCTGACATGTGCTTTATATAGATTTTCAATTTTTTCATTTTACTTATAGATTGGCTCAAAATAATTTCTGAGAGAAAATTCGATTTAAAAGACAATAATTTGTATTAATGAAAGTTTATGTGTATTTAAATTAAAATATATAAGTAACGGGATGATTTGGAGGGAGATCAATAATTGCCAGTGATTATGCTTTGTACTAAATTATTGCGACACTAATACAGCGAGCCAAAAGATTTAAACTAAACAGGGGAAAATATTTCTTCGTCATGTTGCGATTCATGTGTATTGGAGATAAAGCTCGTACCCGAACGACAAAATGTTCAAATTGATTAAGTGGCAACATCGTTTCAACTTTTTACTTGTTAATAAACTTTTACTGATGCCCGAGTACAGTCAAATCTTCTTTTGTTATTTGTCATAGACAGAGAAGTCCTTTGGAGAGTGATTTAGAAGTCTCTGTTCAAGGTTTGAGCAAAACATTTGCCTTATAATACATAACTTGCACAGCTGTGGAGCTTAAAAGTTTTGCAAAATAAAAATAATTAGAGACTGGTCTGATTTGTTGTTGGTTAGGAGAAAATCTTCTTTATTTAATTATTGAAAGCTATTTGTATTGTTTTTCTTTAAAACTAATTAGGGGCCGTTCACTTATGACGTCCATTCGGGGGGGGGGGGGGGGGGGGGTCAGCAAGAAAATAGCAATAATAATTCTTGAAAGTCCATTGTTTTTTTTAAAATATTACCGTTAATTTTCGGTGGTCATCATAAGTGAAGGACCCTTTAATTTTAATCCTGAAATGCGATTAAAAACGTCAAACAAGCCTTGGAAAATCGAGTCGAAGTCAAATCATACTCAACCATAGTTGAACCATTATTAAGTTATACTGAAAATATTGTAAAGTCATAGTCAAGCTAAAATCAAGTCTAGTCAGTAGAACAACTGTGAACTTTTCTTGCAATGAAGTAAATATTCCTAAATGGCTCAACTAGGGAATCACTTCCCTGCAATTCAAAAATTTTGCTTATTTGATCTTTGGAAAATTGTTGCTGCTGCTCTTCAGACATCATCGTAAAGAATGGATTGACAGCATCAAGTGTATCTAATTAATATGACAAAGGAATTTAAATTAAATTAATTAATAAATCAACAAACATCCAGCTTTACTTACTTGCCATATTTTCAGGGAGCACACAATTATAAACTTCATTTTTAACGTCAATAAATTCAACAATTTCAAATCCAGTTTCTTTTAGATATTTTTTCAATACTTCATCAGGATTGTCAACTAAAGAAAGAGGTGTAAAATGACTTCTCCAGTTTGTCATTATTGGATACTTCTCAATCAAGGCATCCCAAGCATCAAGATATCTATGCCAGATAAAAAACACACAACCGAGAGTTCCATTAACAACCATCAAATCATTAATCGTTTTAAGAGCCTTTTTTAAATCATTAAAAAAATGAAAGACATTAAATGACGTTGCCATGTTAAACTGAACACCTGAAAAATCATCAGGAATAGAAGCCATTGCATCCATGTAACGAAACGACATCAATTCACTTCCGTAAGTTTCGTTCGAAAATTTAACCATTTTGTCACTAATATCGATGCCAAGAACTTTAGCGAATTTCAATCCACTTTCACCAACCGTCACTTCCGACAAGATTGTGCCACATCCACTTCCAACATCAATCAAAGATATTTCTTGACTTTCATATTCAGTTTTTAAAAAATCACCAAAAAAATTATAAAATCTTCTCGCAATAAATTTTTGATAATAGTTGTTTTTTGTGTACAATTCGACGTTATGCATCTTGCTTGTTCCTGTTTAAGCTATTATTTTAAACTAATGCCTTTTGGATTGTGCACCTAGTTTTTATGTATTTTACATTTAGCAGAGAATTTTGCTCAAAAAATATTTTAGAGAGTAAAATTAATCAAATTGGCCAATCAGAACATTGCAGGCGCGTTATCTAGTCGAAGTTTTTTTTACTGAATATTGACATTACTCTCTGTGCTGATTTGATTCACGCTTTGAATTAACTGTTGAACTAGATTTGATCAGTATCTTTGCCGTGTTAATAACATAACCAAGCGACTATATCTGCATTCGTTTCGAGTCCATAACCTTTGCTTTGCTCAATTCCAGATTATTAAACAAAAAAAAATCGTCATCCTCTGATTTAAAAGAGAATAAAGTGCGTCAGTGAAAGATTAATCACCACTTCATGTTGTCCTTGACTTTGAAAAAAATATATCTTTATGTTTAAAAAATAAGAGTCTATGGACCATAATCTTTCCTATTATTACAACTTGACAAACTTGATTTTCGTATTTATGATAAAAAAAAGAATGAATTGATATTTGAATTCTTGCAGAGAATAGATCACTTTTTATAGGGTTTCTGAAAAACGGCATTTTTAAAAAACGGCCGTTTCCGTTTTTTTTAAAAAACGGCCGTTAACGGGTCCGTTTTTTTAATTCTACCGAAATTGTGTTTTATGCACGGTTTTAGTCACATACTGAAATTGTTGTCAAAAAACGAACTTATTACAGTGTATTGTGTCTAAAAAAACTTTTATTCACACCCTGTTTTTTTGTTATAAGCTACTACTCGTTACTAAGCTACTAGCTTAGTAAAGTTTTTTGAATTTGAAAATTTTTTGTAATCTTTACTAAGCTACTACCAAAAATAAAGTTTAATTAATCTTTTTCAACTTTCTAAGTATCAGTTTCAATGCCTAATGACATTGTCAATGAAATAAAATCGAGAAGATAGCAAAATTTCTTTAATTAAGCTAAAAAATTCAAAAAATTTCATATAAGTTCAATTTCTTTACTAAGCTACTAGTGAGCCAAAAAAATCACTTTTTTATTCTCCTAAGCTATAAGCTAGCTTATAACAAAAAAACAGGATACTTCAAACTTTAAAAATATTTAAACATCAAGTAGTCGTTACAAAACTTAACAACTTAAATTTAATGAGTATGAAAGAATTATTGGAGTTAATATTATTTTATTCTGAACCTAAAATTTTCACGAGCTAGAAAAGAAAAACGGAAAAAACGGCTAGAAAAAAACAGCCGTTTTCCGTTTTTATTTTTCTCTGAAAAACGGCTGTTTTTCCGTTTCCGTTAACGGCTTCAGAAACCCTATTTATAACTGAGATAAAATCAAAACTAATGTAATGCGTAGGCGATTGCTACGCAACAAAATATGTATTCTTAAGTGGATATGGATTGATAAAGAATTTTTTAATCTTTGGAAAACTCTTGCCACTCAACTTGAATCGAAAAGAACGGGAATTTTCAATTTATTAGGGTTTAGGTTCCTTCACATAGAATTTGTAGGTTAAGGTGCTTTCACAATAGAAATTTAGAGTTCAGATGGCTTCACACTAAAAATTTCAGAGTTCAGATGGCTTCACACTTTAGTTTAAGAGCTAAGATGGCTTCACACTTCAGTTATCGAGATTTAGGTGCCTTATTACTAGCTATTTTAAATCCAGGTGCCTTCACACTATAAATTTAGAGTTCAGATGGCTTCACACTAGAATTTTGTAGTTGAGATAGCTTTTCAATTTAGTTTTAAAGGTTTAGGTGCCTTCTTACTAACGGTTTTAGATGCAGGTGCCTTTACACAAACGTTTTAAAGTTTAGGTATCTTCACTTTTTAATTTTTAAGCTTTGGAGGCTTTCAAACTAGAGTTTTGCGATTCACTTAAGTATTTTTTATTATTTTTAATCTCATCGGTTTGGAACCAAATATCATACTGGAATTTGATCATTGATATGACATGATTTTAGCTTTGAAAACAAGTACAAGAAAATTGTTGCTAAAATAATTTTAATTTGTTTAGTTTTATAATAACAATTCTTAATAAAATTCTTTATTTATTTCCTTATTTTTATTTTATAACTTAAATAAATTACAATTTTTTTGACAATAGTTATAAAACTTTACACTAGCTTCCAAATTAAAATTCCACTAGTCACAATAATCACAAACGGCAGCCAAGTCTTTACAAATCCAGAAAATCCAACATATTTTCCAAAAAGAAACATCCATGCAGCTAGTCTAACCATACTCCACCATGTACTGCCTCCATATCTCATCAAACTGAGTGCCATACCACAATGTGAATGGCAATTGTCCCAAAATAAGTTGTGCATTCTTTTTGAGTATTCTGTTGATGCTTTTTGAACTGCATCGTCCCAGGTTGTTGAACCTCCTCCAACTTTGGAGATGTCTAGCTGAAGGTAGCGCGTTGGCCATGCAAAACCCATTTCATCCTCGCTGACAAAGTATGGACCTGTGGTAGGTGCGGGTTCAAAATGAAAAATTAATAAAAATTCATTAAGTTTGAATTAAGTTCATCAAGATTTCATCGGCAGCTGAATAGTTTTTTTAAAAAAAATAATAATAAAGAGTTGTCAAAAGTTTCTAAAATTAATTTGGCAAAGTGATACATTTGATTTTCGAGTCAGTAACACAGAATCTGGTTCAACATAAACTTTAGAGCCAGATTCGTAAAATTCTGGCTGACATGAAGCCAGATTCAAGAAAATTTGGCTTGGACTGAGCCATATTCGAGAAAATTTACAGCCATAGGAGTTATCTTAACACTTTTTCACGCCTTGTGCCACAAAATTCAGCAAAAATTCTTCAAAGTTGCACAATTTTATAACAAAAATATTCAATCACCAGCAAAATCTCGAATAATTCCTTGAGATGTAGCTATTCCCATGTGTCCAACGAATGGTAACAGCCATGTGATTAGTGGAATAGGTGTCCAGACCAGACAGAATGGATACCGATGTAGATCGTAGTCTATTTTTGTCATATTTGCCTCCAAATCCATGAAACTTTATTTTATGTGTAAAAAGTAATGTTTTTGTTTTGAAAAAATTGGAGATTGCAGTGAACGGATGTAATTTTGAGGGGAATTAAGTTTTGAATTTCAAAAGAGCGGGAATCTTGATTTTTGGGATTTTGTAGATGAATTTAAGAATTAATTGATTGTTAGAATTAATTAAACATGTTTTTTATAATTTTTTCAAAATTTTTAAATTTATTTATATTTTAATTTTTAAAGAAAATTGGAAAATTTTACAGAAATACAAAAGTTTACAAAAAGTACAAAATTAATTTTTAATTAACAACAAAGCTTTTAAAAATAAGTCTATGGATGCAAAAAAAAAATAAAAAATAAAATCAAATTTGCTCATAAGTTTGGCTATTTCTGGCCATGCTTACTCCACAGCTCAAGTATCCACATCCAAAGCAAACAAAAAAGTAAAACAGAATTCCAAAAACAATCATAAATAAGCCCATGTAAAATACAATTTCGTCAACACCTTCCCAATGCACAAGATATTTTCGACTTGCTTGTTCATCTGCTCCTGGTACAGCATAGCTTGCAAATTTTTCAAAACTACTTAATGCTGAAGAAGCTTCGGTAAGAGTTGGTTGAGTCAGTGCGAGGATTGTGATCATTGTGATGACAGTTGCGATTGTGATGGAACTGAAATTGAATTTTAATTATTTTTTTTAATTCTTTAAAGTTTTTTAAATTTAAAGTACTTACCTCATTTTGATATCTGATTGTTTTTTATAGTTCTTATAAAATTATTGGAGATCTTGAATATTTTTAAAAAATTTAAAATAAAATTTCTTCAGATCAACCTTTTTGTGCCTTCAATCGTCTTAAACTGCAATTTTTGACTGATCAGAGCGTGGCTCATCGATGAGTATTTATCTCAAAAATATTGATTTATTTACCTACTGCAATGAGTAAGTCACAAAATGTAAATGAGAATTTTTAAAAATAAATCATACAAAATTAAACACAAAAAAAACAAATATTCAGGAGCGATAAGAAGTTTCTGAATGAGAAAGTTGCTGAGCAATGTTTATACCAATCTATCAGGTAGGATATCACTAGGATGTGTGATTAGCAGTTAAGTGCCTTGCTGGTCGAATAGGTAAGGCGCTTGGCTCAAATTTGGTATGGTAACTCGAAGGTCGTCGGTTCGAATCCAGCCATTTCCAAATTTGTTCTTTTTCAGAAGTTTAGATACTTCGACTGCTTAATGTACGAGTCAAGCCATAATTGGGCATTTTGGGCAACGTTGGATTAAGGAACGGATCAGGAACTTGAAGTGTAGCGGGAAAAATAGGAACGAGAGCTACAAGATTACCTTATAATGGAATATTGTCAGAACGGACCTGAAATGTATCACGTCACGCCCACAGAAGATTGAAACGAGAGCCTTAGTTTATTTGAAACCTAGATTTGAAGATTAGAAGCTTGATTCTACGTCACCCATAGTGATATGAAATGTATCACTAATCAATGTAAAAAGTAAAAACATGTATAAATACCTAATTATTCCGGACGGTAACGTCGACAAATAAATAATAATAATTAAGGTTTTTAAGGTTTTATCAATCCTTAAATGTTTCCGTCTATTCGAAAATTCGTTTAACAAAATTTGCCTGTCAAATGATGTTCAGCCGTTACTTTAAATTGCAATATTAACTCAACAGACTCATGCTATGCAAACTTCAAATGACTAATGCTTAATTTTGAACTGCAAACAGTGTCTTTGTGTCATCTTAATCCATTTGATAACAAGCCGATAACTATCAGCCTTAATCATTTATAACTTAAATCCACAGATTAATTTAAATCCATAGATTAATTTAAATCCAATCCAGTATAATCCATGTCAGTGAACCTAAGCCATTCTGTAATTTTCCCTCCAAAAAACACCAACAAACAAATAGTTTCTCCTCAAATCCGCAGTCTACAAAAAATTTCTGTGTTGTCAAAAACTTTTTTCAAGACAAATAGAAAAAAAATGTAAATTTCGCGACACCCTCGCTAGTTAAGTTCCAGTTTCCGACCAAACCTAAATAATGTACAGTTTAAATTGTTAAAAAAGAATGAAGAAGTCTGCATCGTTAAATGTCCTGCTTGGCGAGGGCGCCCTACAATCACGATGGAGACAAAATGCAGGCGCTAGTTTTATAAGAATTAGAAAAAATAAATTTCGTAGTCATTTTATCTATATTATTGCCCTAATATTGCTTGTGCTTATCGTGTACATAATTTTGCCAGCACAACGTAAATTCACATCGACATATCGTCACGTGGAGACGTCACAAATTTATTCAAATATTATTGATAATGAGATAATTAATTACAATCCAGCATATCCGCTCACGAAGCCCGTCATTAATTCTCATACGAAGACAACGGCTTATAAGATTGCAATGATTGCTGATCTCGATACAAATTCGAGGAAGAAAAAGGATGGAAATGAATATTCAAGTTTTTTAAAGAAGGGATGGCTGACGGTGACCTCGACACATTCAACTTTTGAATTTAAATGGGATGAGGAGGAATCGAAAGAGATTAAGAGTGGATATTCCTTGAAAGGTGAGTTGATGCTTGTGGATATTGGGATAAGTCAGTTGAATTGCTAATTTATGAGACAGTTATTGGACTGGATCCAAGAAAATTGTGTGATTTTTTTCTCTCAATTTTCCAATATTTCTTTATTAATCTATGATGCAAAAGTACTCAAGTTTTTGAATCTGCTTCACGGATGTCATAAGTAAGACAATATAGTGGCTAAGCTACTTTACTTCAATAACATTAATACTCTATTAAAGGACGGGAATGGATTGTAAAATTAGGTTGCTTTATCTTAAATAATTCGGAAAACTATGTAGAGGGGCTAAAGGAGTTCAAGATACACCTGCACAATTCTTCTGAATTGTTCATATCAAGTCTTGGACATAAATAAATGTGTCTTAATTTAATCAAGCTTAAAAACCAAGAAGTTCTTAGATTCATATTACATTTGAGTCCTATGGAGGTAAAAACTAAGCAATATCTAATAAGATTACCTAAATTTCACTCCAAACCATCTTTTACATAACCATGAACATCTATGACCTTTCAAAAATATTATTTTGTGTAACTCAATTTTGCAATAATTTGCCAAGACTTGCTTTCGTCTCGAAATGTGTGATTATAAATTATTTCCTTAAAAAAACCACGTCATAGAAATTTTGTTGCTTCCTCAAAGTTTATTTATTTGTATCATATTAATATGTCTGTATGCTCAATGTTTATATACGAAGAGCCCCAATATTAATATTAATAATTAAATTATTGAGAGAAGAAATGAGCAGAAATTGAGATTGAAAAGCGGCAGTTTATAAATAATGTTCAAATTTTTTTGGGGATAGGTTAGGATAGGGGCTTAGTTTTAAAGGATAATCCTTTTAAATACACCCACCACCCCTTTTTGAGATGAAAATTTCATATATTTTTTAAGTTTTTTGGACGGTTCTGGAGCTGAGTGACATTTTCATTATTAAGAACATTTTTGTATGAAAATTTTGTGGCCAGCAATCTGAAGGTTTTTTATCTCTTGAATTAGAGCAGAGCCTTAATCTCAGATTTTTAATCAACGTCATTGTTGAACGGCCCCTAACGAAATTGACATAGAAAATAATTTTGAGCGATGTTACGAAGTTTTGCACATAAAAAAAATAACCTTGAACTAGTTTATAAACAAAAAAAATGAGAAAAAGTGAAACAAAACAAAAGCAGCAAAAATTATGAATTTGATGATTTCACACCTATTTAATTCATTCATAAAAAGCTTACCACGATAAAGGTTTTCAACAAAAGATGACAGTCAAGATTAAAAAACTAAATTTGCTACTCATTTGATATCTACGAAGATCATTCACCTAAAAGTAGACACAAAGATTACTTTAAAATGACGTAAATTTACTCTTGATGATCATGCAGCTGCCGTTTGTGATTGCAAATGCAAAACAAATGCAATAAAATTCAGCAAATCCAACTTCATTGTCATTTTGATGTTTCTATCGAGACTGTGGATCACTTGTGTAAATAAACACAATACAGCTGATAAGATAGTGCGGAAGTCAATATTTACATTAAGATCTGTACCTGAGAGTATTGAGTTAATATGAGGACTGATGTCTTTTGATTTGTTGATGAAATAAGAAGATGGAAATAGGGATTCTGATTCAAGGAAAGCTACTTAGGGGGACTGTTTAATAAAATTTGAACTACAGTCTAGAACAGAGATGTCCAAAGTTTTTGAGCAACGGCACACCTGAAGGGTAAGCCATGACCGAAGTCGCACACAGCATACGGCTCGTGTCAGTTTCAAAAAATTCTACTTCACACGAGTGTGCTGCGACACACAGTGTGAACAACACTGGTCTAAAATATAAATAAGATTAAAATGGTCCATGAGTAAAGGAGTCCAATAAAACTTAGAAACCAAAAATAAGGATTTAGAAAGCGACATGATCTTAGGTCATCATAGAAGGGTGCTTTATCATCTTTGATCGAATTCAACAATGTTATTATTATTATTATTATTATTATTATTATTATTTTATTTATTACTCGCAAGGAAAAGCCATGTGAAAAGTATTTAAACTATTTCAGATGGCATAAAAACCTTACTTAGCCTTTTCATATTTTATGCATATAATTAAATTAAGTTACAATGATATGTTGATATCGTTAAAGAACTTATAACTAAAAGAAACATATTTATGGCTTTAACAGTTAAAATGAATTTAAATTTTGACGTACTGGAGTATTGAATATTGAATAGTGTTTTGGCTACGAGCTTTTCAAAAAGTGAATGACATGAGATTAACGGTGTTCGACTGACTGAGATATTAATCTTTTTGGCGAGAAACAAGGCTTAAGAAAAACTATACTCATAGGAAAAATGTTGCTTCCTTTCATCTTTAGTCCTTCCTTGTTTACCTGCTTCAGTGCAACTAATTTCAATGAATTGATAAGTTCCAAGTTATGATTGATAGCATTTCAAATTATATTAGACTTTAAGCATCTTTTCAAAGAAAATCAAGGTTCTGGCTCCGAAACAGCCCTTTATTCATCTCTGGTAGTTCAAAGTTAATATCACCATAGCAACTCGTTCTTCATCAAAAATTTACAGCTGTCCATAAAAACAGACTCAACTGACAACACCAAACCATAAATTTAATTTCTCGCCATGAAAAAATTTCCAACTTCGTGATTCTCATAAAAAATTCAATTTAACTATCAATTTTCCCTTTTCTTTTAATTCTAGGACGTGGCATGGAACTGTCCGAGCTAGTCACGTTTAACGGTAAAATCTACACTTTTGATGACCGAACAGGAATAGTTTTTCAAGTCAATAATGACAACACCGTAGCTCCATGGATTATCCTTACTGATGGCGAGTCAATATCACAAAAAGGCTTCAAAAGTGAGTGGGCAACGATAAAGAATCATCAAATGTATATCGGAAGTATGGGCAAGGAGTGGACAAATGCAGGCGGAGAATTTGAGAATTATAATCCAATGATGGTTAAGGTTGTGAGCACAAAAGGTGAAGTTAAGACTCTTAATTGGGTTAAGAATTTTAAAGCAATTAGATCGGCTGTTGGAATTGAATGGCCAGGCTACATGATTCATGAAAGTGGCGCGTGGAGTGACTTTAATCAAAAGTGGTTCTTTCTACCTCGAAGATGCTCAACAGCAAAATATAACGAGACAATTGATGAGTCGAAAGGATGCAATTACTTGATTATAGCTGATGACACATTTACGGACATCCAAAAAGTTGAAATTGGTGATCTTAAGCCAACACGCGGCTATTCAAGCTTCAAATTTCTTCCTGATACTCATGATAGTATTATTATAGCACTAAAAACTGAAGAAGTCAGTGGATCCACTAGCACATATGTTACTGTTTTTGATATTAAGGGAAATATTTTACATCCGGATGAGAAGATTCATACTGAGTATAAATATGAAGGATTTGAGTTTATATGAAAATAAAATTTTGAATTTTATATAAAATGTTTTTCTATTGTTATAAATAAGAAAATTAATAGAGTCAAAAAATTAAATGATTTTAGCAATTTAAGTGCATATTTATGATTTATGAAGCTGAGCATAATAAATTCTGAAAAAATTACTTTTGGATAATTTGTCTCTTTTGTAGACTTAAAACGGTACCCAGTAATAACGCCGACACGGAATAACTGCACCTATTAAAAAAAACACGGTACCGGAATAATATCGAAAATATTTTCTGCTCAGGTCGGTAATAACTTCACCTGTATAATGTAGGTGAAGTTATTCCGGCGTCGCGACGGAATAATTTCACCTACTTAATATAAGTGAAGTTATTACCGCTTCATACCGGAATAACTTCACCTACATAATATAGGTGAAGTTATTCCGTCGCGGCGGCGGAATAATGCCGAAAAATATTGTATGTCGACTTTATTCCGTCACTGTGCAGGAATAACTTCACCTATATTTATATAGATGTGGCAGTGAATTCGTAATACAATTTGAAATTTACAAATGGGCAATCTCATAAATTGACTTGTTCAAAAATTTCGTTTTTGAAATAATTTTTCTCAATTTTCAGCAATTTAAATGTTCCAGAGACTTAATATACTTATGTAAAACGATAAAATTTGGATGCTATTGCTTGCTTTCTGAACAAAAGCAAAGCAAAAGGGCAATAGGCAATTCTTTGGATGACTTTTTAAAAAATTTCAGCAAAAAATCGAAATTTCATTCAACAAACTTTTTGTTTCATCACATGCATACCAAATGATAGAAATAGGTGTGTTGCATAGGATAGACAGAATAATTCTGCAGAATTCTGCTCAACAGTTGCGCAACAATTCTGCAGAATTATTCTGATAAATTCTGCAGAATAATTCTGATGACAACATAATAATTCTGAAGATTAATTCTGAAGAATTTATTTTTATTTTGCAGAATTATTCTGTTGAATTTTTTTTTCAGAATTTCACAAAACAAATCAGAAACATTTTTTCCAAATTCTGCATAATTAAAAGTTCTGATGAATAACTTTATGAGAATATGGTTAAAGACTTTGTTTTTCCACAATTACAAATTAATATGGAAATTAAAATAGGAACACAACATTTTTCAGTGTTTCACTAAGTTTGAAACAGAATTGATAATGAATTGCTTTTGACTTTGATAATATTTTCCTTTCGCTCCTCTGGTTTAAAGCCTTGAACAGTTCGAAAAAATTATTCATTATTAAAACTTCAATTGAAGTTCAATTGAAGATTATATACAAAAGCGTATAAAATTTGATGAAATTTTTGAATATTCAATTTTCGAGATCGAATTCGGCACGATTATTTTTATAAGTAAATAATTAAAAGACGCAAAATATTAGCTTTTGTTATCCATTTTCTTCAACGTGTAAATTTAACTGTAAAAGCAACACATGGATTAAAAACTGAGTAATTATTGCTAGGTATCGTGGTTGAACAGCCACTAACTGAGCAATTCTTTAAAAATTCGAGGAACAAGTTAAGAATTATTTTTTTGGCTCCGTTATTCAGCATTAATGACAATTCGACAATTGTTTATCAATAGATTTTTATTGGTCATTAAATTTTTTAGCTTTATTTGGAACTTATTATATCTCCGTTATTATATAGTGATGATCCGTTTATCAAAATATGACGCTGCAAACTGATACTACAAAAATCCGTTACAAAAACTGATGCAAAAGTGCCTTCATAGCTCAGTTGGCAAGGTACAGGTCACAAAATTTCGAGTCGAATTTGCACTCTCGGGTTCAAATCCCATCACCAGCCTAGTGATTTTCAGAAGTTTAGATACTTCGGCTTCTTAGGTGCAGCAGTTTAAGACGTAAAACCAAGAATTAGGCAATGTGAGATGTGGAAATGAGTCAAGAATTATGTAGACTGAATGAGAAAGATACGAGAGCTGTAAAGATCTATAACAGTTTTTAATTGGGTACTAGACACACAACTGCTTAGTGAAGATTATGCGCTAAACACTGAGCTAGCGTACATAATATAGATTTAAGAATTATTAATGTTAAAAATAAAAGTGTAGCGCTTAAAGGTTGCACACTGTTGCTCAATTTAACATGAATAAATTGAAATTGAATTGAATTGTGTTCAGAATTCTGAAAAATGTTGTACTCCTATTTTAATTTCCATATTAATTTGTAATTGTGTCTTTAATCACATTCTCATAAAGTTGTTCATCAGAAATTTTAATTATGGAGAATTTGGAAAAAAAATGTTTCTGATTTGTTTTGTGAAATTCTGAAAAAAAATTCAGCAGAAAAATTCTGCAGAATAAAAATAAGTTCATCAGAATTATTCTGCAGAATTTATCAGAATAATTCTGCGGAATTGTTGCGCAACTGTTGAGCAGAATTCTGCAGAATTATTCTGTCCATCCTATGCAAGATTCGATAGAAAATAACTCATTTTATCATCCTAATTGATAATTAGAGTGAGTTTAATGTAAGTTTGAGAAGAAAAATCAATTCTTCTGATGAAAATTTATGTCTCCGAGAAATTTTGAGCCTTTATTTTCCTAATCCATGAAAAAATGATTTTATAAAATGCAAATTTTACTTTAATTAACAACGATTTCTTATATTGAAACGTTGTTTGTAAAAATATAGAAGTAAATGAATATGTCTTTCTGATTTTCATAAAGTTTTAGCTTAGTTAAATTGCATTTTTGAAACAATTCATTTTTAAAGTTTCCGTTGAATGATAATCACCAAAATTTACATCACCAAAATTTTAACTACTTTAATGCTCCCTTTTTTCGCAAAAAAACAAACATGGTATGCAGCACATTAAGATTATTTCGTGTCATTCTTGATGTTTATTGTTTGAACACAATTGACAACGAATTTGACTTAGTTCGTTCAGTTAATTTTTTTTGTTGATCTTTTATATTGTGTGAATTTTAATTAAAAATGGATTTTTCTATAGTTCTGGAAAGCGTGATAATTCAGAAATTTATCATATTAATATATATAAATATAGGTGAAGTTATTCCTGCACAGTGACGGAATAAAGTCGACATACAATATTTTTCGGCATTATTCCGCCGCCGCGACGGAATAACTTCACCTATATTATGTAGGTGAAGTTATTCCGGTATGAAGCGGTAATAACTTCACTTATATTAAGTAGGTGAAATTATTCCGTCGCGACGCCGGAATAACTTCACCTACATTATACAGGTGAAGTTATTACCGACCTGAGCAAAAAATATTTTCGATATTATTCCGGTTTGATGTTGTGGAGTTATTCCGTGTCGGCGTTATTACTGGGTATCCTTAAAACATCAAATTTATTGTTTTTTTTAACAAAATTCAGATCTTTAATTCTAATTTTTGAAAAAAATAAATTCAGCAATATCAAATTTATTTGAAAAGTAAAAGCTTAAATAAAAATTAAAATAATTTGTTACAAAGTAAATGTATTCAAATTATTTCAAATCGTAAATCTAAATTGATTTTCCAGACACTTTTGTTTACCAATATTATGTTTACAAATATAACCGCGGGAATCAGCTGAGATTTGGTATCGCTTAGATTTAATAGTTTGTCAATATATGTTTTATAATTTGATTCTCAAATCTCAGGTTTGTTTGCATAAAAATCAGAATTTCTATTATGAGAGGTTCATTATTAAATCTAAAACTATCCAAACAATCATAAAAATCAACTAAACATCAAATTTCCAAAATAAATAAAGATTCTTCAAAGCAACATTAAATTCATCCAAATCAGAATGGACAGTTCACCAACAACAATTTACAATCTCCCAGATGACATCTTAATTGATATCTTCAGCTATTTCAACCATCAAAACATCCTTAATGCCATTGAAGTCTGCCAACGATGGGCGAACATCATCAAATCTACAAACAGCCTTAAGTGCCGCTTCAAGTCAACAATTCTTCTCCGTAAAAGTTCCTACTTGATCAACAGATTCTATCCAGCAGAGCTTAATGACAACATAACGCTTGATATGACAGCACCGTGTGAGAATATTCATCAAGAGATTACTGATTTACTTGAAAGGTCATCAAAATTTATTAAGGTATTAACATTGAAAACATTTTTCATGAAGAATGTCTTTAAAGTTCTTAAAATGACACCAAATCTTGAAAAGTTGGTTCTCATCAATTTACGTCGTGACAAGACTGAGGAAATGTTGGAATTAACGAAACTTAAGCATCTCGAGTTGATCAATGCACTAAAAATTGGACAATTCATCACAACCGTAAGCAGCATCAAGACCCTCAAAATCATGGGTATATTGTCAATTTCGTGCAAGAAAAAGAGACTGGATATTCGATATGAAGAGGATCTAGAAAAGGATGGATTCAGTGCAGCAATCAGCACCTTCCTGGGACGATGTGTGAACCTCAAAGAACTTTCGATCTCGAATGTCCAAAAACCCAATATTACACTTGACTGCTCACAATTTTCATTCAATCTGGAATCATTCGTCCTTGAGTACATCGTAATGCCAAAACAAAATTTACTCGAATTTTTGGTCAGTCAAAAGTCAAGCCTGAAGAGCTTCTCAATGATGATTTGTGAGCCACAACCAGAAGTAATGGACCTTGTGCTCTTCAATATGCATCTAGTGGAACTTGAAATCGACACAGCAATGCTCCCAAAGAATTTTGATGTTAAAGAAAAATTCTCAACAATTAAAAAGCTTTGCTTCAAATCCTACAAAGTTCAAGAGTACTTAAGACAAATTGAGTACAATAAAGTTCATCATGACGCAATAGATGAAAGGTGTGAGTTCGACAACAGGATGATTGACTTTAATTTTGTAAAGAACAAAACCAGAGTTTTTAAGCTTCAAGGTAAATAAAAAAAATACTTTCAAGTTGACGACCCTACTTGACTTTCAAGTTGACGACCCTACTTGATTTTCTAGTTGACGACCCTACTTGACTTTCAAGTTGACGACCCTACTTGCCCTAGACTTAAAATTTTAATTTTCTTAACATTTCAGATGACCGTGACTACTACATCGCTCCATGGAATGAAATAACATGGGATATACAAAAAGAAGGCAACCATCCACTGTCATCGATGTTGATAATGAGAATCCTCTCAGCATGTCCTGATCTCGAGTTGGCTGTTTTCCAGCACTTTTACTGCTCTCAATTTCTAGACCAGCTGAATACATCATGCAAAAACTTGAAAGAGCTGAGACTTTATGAAGTTCCAAAAGAAATTTCAGAAGACTTGCTTTTCGAGGACTTAGAGACACTTGAGATTGATCATATGGTGCCAGAAAATGACGAGGAAGTGAGGAAGAGATTAATCACATTGGGAAACAAATGTCCAAAGTTGAAAACACTGAAAATTCACGATTTTAATGACGATTACAGAAGACGCTTTCGTGAGCTTGCCATTGGAATTAAAACTCTTGAAGAACTTCATGTTGGAAGCTGTTATCAATTTCTGTCATCCCTACAAGATGACATTAAGGATGTCAAAGATAATGGATCAAATCTTAAGCATTTCTCATGTATTGCTTACTTCTGTGAGTGTAAATACTTTTACTCAATCACCGGAATGGAAGTGCATGGCGTTCAATTGACTTTTCATGGCTTGTACAGAAAAGTATTCACATCAATTTATCATGACCGTCAGCTAGGATCAATGCGGAGAAGAATTGGAGGCAAAATTTCTAAAATTAGGGAAATCGGATGGAGAATTCTCAATGACGAGCAAACATGTTAGGAATAAGTGGAAAAGGAACGACACAATTTGATGTAAACTTAGTAAAAAAGAATAAATCAAAAAATAAAACATAATTTTTAAAGTTATTTTACAATTTTTACTTTATTTGGCTTTCTAGTCGTTAATTATTGAATTAATTTAGATTACTTGCTATGAATCTTCAATCTGTTTTCTTAAATTGGTGTCAAAACTTAAGCAATGTTCAAAATTCAATCATCTCAAAATAAACACAGTCAATCCAGAGGCAAAGACAGACCCTAAGACCCAGAAAGACAATACCTAAGAGAATAGCAATGAAAAACAAAATTTGATTCCAGTAACAATTAGACACTTAATTGCATAGAAATGAAGCAAAGGGACAGTCGAAATAATTAAAAGCAAGTAAAAATCTAAATAAATTATTTTTTCAGTGACATAGCCATAACTTTTAGCAATATAACCTAAAACTATAAACCCTGACAGCAAAAAAGGGTTTAAAAACAATAAATATATTAAATAAACTAATTCTACTACTATTAACCAAAATTGGTTTTCTTTTCGTAATAATATAAATCTGCGAAATAAGCAGGCTAAAGTCACATATGGCAAAATTAAAAATATAATTAATAATCCAAAAATAATCGATGGCATAACATAAAATAATGATTTGCCTTTGGTTTCAATTAATTTTCTCTTGTAAATTAAAGTATAAACGAAATTAAAAAGTTCAAATAAAAAAATTTCAAAAGAAATTTCAAAATTTAAATCATTCGGTTGGCAAATGTCTTCACAAATTTTAATCATAATAGTTTTAAATTCGACTGGCTCAAAAGGACGTGCAGCTAGTTGAAGAAAATTTATATTAAATGAATTTTTTGAAAATAAAATTTCCTTTAGCTGCTGCTGTTTAAAGTTATCTTTAAGAATATTTAACGTGAACTTAGCAATTGCTGGATCTGTAGTTCTTCCAATAATTTCAGTGGCAATGCAGTTCCCAATAAAGTTTGGGGAAAGAATAAACTTTTTTAACTCTTCACGATCTTCGAATGTTCTAAATAAAAGTTTCCAAAAAGCTTTGTGACATTCAATATTGTTCCTATTGGCCATTGTATGAGTTAATTGTGTACCAAATTTGTCATACTGCATAAGCAGTTTTTCAAACAATTCATGAGATTTTTTTTCTTTAAAATAATATTCGATTTCTGTTAATAAGATTTTGAGATTTTCTACATTTCCAACCCAAACGCAAGTTTGTAAAATATTAAGTCCTTCTGCGTTTGTCTTACTCATTAATTCAAATAATGCATCTTGTGTAAAGAACTTTTCCAATATTTTTAAGAATTTTTGAACTTTGTGAGCATTTAATTTTGAGGAAATGGATAAGGAGTAAAAAATATTATTCTGTAATGCAAACACAAAGCTAGTTTGTGTCATCATTGCCTTTTTAACAAATTCACAACTAGTTTTCTCAACCATTTTGTTTATAAAACCTTGAAAAACTTCAATTTCGAGATTAGATTGAATTATTTTGTGAAAAACTTCATTTTTGATTATGAAATCTTCAAAATCTTTAAAATTAGATTTAAAAATGTCGAAACAAAAGTTTTGAAATTTTTCAAACATCTTTGAGCTTCGTGTTGTGTTGATGACAAAATTGGAGTGTTTATAAATAAATTCTTTACTTGTTTCATAGCTTTTACCTTTCAAAACGTCAATTGCATAATCAGTAAGGTTGTCGTGATTGCCAGAAAAAAATTCGCTAAAAATATGATTTTTTTCAAAAATTAATTTTTTAATTTTTAACCTGAAATGTTCTAATAAAATTTCTTCATTTAAATGATTGAACAGAAACATTCGAACTATCTTAAACTTTTCAATGCTCATAATTTCATCAAAAATTTTCATCACTTTTGCATCAATCTTCTCCTTCTTTATGGCTTTAGCAATTGCCTCAGCAACAAAAAATTCTCGGAAAGTCTCGTGAATGAAGTAATATTTTCCATTTTTCTTGTTCATTAATGCGCAAGCGATGACTTCTTCTTCTGGCCATTCACTGCCATCGTAATTGCCAAAGAAAATCATTACCAGGACTGGAAATAAGCTCAAGATTGCATGATATTGATGAAATTTCCAAAAATTATTATCAAATCGAAGACTTTTTACATTTGCATATTTTCTGATCTTGCCTTTTTCATCCGACCACCTTGTGTATACCGTATCTGCGAACTTGTCATATATTTTGGTTCCTTGCAAGTCGTCAACGTTCTTAACATCCTTGAAACCATCAACAATCATTTTAAACAATTGTGGTAGACCAACAGAATCATTTCTTGATATTAAAGCTTTCTCAATGATTTGACGAGCTTTTTGCTGATAATTATCAAAATTTGGAGAAATTTTGATGCAATCGTTTAATTCTTTTTCTGATATTGGTTCTTTTTGGACCTTTTCTTGATCCATTGACACCCAACTTTTAGCTATTAATTGAACCCCATCTTCAACGGTCATCTCATCAAGACTTTGAGCCTTATCGAGCTTCAACTTTTCTTTTAAATCAACTTCAAAGTAGTCTCGAGATGCCATCCATAGTTGATTCCCGCCATTTTGTTGAAAATTCTGAGCTAATTCTGAGACAAATTCAGCACAATCTGGAGCAATTTCATCAAATCCATCAAATAGGATGAATGCTCGTCCTTCGCGGTAAAGTTTTCTGAAGATTGTAACCTCCCATTGCTGCTGTGGCTTCAAAATGTTCTCAATCATGAATTTTTCAAAGTCATGCTTGCCATTTTGTGGCTCAAACTTGTCAATGAACTGCTTCAAGTCCACATAACTCACCCAACTTGTTGGATTTAATTTGCATAGTTCTTTTGTGATGTGCTTCATGGACCAACTTTTGCCATTTCCAGCAATGTCTGAGATGAGGATGTATTGATTGTTTTTAACATTGGAAATGAGTTCATCTTCAGAATACTTTGTTATATTTATTACATTTTTTAACGCGTCCATATTTGGCTTAAAAGGCGTATCAAATAATATTATTAGAACCTTTAAAATTCCAGAAATTAATCCTTTTATTTTTGAAGTATTTGGTTCAAATTCTTTAGTTTGGGAAATTTTGTTTTTTTCGTTAAAACGTCTTTGTTGATACAATAAATTGAAAATTTTATCGTCTTGTTGGATTGTATTTATGAACATTTGCTCATTATCAAGTATCATTGTTAACAATTGATTGTCAAACAACTCAATTAGATCGTCCTGACTTGATGCTCCATCATTATTCTTTAATAAATCATTTAATGCAATTTCTGAATTGTTCTGAAAGCTAATTTTACTTTGCAGCATCAAATTTTGACTTTCTTCTGTCAAGTCATTCCAACTGTAATCCACTTGTATATCAAGGACGCCTTTCAGCCCTATTTTCTTAAAAATTTTGCGAAGCTCTTTAGCTTTATTATGATTAGTCACAACAAATATGACACTTTGATCCTCAGTAAAAAAGATTTTGCCCAAATAATCTGGAATTTCCTTGGAGCAATCAAAAATGATCCTTAAACCTTGATTGTCAAGACAAATTTGATTGAAATCGTCCAAAAGTTGCTCATGATTAAGTTTGTCTGGTTCAACAAAAATGTTTTGAGAACTAAGCAGGTTTCCGCATATATCTTGAAGATGTCTACAAATGTTAATTAGGAACAGCTTCGAAATGTTTGACTGCACTATGATAATCTTGCTGGATGTAACATCTTCCATTTTGTCTTTATTGTGAAGCTCATATTTAAGTTTTTGAATACCGGGAAGTAATTCAAGAGTTTTATTAAATCTTATCACTTCTTCTCTTCGACAGATATGTCTTTGTAGATCAGGTACGACTTGATTGAACCAGAAGTCAAAGATAATTTTGTATTTTTCTTGAAGATACTTAATCTTGACTTCATCATCAGCATATTCTGTTAATATTTGAACGACTCTGACAATTAATTCTGGATGGAAGTCGTTTGCATTGTAAAGTCCAAAGACTGATGAAATGATTCCGTTGCACTCGTCGTCTGGATCTTTTGAATTCTTTGATGGCCATTTGTTTATAACTTGAGATATTTCCTCAAACATTTGTTTCATGTCTTGTCTGTGCTTGTGGTAAGGATTCTCCTGATTCTCATAAACTAGCCGCATGACATAATGACACAGTTCGTGAGCTAAAACTCCTTTAATCGTCCGGTCTCTTTGTTTTATTGTCTCACCTTCCTTTTCTAATAGTTTGGCGCCAATAAAGATCCATTTAAAAAATGGAAATGTTGAACCTAATGCATTCTTTCCTTCTAAGCTCACATTTTCGACCTAAAGTTGATAAATTTATTAAAAGTTATTTTATGAAATAATCAGCTCAAGACTCACCGTTTTGTTTTCAAAATCAAAGATAATTTTCAATTTTGTACATGAAGCTGCAGCATTGAGAAACTCTCGACCGTTCTTGATCTTGCTAATGTCTTCGAACCAACTTCGGATCTTCTTCCTATATTCATTCTCTTGCTGTTTGTTAATCCTCTTATTGTGTATTAATGACCTGTTGCATAATGAATTGATAGTCTTTTGGTCATCTAGAAGAGCTTCGTTAACATTTAGTTTTCTATGTTGTGCTGTATATTTTTTGGCATCTTTCTCTGCTTCTCTAAAGTTTTCATTTGGATTTGCTGAATAAAATTCTTTAGATTTTAAGAAATTAAAGATTTTAAAATTTGAAGCTTCAGCAGATTGTTTTAATGCTGACTTATTATTAATATTGTAACCAACTTTAGAGTATGAATTATCGTTGATAAATTCTTCAATTTTGTGCATTTTATCATCCTTAATTGCATCCGCAAGACTTTCTCTTTCAGCAATGATACTTTTAAATCCTTTATGAATTACCGAATTTACATTAAAATTTGTTGGAAATGGATAATCAGCGTAATCTAGCAAGTCACAAAGAACATCAAATTGATTTGTCTCAAATGCCGTTGTCACAACTTTTATTTGGTGATTAAATGGAAGTTGCTGGATCAAGTGAGTCCAATAATTTATCAAATAATCGACGACATGATAGTTTTCACATTTTATGGCTGTGAGAATAATTGATTCATCTTTTGTTAAATCCTCGTCATCCTCAACTACATTGCATATATATTGTTGTGCTGTATTGCTCAAAAAACTTCCTGCATTTTCAAATGGTGCATCCAAAGCAGCTAAAAATTCCGCGAATGTACTTTTTTTGACAACATTGAAAATAATACTTTGGAAAAATCCAACCGGAAAATTTAATGCCCATAAGAATCTTAAAATAATCGAGCGATCCAGAATCACATCTTGAGCAGCAAGAACTTTTAAATCAGCACCGTCGATGAATCCATTCAAAAATAAATTTAAAAATTGTGGAAAATTTGTAAATTTCTCGCTTGTCGTCCAAAATGTTGGATATGAAGCCAGCAGGAAGCTTGACGATTCTTCTTTGTAGTAAAATATTGTAAAGTTTTCATTTTCTGATGTCAATTGGACAAGTAAAGGACGTGTTGAGCCAAATTTAAGCAGACTTGCTTTCAATTGTTCGATTTTATCTTTAATTAATGAATAATTTGTTGCTGCAATGACAAAAATGAACAGCTGTGGATACTCAATGTGGTCTAGCTCATCAATTCTTTTCAAAACTTCTTCAAAACTCCATTCGGATGAGAACTGAAGCAACTTGCAGGTAGATTTGCGTACCTTGCTGACATTTTTGACATTTTTGACATTTTTTTCTAGTTTTAAGATGTATTTGTCATCAATTTTAATCGAATTTGAATTATTGAGTATATTTGGTGCTGATCTTTGGGGTTGATTGATCGCATCAATTTTGAGTTTAGCGTCATGTTCATGAATCTCGTCAGACATCGATCATAATTTATTTTATTCTAAAAACAATGTTATAAAAATTTTATTTTTCCAAACATAATCGCAAAAAGCTTAGTCAAATCTTACAAACGAAAAAATATCAAGGCCAAATCTTGAAAAAATCTTGAAAATTAAAGTATGATCTTTAAAATGGAATAAGATAAAGAAAATTTTGAAACTTACTTATTATGGATTCTTTAATTTTATCAGAGTATCTTTTTTAAAATTTCTAAATTTCACAAAATTAAACTTTATTACTTTAATAAAAAAAAACTAAATTGAAATGATTAAAATTTTCACGCAAATATTTTACGCATTATGGCACGCACTCAATTCCACGCGTAGACATAACAATCATGTTATGTTATCTTTTTAATTAATGCATTTGTATAAAAAACAACCGTTTACGTTAAAATCTCAAATAAAATTTAAGTTTTTAAGTAAATTATATTTTGATTTATTTTAACTTAAATTTTAAATTTATTTGTGAAATAACTATGATTAAAAAATTTTTGTTTTAATTTTGAAGACTTGAGTACATTTTATTTGCAGCAGTTAACATAACGGTTTTTAAGAAATTAAAATTTTCCCGCTGAAAATAGTTTAAATTGAACTGGATTATTAATTCCAATTATAACTCTAAAAGGTCGTTCATTTATGACGTCCAACAAATGTAGTCAATGTGTAGCTTCACAATTCACTTGAAATACGATAAACTCATTAGGGGCCATTCACTTATTACGTAACGCTTTTAGGGGGAGGGGGGGTCTAAGATTTTGTTACGATTCAAACAAGGAAATTTTTTTTTCATACAAATTTTGTTACGAGGGGGGTCTAAGAAGTCATTTTTTCGCGTTACGTAATAAGTGAACAGCCCCTTATCAAATTTAAGATCGTCAACTTGAATTCTAAACACAGAATTTATTTTTATTCAAAATTTAAAATTATATAAAATTCAACTTTTTCTACAGATTCTATTCTTAATATGCTTGGACAAACCAATTTTTGTACCAAAATATTTTCCACAAAGATCGCATTGTAGTGGATGTTCTGAATGAACAGTCTTCATGTGAAGGTTATATATATATTTATTACTATATACTTTTAAACATTTTTGACATTTTACTGAATTTTTCATTTCTGCAAACTTTTTGTCTTGATTTTCATGGAACTTTTGATGTTTTTTAATGCTATTAATTGCATCAGTTGCGTAGTTACATTGTTGACATTTGTAAGGTTTTGGTCTGTTTTTGTTGTGTGTTTCTTTATGTCTATGCAACAGTTTGAAGTTCTTATTACACACATCACATCTAAAACTTTCGGGATTCTCGTGATTCAGCTTCATGTGCTCATTTAAATATTTTTGAAATGTAAACAGTTTGGAACATATTTGACACTGAATTGTCTTGTTGTGACTTTGAATGTGATTCTTCAATGTATCAATTAGCTTGAAACTTTTGTGACAGAGTTTACATTGGAATTTCCGATCAGTCGAGTAAAGTGCTTCTTCATGTTTTTCGGCTGGATCTTAATTTGGCATAATTCACACTTTACCTTCGATTGATGATGAACCATGTGTTTTTGGATTTTTGATCTAGTCTCGAAAAATTTGCCATCATAATCACATTCATAATGTTTTGGATGAAATTTTTTTGTATGGGTGGAAATACTAACTTTTGCAGGTTTTACTTCATTTTGGATGATTTCTAAATCTTTGAATCTGTTATTTTTGTTGTGTTTTTTAACGTCCATTGTTAACTTTGCACATTAAACCTTTGAACTAATAAGTAAATTGGAAATATTAAAGATTTTATGAGAAAATTTTAGTCGAAAAAGTTTTCCAAAATCTCAAATTTTTGTTATTATTTTCAACAAAGTCAAAAATGTTCTAAAGTCAAATGAAAAACATTCAAACTTTAATATTCTCAAATTTCAAGTTCAGACTACCTTGTTGATGTGAACAGTTACATTCAGAATAATCAATAGGTTTAAATATAGGCTAAAGTAAATGCTGAAAAATTTAAAAAAATGCTGAACATTATTTTAGGGAATCTAACTTCACACCTCTCGATTGCTGCTCAAGAGCAAGTCACTAAGCTTTATGGTTTTGCAATTGAATTTGACTATTTGCCAATACATTTTAACCATTCTTTATTTTTGCAGAATGATGATGGCCTTACGTGCCAAATATTCTACGTTCAATCCCAAGTCAAGTTTTAAATGCTCGGTTCGTGTGTTGGGTGTAGTATTGATGTCTTTGGCACAGAATGTGCCTCTTTTGCTAGGTATATCCAAGTATACTTAGTATCTGGATGATTTCATTACAACATCTTGCGCACACAAATTGTAACAAGGTACATCGCAGGGTACATCAGGTCTTATGACGTACTCATGTCTTTGCAATGTGAACAGCTTGCAAGTGGTTTGGATTCCACTATAAACTGTAGTTCTTAAAGGTATGGTACAATAGATTCTTTACAAATTGAATTGCAGTGCCTTCAGCTCAAAAGGCTGGGCCCTCTCTATGCTTTAGTGTGCCGCGATAATTGGCCACCACGCTATTAATGAACTTTTTAAATTAAATGTCAGATAAAATTAATCTATTTACCAACAACTATTTATCAACAATCTCAGTTAAAATATAGATGACAAAACCACAGAAAAAAGTATAACTCCGAATCAAAGATCGCGAGCGGGACTCAAATCTACTCTTACGATTTCCGGTCACATGCTCCTGCCACTGAGCTATCGGGGGCTAGACGAGTATATGACTAAATCCATATTTAAGTTACACTCTTTTTTTACTGTTCCCTTGCACCACATGATTTATCGTTGACCGGCTATTACATGGAATCGCAAATTCCAACAAAAATTATCAGTTTTTAATAAATTTGAAATTGTATAGTCATGAATCAAACGTATTAAACAAAAAAATGAAGCTAATTTTGGATCATTAGGCTACAGTAGTTCAATTGGTCTGGAGGTCATAAAATGGGAGGTTTCAGAGGCCACAACATGGACTTTGGAATTCCAGGATTTGGATTCGGTAATTTTAGTAGAATTTTTCTATTTGAAGCAGGATTCAGTTCTTCAGGGACAAATGCTGGCGCTAGTTCCTTATCAAGTGGCGGTGAATTTGGATTAGAAGGATTTGTAGGCTCAGGAGCTAGTGTAAATGCAGGTTCATTATCAAACGGTGGTGCTTTGGGCTTAAGTGGCTTAGGAGGTCACTCAGGTGGGCTTAGTTCATCAGGATCTAGCGCAAACGCTGGATTTAAAATAGGTTTGTAGCTTCTCCAGCTAGTCGCATCTTGTAGGAACATATCGCTTGATTAGGAATCATTCATATTATTGTTCCGATCCTAAAATTCTAAAATAAACTGGACAAATCAGAACAAGACAAAACTATTTTATTTTTGAACAATGAAAAAAATAAAGGACTCATTCAAAAAAATTATTTATTAAGTCTTTAACAAATTTTTCAAGATTTCTTCCAACTTTCCATCCAAGATTTTCTCAATATTTTCCATCATGCGATTTTCAATTAACTTTAACTTTGCATCAATTGACACAAGTGTCTTGTATCGAACAATATCAAATTCCTTTTGAATTGCATCAAGTTTTCTGCTGATTTGACCATTTGAAGTTGCGACTCGATCATCAAGATTTTCAAGTTTCTCATCAAATAATGAGAACTTGGCATCAATTGTGGTATTAAGATTGGATTCAAGGGTATGAATTGAGGATTCAACAGAATTTAAGGAACTTGTAAAGGATGTGATTATTGAATTTTGGAAGTTTTGATTCACAGTTGAAATTTCATCAATTTTACAGCAATTGAAGCATTCAGACGGAGGAGCAGTTGAGCTGGTTGCTGGTTCTGTAGTGGCTTTTGTTGTTAAATCGATGAAAGTTTCAATTTTGAGGGCTTCGAGTTTATTCCTTAATGGTCGAAACTTGTAAAACTTGGACTTTTGAAAACTTTCTTCCAGGCTTTTAAGTTTAACTGCTAATTCATTAGAGCTTAAAGTTCCTGACTCATTTTCTAGATTTGTCATCTTTTCATCGAAAGACTTGAAATCTGAATCTATGCATTGACTTTTTGCGAATTTTATTGCATTTTGAACTTCACTTCTTGAATTGGAGACAAATTTATCAATGCACGGGTTCTTACTTAACCAAAAGAAACTCAGTTTGTCCAATTTATCAAAAGCTTTTGGGTCTATATGAATAATTTTACCTCGATCAAAACCTACAACTTCTAAATTTAGATTGAAATCAAAAAGCCCTTCTTCCAAAACTTCAATGTCGTTATTGAATAAACTTAAGTAAACTAAATTTGTGAACGGCTTCAAGTCAGATTGATGGATTTCCTTCATGCCAGAGGATTTAAAATAAATCAATTTTAAATTATTGAAAAAACTTTCCAAGCCTTGAGGAAAATAAAGGATTGTTGTACCCGAAGAATGAATGCCAATTACATCACTGTCACTTTTTGAGCTCTGATGTCTGCCGCTAATTGACTTGATCACAACTGACTCTTGACTAAAAATAATATGATCATTTTTGACCTCACATCTATAAATCGAGCTTAGAATATTGTAACCAAGAACATCATAGCGGCATAAAATATTATTTAATGTTGATGAGTCACAAAATAAGGAGATAATGCACACGATGAAGCTATAATGAAAGTTTAAAATGTCAACTGTGGTTAGATAACATTAAATTAATTGAGGAAGTGACAAACATTTTATATTTTAGATCAGAGACTTGAGTTCACTCGACTTCATACAAATTTCGAGTCGACTTCGCCCTCTGTTTTAGATTCTTCCTCTCGAACTTATGTGAAACAATTACAATGGAATTTTTCAGAATTTCGATTTCGTAAATCCCCCTAAAATCACGATATCAATAAGTAAGCGAAAATCAGGCGCATAGCTGGGGTGTGATTGGTTTGGGAATTGTGGGAAAAATCCTTTTTCTAACAGAAATTTCTTAAATTTGCTAGGGTTAAAAACAATCCCAAAATCAACACCCCCCACCATTAATAGTTTCCAAACACAAATTTTTTTGCCACACCCCTAAAATTCTTGGCTACGTTTCAAGCGGACATTATCATACAAAAACTATCAAATTTAAAAAATAGAAATATTCATCTTTAAACAAATTGTTTGCTAAGAAAAATATGCTAAATTACTTTTGCTTTGCCGCTTTCCTTGGCCAAACTTATAATTCATCATACTTACAATATTATTTTCACCATAATTTTGATTTGACAAAATTGACTCGTCAGTCTTTTGCTGCTTGTTTTTGTCAACTATTTAATTCAAAAACGTTTGCATTAGTCAAACTTTCGATGCAAGAACTCTCTTTTCATGATTTCTAAGGGCTTTTTCATGAATAAAGTCCATCAAAAAACGAGATTTTAAGATCCTCGTTTCCATTCTCACAAAATGTGTATGAAAAAAAATTTCTTTTGTTTAAGGTGCTAAAAGACTCCAGAACCCCTCCTCACTGAAATATTGGACGTCATTTATGAACTGAATCTTAGAGAATACTTTCAACTCTCCCAAAAATGTCAACGATGTGAATGCACAGCAGTAATCATGCTTCAAAAGATCGTCAGACATTTAACATAAATAAGATATAAAATTTTAAGAAAAATTTAAAAATTGGTTTTCTAAAAAATAAAAGATGGTTTGAGGAAATAAAATGGCAAATATAAAATCTGGAAAAAAGGAGCCAGAGCAACAACAGAAGAAGCTTTCAGAGTGTTCAATAGCTTTTATAAGCAGCAAGCTTTCAATTCTTGTTAAGCATTGGAAACTTGAAAAAAAGCTTTGGTCAATTAAAATTTTTAAAATCGTTACAGCAAATAAGATGAACATTGTTGACATTTTTACCGAGAAGACGAAACTTCAGACAAAACAAAATAAAAAAAATTACTCGAAGAACAACAAAGGAATTTAAAAATAAAATAATATAAAGATTAATCTTTAAAAAATAAGGAACAAAAAGTGAATTAAGTGAAAGATTATGTTTTAGCTTCAATTTAACACTCGAATATTATTATTAAGGTAAAATGTTTTATTTCAAACGGCCTTGAAAGTATGAAATATTCCAAATTACATCACAAAACAAATAATAACAGCAGTAACACAGAAAACTAGTTTTTATTATGGATTAAATAACAATTTTTATTCGAAAGTGACTTGTTGTGCTTATAATTTTATTTTTTAATACTCAAATAAAGCTTATGAAAGTGCTGAAAAATAATAATTTAAATAATTGAGTCATTTGGAACTACAGATTTGATTAGATTAGATTAACTGTTTTGACCATACGTCCGTAAGTTGATACAGACATGTAGTAAATAAAAACTCAATGTTTTAAGTCATTTCAATTTATCATTGTGTAAATTGTGGTTGAGATGATAATGCTTTAAAAATAATAAAAACGATTATTTGAAATGCTGATATTCTAATGGGGGAAACAACATGATGAGAAATTTATTTGATCAAAATTTATTTTTTGATTCTGTTTTTTTTCTGAAGATTTTCTTTGGAAAATTATGTAGAGAAAAATCCAACGGGAGAACAACGTCATGGGAAAGATATTAAATTGGAAATGCACAATGATTTTCCATTATTTTGGTGAATTAGAAGAAGAGCCGTGAACTATGACAGAAAATTTAAGTAATTTGAAAAAAATCGGTAAAAAACCTGAAGAAAATTGGTCAAATTTAAGAGAAAATTCGTGGAAAATTATTGAAAAAAATTTACCTCGTAATATTCTTTCCTCATGTTATGCCCCCCCACCCACAATCCCTACTATTATATTGACAAAAATACAGAAATTCTTTTTTCATTCAATTTTAGATTTAAAGATGCACATGCACATGAGCTTTTGGTGGGGAACCGACCTTGGGGACCTGCTTATTAAAGGATTAACAATAAATGGAGCTACAGCTGTGATATTTTTATGCATCTCATTATTCATTCTGTCGATATTATCTGAGGCTTTAAAAGTGAGTATAAAAAAGGAATTAGAACAATTGTTCAAATCAGGGGGATAACAGCCTTTCTTAAAAATTATTGTTTGTTGATATATGCCGAATTTTCCTGGATTTTAATTCATGTTGTGCAATTTCATCATTTCTAACCATTATAATGCAATAAAATATGTAAAAATATATTTTTCACAAAGCTGTTATCCCCCGGCATTCTAAGTTATTTAATAATCTCCATTATAGGTCCACAAAACACGCTCGAAAGCCAAAACTGCTCGGGATCAAAGATCAGCTAACACCGAAACCACAGCTCTCCTAAATATCACTAGCACTAGAAAACCTCTAGTTGAGGATGTCTTGAAAGCAATGAAAGACGTATCAATGTTTGCATTTCATAATATATTATCATATGGACTTATGCTTGTTGTTATGATGTACAATGGCTACGTCTTTATTGCTGTAATATTTGGATCATTTTTTGGATATTTATTGTTCGGACACATTTCAATGAAGACTAATATGGAGAATTTACAAGCTATACAGACTAAAATAATGTGTAAAACAAGATATACAACTTCCGGTAAGTTTTGGTAATCGGAATTGGATTAGGGTTTCATGAATAATGAAAGATTTCGTGACAGTGCACAAAAAGAATTTTTTTGATTGACATAACATTCGAATAATCCCTAATTAAACCGATTCTTATTATTACAGATGAACCATGCTCGTCTGGAACCACGCCAGTCATATCACATTGTTCAACAATAACAGGTGAATCAAGTAGAAGTGGAGTTACTGTTATGCAAAGCATGCAAAAGCCAGTGAGCGATGAAACATCGATAATCAATAAGAATGATGAGGAATGTTACACATAATTTATCGAAAAATTAGAAAATTTACTGATATTCACACTTACTCTTTTTTTTGTGGTAAACTGTTCAATTTTTAAATCTTATTTGTTTTTATAATAAAAGGTTTAAAATTAAAACTGGATAGACAAGTGTTTGTATTACAATGGTTCTCAAACTATGTGCTGCTGAAAAAATCCAGGTGTGCTGCCAAAAGCATTGATTGCTGAAATTGGGATAAAATAGAATACTTTCCCGCTGCATTGGTTTTTGGATTTAAAATAATTAAAACTTTATTGTATTGAAGAATTGAAAATTAAAGTGTGCTGGTTTCTAGGGCTAGCCGGGGTAGGTTAGGGTGGATTCCAGATTTCAGATTTAGCTTGTTATTGAACAAATTTCACCTAGCTTATCCAACAAAATTAAAATCTTTACTGTTTTATCTACGAGACTTTTTGTCAAATACATCAAGGTTGCGGAACTTATGAATTACATTTTGATCATTTTTTGAAAATTTCTTGAGTTCCGTCCCCTTGAAATATATCCTCTACACGATACACAAGATTCTCCATCATTTTTTGGTGAATTTAAAATTTTAAACTTTTTCATCAATTTATCTTTCATTCTGTAATTTAATTCTTAAATTATTTTTTAAATGAATTTTTGAAACTAGTTTTTCGTTTAATTTTCTTGGATCTTAAAATGAAAACTTTTTCGGCAAGAAATCCAAGAAAAGATGTCAAGCACGATGCAATGTAAATGTTAAAGCCAAAAGTCAAATCATCAAGGCTTAATACTTTTGGTTCTTCCTCAATCTTTTTAATTTTAATTTTTTTAGTATAAAAGTTTTCAATCAAATGATTTATAATTCCTGATGGAACTAAACGATTAATGACATTGTTAAGCATTCGGAAGTAAAAAGCATAAGATTTGAATGTAAAAACATCATAAAATGTGTATGGAACTGAATATTCAAGCCTGTTCCATTTGTAGCTTACTGTTTTTAAATTTAAATCAACATGATTTAAAAAGTATTCATCAACAACTAATGCGAGTTTAGCTGATGAATTTTGTGATTGATTTAAATATGCATCTAAATAATCAATCGGGTTGGATTTGACAATCCTCGGCCTGTCATGAAAATAAAGTTTAGAATTAAAAATAAAAATCAGAAATGAAAAAATTTACCATAATTTTGTTTCGTCCATTTTCTTATACATATTTAATGTTCCTAGTGTTGCTCTTAGCGCATGCATTGTATAATTTCGTTCAGCTAAGTCATTAAAAGTCTTTGGTGGTGACTGCCTCGGCTCACTTGTCATAAATTCAAAAAATTTACTTTGAAAACATGTCCGGAAAATCAAGCAGAAATAAATAAAAAGAATCAAAATAAATCGTGAAAAATTCTTGCTTGGTAATTTTGTCTGTGAAATTCCGAAAAATATGCTGATTACATTCCAAATTGGAGTCTCAATATTTTGACCATAAATGAGATTTTGAATAGATTTTGAGAGATGATTAATGATAAAAATTGAGATGAATGTCACGAAGAATGTGAAAAAAATTAAAATCCATGTCAGCATGTCAAATGGAAGGAAGAATTTCTCGTATGGTGTAAACATCTTTGCTGGAGTTACAAAAATTAATACGTTAAAATTACTCATCACATTTGATGCTGCTTGATTGACTTTTAAACTTGATATTGGACATGATTGGAAATAAACGTGTATATCCTTATACGCATTATTTATATGAAGTATTCGTACTTCTCCTAAGTTCGGGTCATCAAACCATTTTTCATTCATCGAGACAGGCTGATAATCAGTTGAATAATTATGCTTTTTTGATGTAATTTCAAATATGACTGGTGAGATTCCATGAACTTCAAAAGTTGTTAAATTCTTATTTGGTAAAGCATATCCAGAAACATGATAAATTGTCCCTTCTGACAGTGGAATTGGCAACATCATGACTAGCTCACAATTGTGATAATTCAAGAACTTTTCATAATTTTCAAGCTTTAACTTCCATTTTTGTGATTTTTTATCAAATGTATTCAACTTATTTAAATGAGCACGATTACATCCATAAGGACTAAACCATTCGACAGTTGACAGTGTCACTGTGTTTAACTCATTTGTAATAAAATATGTGTACTGAAAAACAGAGCTGCTTAACAATGATAATCTATTGTAATAATCATAAATCCTTGAAGATTTTAATTCCTTAAAAGTCAAATTTGGAATAAATGCAAAATATTTAATTGCATTATTTTGGTGCCGATAAACTTGATATTGATGCTCAATATACTTAAATTCTTCTAAAGAATCAAAAAACATGAACGTTGAGTATTTTCGTATAAACAAATCTTTTGTATAGATTTTCATATTTTTAAGTTTGTAAGAATATTTATTGTCGATTTTAAACAACAAGTTACTGATAATGTCCATAATAAATGGCGACGTGGTTCTTAGAATTGTGAAATCAAATGTGATTTTTTCTTTTAATAAAAATTCATCAGCAATATCGAGTAATACACTTGAGATTGATAAAACATCCGATTCCATTTCTAAATTAATTTTACTTGATATTGATTGAATTGATAGCAAAATGTTAATTAAAATTGGAATTAATTTAAGTTTCATCTTTAATTCAGATTTTTTGGACACAACAGTCAGCTTAAAAAACTATAAAACCATTAAATACCAAAAAATAGTTCAATATTTTATTTTGTGTTTATGCTTGTCATTCTAATTGATAGCATCTTAACATGGCTCATATTTTATGAACATCTTCATTTGACACGATTTAATAATTATTTTTCATTCTGAATTAATAAGTCAAAAGTTATTGTTCTATTGACAAACCCGACTTTCATAACTGAGATATTTTGATCTAGTTTGTAGTTCTAAATGGGCTTTCAAAGATGCCCAGCAATTGCACCGACGTGGATTGACATCGAAACTTGAGACTGTAATAAGGTCGAAATTTAAAACTTTATTGCACTGGGTGGTAATAACTTCACCTATAAAATCTAAGTTTGAAAAGTTTCAAGTTGAATTTCATATTTCGCATCCGAAATCACAACAAAGAAATTAAGTGTCTAGTCTGTATCCAAATGTTTTAATCTCAAGGAATATTGAAACAGGAAAAGAGAGACTATCATCATGGGAACATCCAAAAATACTTAAAATGTGACTTTTATGGCATGAAATCAAGCACAAAACATCGCTCCCAAAGTCACCAGAAAACCCACAATCAAAAATAAATAAAATTATAATTTTTTTTAAATTGTTCAGTTTATTTGTTTAGTATCATATTAAAACCATCTTAATTCACTTCACATAATGTCTTTAAATTATTTTGTTTTAATTCGTAATAAAATAAATCGATTCGTCGTTTTAAATTTCAATAATTAAACTACACAGTGCTTTGAGTTTCATCCTTTGACTCCCTCTTAAGTCCCTCATACACCAAATAAGCCACAGTTATGCTAAAGATTTGAAAGCAAAGAAGCAAAGCAGCAACAAGAATAATGCTTAGCTTTAAGTCATTTGAGTCAATAACAGTCACATTCATTCTATCATCAGGTATGTAAATGAAGGCTATAAAGTAGTTTGCGGACACGATGCACAGAACTGCAACAAATATTTTGGCTAACTTTGGTTCTCGCTAAAAGATAAAAATTATATAATTTCGATTATTTTAGTTTAGCTTCCTTTCGGAGATTACTGACCTCTCGAATTGCCCTCAGGAACTGGCATGAGAAGATTACATAGAGCAATGACACGAGGGTCTCTAAAATAAGAGCAACTGCAAGTAAATAATAAAAACTTATGTCAGTCTTTAACTTCATTGGCAGTCAATTGATGATTTGTGCTTATTCTCAGTATCATTGCATGTTGACATGGCTTTTTTAATTAAATTGACTGTCCAAATAGCTACATCTGCTTCAAATATAACCTTAAAATCGATAACACTGCAAAGGCGGTTTATTTTTTTAAAGGTTCAATTCCGTTGAACCAAACCGGATCAGTGGTTCTCCGGGAGTTCAGATGAGCAGCAAAGGCTGGAAACTAAGCAGTGTTGAATTTGCCCAGATTTTGCCTTTGAAAGTCATGTCTTTGCAAAGGCACAAAGAGGCAATGGCAAAAAAAATTGCATTTGACAAAACCAAATGCTTGTGCCTTTGATTTCAAATTGACTACACTTAGGTCTACCTTTTTAAAGTCAAAGGCTAAGTTTCACTGAAACTAAGACAACATATCATGTCCCATCTTGCTGTCACTGAATGGCAACAACACTAGCCATGATCACGCTCTCTAGAATATTAATTTTCAAATAAGAAGTAGGATCCACTGGAGAGTTTTAAAAATCAGTACTAGTAAATGCACTGTTTTAATTTTAAAAGGAAAAGAGCACAAGAGACATCCTTTTGCACTCTAAAATTTAATTTTTTTTTCATAGGTATGTCTTTTTGAGACAACTTTTATTTTCAATCATATTTGACCACCACTGAGCCAGACCAATTCATCAAGCATCAAAACCAATAACAACCATCGATATCCGCATAATTAATTAATGATTTATTTGCCAACATATTTAATTTATATTCAAGATCACCAAAAGATTTATTACCAACGGTCACAAATTCATCCCATATATCCAAATCATCGTAATTAAAAGCTATATGCAATGGTATGCTGATTAAAAACACAATAGTCAGCACAGAACTAATCGAAACATGAATTAAGCCAACATTTTTTCCAAACTTTTCGACAGTATTTTCAAACATTTCATAACCCATTTTTTTAATAATGCACACAAAAATTGTCTGAATCGCGAGTGAATTCGAAAAATTTCAGAGATTTACTGAAAATAGATTTTTTTTACTCAGAAGAAAATTCACTCAAATTATAAACACAGCATGATTCTCACTCACATGAGATAAAAATTGAGAAGATTTAACTCCTGAAATTTGAGTCTGCGAGCGAATATGTGCCCTGACATTGAGACATTTTCATCATGACGAAGTGAAAATGAAAACAATCTTTTTTGTTGAAGATTATAAATAAACTTGTGAAATTTCAGACAAATTGACAACAATTTATTTTTCTTTCTTTTTTTTTACCTGCGGATTTATTGAAGTTTGGGTTGCCTGATGATCAAGATGCATTAATTGACAAGCAAGCATCTTGTGTGATAGATGCTGTTCTGATAACTTTGTTTTTATACTACTGGAGTACAAAGTGTCAATACTTGTATTTTCCAGTGCCTGTTTCTAGTCCTCAGACCCTGCGCCTTTCTTGGGATGTCCAACTAATGACGTCCAACATTTAGCAGAGGGCAGAGGGTCTAAGTTTTTGTGTTTAAAGGAAGTTTTGTTAAATAAACATTTTGAGACAGAAAGGTGTAGGGGTTCTAAAAAAAAGTATTTTGACGTATATTAAAAAGTGAACAACAAGCACCCCAGACCGTAATATCATCAGAGGTAAAACTGCAAATTTGTTTGAAATAGAAAAAACATTTTACTATCAAACATTTCAATCAAACATTTACTAAGAAATCAAAAAAAAATCTATAGAATTTAACATGTTTAGATTCAAAGCTCAGTTTTAAGGTTGTTATCATACATTTTCCAAGAACGTGTGTTAAGGTTCCTACAAACCCTGACTACACCTTTAATACTGCTCTTTAGAGTTGAAGTTAACCTTAAACTTCACATAATAATTAAGATGAAATTTGAAACAATTTAAAACGAAATATCTCGTTCCATCAACTTGCAAACATTCTTACATTACTATAAATGTACGACTGATTAATTCAAATGTTCAGTATTGTTCATTATTATCTTGAAATTAATTGTGTATTCAGAATTTAAAATATGCAAATTAATAGCAAATACTGCAGCTACGATTCAGTTCAAAAGATCTGGAGTGGACGTAAATGTACGCCAATTTACAATACAGACGCGAATCTTGGTTACTTAATTCTTCAAAAATTGATTCAATCACCACAAAGTGTCTTTCAAATCTCCGATAATTCAGGCATTGAACTTACAAACTTTGACATTTACATGCGTTCCATAAAGTTTGCCAATTTCTTAATCAAATCTGGACTCAAGCAAGGCGATGTAGTTGGACTGAATGTATCAAATAGTGAAAATTTGTCATCAATTATATTCGCGTGTTTTACATTAGGAATCGCTGTCAATCCACTGGCAATAGTTATGGACGTTAATGACATTTGCAGTATTTGGTTAAAGACAAAACCAAAAATAATTTTTTGTGATGGAAAAATTGCGAAGAAAGTGAAAAGTGCTGTTGATAAAATGGATTTAGATGTGAAGATTGCTACTTTAATTGAGAATGTTGCAGGATTTCAGTGGATTGATGAGATTCTAGAGGTTGAATGTGATGATTTTGAGTGAGTAGCTTTGGACTATTTAAATTGTAATGTTGAATGCTAAGACTGTGCACTAGCGATGTCCAAATCTTTAACTTTCTGACTTATTCTAGATTTCCAGATCTTCCAAATATTTCATCGACCATAGCTCTAATTCTCTGCTCATCGGGCACAACAAACTCACCAAAATGCATCTGCAAATCCCACAAACAAATTATTACCAACTATCATCCATTTTATGAACCAAACTTAAAGTCACAAGATATTTACTTCCTTCATACGGTTTCTCATTGGGTCAGTTACCATTGGTTCCTAATAACTTGTGCTTTATATGGCATGAAACTTGTAATTACAACTGAGAAAGTAACTCCTGAACTTTGGATGGATATAATTGACAGACAACAAGTCATAGTTGCTGTATGCATTCCTCAATTTGGTTCAGTTCTGTTAAAATCGAAAAGTTTGAGACAACTGCCTAGTTTGAGAATTATTGCAGTTGGTGGAACTCCATTCACTGAGAAGCTAATAGCTGATTTAGTACCACTGTTTCCAAATGGAAGTATTAGATGCTCTTGTGGATGTACTGAAAGTGATCAGCTGTTTATTATGGGACGAGAAGATCCAAAAGGTGCAAATTCTGGATATCCGTTTAAGAATGTCGACGTTAAGGTAAGAATTTAAAGGTTTGAGGCTAATAAGTTGATGATTAATGTCCAAAATTCAGATTATAGATGACGCTGGCAACACACTGGGCCCCAAAGAATCAGGACAAATTTATTATAAAACTCCAGTTCCATTCTCATGCTACCTCGATGATCCAGAAAGTTACAAGCAATCATTTGACTCTTTAGGCTTTATTGCATCTGGTGACATTGGCTATTTTGATGAACAAGGTCGAATCTACGTCAAAGACCGCATTAAGCACATGATTAAAACAACTGGTCCAAAATCTGGAATTTGTACTTTAGCTCCAATAGAACTTGAGACAATAATTAATGAAATTAACGGAGTCATTCAGAGTTGTGTTGTTGGATTTTTTGACAAACATTTATTTTATGACATCATTTACGCATTTGTTATTAAGGATGCCGAGGAAGTGAACTTAACTGAAGAATTTGTGATGAATTATGTAAATACAAAAGTCATCGATGGTAAGCGAATTACTGGTGGCGTTTATTTTATTGAGAAATTTCCACTGACTCCATCCGGGAAGGTCTTGAGCAGGGAGTTGAAGAAAATTGCTACGGAAATTAATAAAAATAAGTAGCATAGTGAAGACTAAATTCAAGGGGTTGTTAAGATTCAGCAACTTATTCCATCAATGTAAGATCAGGTAATAATTCGTTTTCAGGTTCTGCAGGATTATTTTCAGTTGTTCTATTTTTCGAATTAATTAAGCCTTCGTCTTGGATTGAACCAAGTATTACTGGTTCAGAAGACCTAAACTCTGGCATTTGAGACAGAGCTTTGCTAGAATCTTTTCTCAAAACTCCTGAAGCGGCCACAACTAAAACATTTTCCGTTTCAACCTTGACATGTTCGTTGGTTGATATGCTGATCTTTGGATTTTCAAACCTCCTTTTAACAGCCAGTTCTACACAAAACACCAAAAATGCAGCAAAAAGTGCGAAAAAGCAAATTTGAAATCCAAAACCAAGATGACTTAAACTTAGCACAACCTTTTCTGATTCTGATTTTTGACCCATCAAATTCCATTTAGATTTTGTGTATTTATCCAAATGGAAATTAATAATTCCTCCCGTTATAAGTCCTTCAATAATTTCGTTGAGTCTTTCATTCCATAAATTTGAGTATGCGAATCCAACAGCATAATATGATTTAGTGATTGGAATTGGGACGAATCTTTTAGGTATTGGAGCTTGGATGTAATACGTATTTAAGCTATGCTCGACATCACATGTAAGGATTGCACCAGGAAATGATGGATTTGTGAGGTTATCAAAATAAAGTGCTGTGTATTCGTTGATTGGAATCATAGCAATGTCTAGACTGTGAAATAAAATAAAAATCAAATAAAATGTGGTTCGAATAACTAATCCAAGTAGTTCAAAATAAAACTAAGGACCTCAAATCACCCTACTCACGTTCTTACATTGAACAACAAGGTCTAGGACTACAGCTAACTCATTGATCCACCATTCAAGTGTATAGTTGCCTAATCACCATTAAAACTTACTCAATAATCCCCGAAATATAGTTCAACATTCCTTCTGATGCATCATTTGGGATATAAAGTACAACATTTCCAGATTCAACTTCCTCCAATGTTTTCATCTCTGGCTTTCGAATGGCAGATGTTGTAAATTCAAACAATTTGCCTTGATATGCTGTTCGAATCACCAAACACCAAAGAACAAATGATGTCAAAATTATTCTTCCAAAATTCCTGTACGGCTGTTTTGTCTGTCCAATTCCAAAGACAATACAATAAATGTCGAAAAATGATGAATGCTTTGATGCACTGGAAAACAAGCGCTGAAATTTTGTTCTTCTAATGACAAAAGTTGTAAGAATTGCAACTAGTAATGTTATTCCAATGCTTATCCATGTTTCAGAATCAAAAGGTAAAACAATTTTCTCAAATGATGTGTACAGGTCCCCTGGCGGGACATAAAGTTGAGGACTGTAATTAAGATTAATGTAAATTGATTAATGATCAAACCTGATTATAAATCAATAATTTGAAAGAAACTCAACATTTAAATCTAATGTGAAGGAACTTAAACATAAGAACTCTTGTGACAAGGAGCCTAAACATTAGAACTCAAGTGTGAAGGCAACTGAACATAAGAATTCTAGTGTGAAGGCAACTGAACATTAGAACTCTAGTGTGAAGGCAACTGAACATAAAAACTCGAGTGTGAAGGCAACTAAAACTTAAAAGCTCTAGTGTGAAGGCACCTAAACATTAGAACTCGAGTGTGAAGGCAACTGAACATAAAAACTTTTGTGTAAATGAACCTGAACTTAATAACTCTAGTGTGAAGGCACTTGATTAAAAAAACTCTAATGTGAAGGCAACTGAACATAAAAACTCTAGTGTGAAGGAATCTGAACATTAGAACTTTAGTGTGAAGGCAACTGAACATTAGAACTCTAGTGTGAAGGCTCCTGAACATAAGAACTCTTGTATCAAGGAGCCTGAACATTAGCACTTGAGTGTGATGGCATCTGAACCAACTCAAACTTACGAGCACTGAATATTTAGCATTATATTGTTCCATTTCGATGAGGCTTTATTACCAAAACTATATCCATCAAGTGTAGTTGTGTGAATAACATTATAAAGATAGTAAATTTTGACAATATCATAACAATTTCTTGACAGACAAGCAACATAAGTTATTGAGAAATTTAATCGCTCCGCCACATCATTCATGAAATTTCCAAGCGGTCCATCTACATTGCTTGTTATTGAAATTATATTCCCGTGATCGTCAACTAATCGAAGGAAATTATTAGCAGTATAAAAGACTCCTAATTTCATTTCACATCCATGAAAATTTAGATATTTCTTTGGAAATATTGATTTATTGATCCAATCTTGTGATTTAATTGAAAATTCATTTATTTGGACTAGCTGCTGCACTTCATGACAAATTTTTAAATTATTTCGATTTTCAAATGTGAAAAGTTTTAATTCATCATCATAAATTATGAAATAGTAATAAGGTGGACTGACTAAATCAGTTTTGAGTCTCGAAATGTCCATTGTGGTTGAATTTTGACAGTAAACTAGAATTCTGATAGGATTTGTGTATTGACTTTGTATTAAATCTTTGCGATTGAAATTATCAAAATCTTCAAAATGATTAAACAATAAAATTGACTGATTCGTGAGCTTTTTGGTCCATGTTTGTGGGTCAAATGATTTTTTTAGTGTCAATGTCATCGAATTGTTTAAATTTTTCATGATTTCATTGACTAATTCACTTTGTGTCTCTCCAAAATCAATAATTTCGACATTTCTCGAATATTTTGTGTAAAAATTTCGAATAATTTCACAAATTGCGATGCTCAAAATTGAAGCATTTTGTGAATTCGTCGATTTTAACAATATTAGAATAAAGATTGTTAAAAAAGCCAGTAAATTCAACTTCATATCCAAGAACTGACTAGTAAATAATCCTCAAAAGGATGAAATTGAACTAAACTTATTTAATAAAATAATTTTTTTGAGTCTTTGTGTTTCATTCGTGTTAATTTTATAAATAAGATTAAATCTTACAACTTGATTGTTGTATGCTTCTTATTGACATTAAAAAAAAGAACAGACAGACAAAAAAGATGTCCGTCATTGCTTTTTATTTTATTTACCATAATAATAAAAACTATAATCTGTTCTTCTTACAGGATCATAATAATAATTTCCGTAATAATCCTCCGATGAATATCTTCTCTTGTAACCGTTTCCCAGTCTTCCATTGTATCTGTTGTTATATCTGTTATTAGCTGTTGGAAAGTTGAAGAAACTTAGTCCATAATTCAATCCATTTCGTCTGACATAGTTGTTGTTGTTATATCTTCCATTGTAGTAGCCTTGTCCATTATTGTATCGATTGATGTATCGATTGTATCTTCCATTATTTGATGACGAATATGATGACGAAAGTGGATCAAGAAAGCCAAGAAAACTCCATTCCCACGTGCATGATAAGGGGCTCAGAGTCATCAGGAAAATTAAAATTGACGTCAAGACTTTCTGGAAAAATAATTATGCCATAAGTTTATGGAATTTAATTTACAACTTTTAAATGTCTTTTAGAATTAACTTTAACATTTTTTTATAGAAACTTACATTTTTCATTTTGCACGGTTATTTTAGTATTAAACTACAGCAAAGTTAAAATCAGAAATTTATAGAAATTTTGAAAAATGATTACAAAATGAATGAAAAAACTTAATGAGATTTTAATTTTAATGATAATTTAATTTGAGTTTTGAATAATTTAAGAAATCAATTTGCGTAGTGTTTTGAACAATCCAAATTGCAATGACTAATAAAATGATTGACTGACCGTGAAAATGTTTAATCTGATTAAAAAAAATAATAATTTAAATACAAAACAAAATTTCATCAAAACTATCGTAAAATTTTTTCAAGAAACGCTGAATAAATTCAAAAAATTTAAATGTAAATTTCACGACAATATTAATTTATTTAAGATTAGTGGCACATAAAACTAAATACTTTCGGTTTGCCCATATTTTCATCGTTTTAAGAACGAAGCGTTCAAAAAAAATCTTTAAATAAAATTATTCATTTAAAGTTCAATCCAGTTGTGCCTTCAATCCAGTCCATAAAATACGAAATCCTCATAAAAACAACAGGGCCATTATTAACGCCTTTACAAACTTCTCCAATGTCAACATAGCTTGCGATTCCAACTAATATATCACCAAGTTTATCGTCTCTAACCACTAGTGGAGATCCTGAGTCACCTGGAATAATTATTAAATGATAAAGAAAATTAATTAAAGTTTTTTGATTTTTTAGAGAGTTCATCAAGGTTAATGAACCTATCAATATGATCAAAAATGTTCTAGAGTCAGTAGATCAGTTTGGTTTAGGTTTTGGTTCAGGTTTAGTCAAATAACAATTGTAAAGCTTAGCTATTTGCCAAATTCTAACCCAAGGTATTCTTTAGTGTTCTTCTTTTGGGTTTTCGGTGCTGGTACTTAGCAGTACCAGAATGAAAGGTCTGGGCACCAGAGGTTTGGATAAAAGCAACCATAGGATTCATTTAGTCTATCGTAACCAAAATGTAGTATCAAAACTAACCTGGACAAGCTGTTTTCCCATTGTTCGATGAAATACAAATTTCACTTTCAATAATCTCTGGATAATTAACATTTTGTGCTGAACATTCGTCATTTGTTAAAATTTGTTCCTCAATAAATTGCAAAATATTTGGTTCTGATTTGTTTCGATTCATGTTGAAACCCCAACCACTTAAAATTCCTGTCTGACCTGCAAATGTATTGTTATCTGATTGAGATGGAAGACGAACTGGAAGAACATTTGCTGGAAATTAATGATTAATTAATAAAAGCATCATAATGTTAAAAAAAATTAAATTTACTCACCACTATAAAATATAGTTTTTCTGACCTTGATTAAAGCAACATCATTAACAGCCGTAGAGCCATCATCGGTGTAATTTTCATGAATTATAATGTCATCATTCAGCACTAGTTCTGACCATTTATTGGGCCCATTTGTAATATCAGTCACACCTAACGTAACGTTCAGATCTAGTTTTCTGCAATTAGTTTTAATTCAATTTTTAACGAGCTAGTAAGACCTTAATTCTTGGTTTTATCGTGACTCTATTTTCACAGTCTTTTCGTGATGCCTAAGCTTCCGGCACTCATTGTTTGTGAATCATGGTTTTATTCTCTAGTTGAGCTAAGCTAAATCCGAAATACTAGCCCAAGAAATGAAAAAACCCCAAGAGCACCTTAAAATCCTTTAAAGAAAGTGAAAATCTAAAATAACTTACAATTTTTGAACATAATAAGCACAATGTCCAGCAGTAATAATCCAATTCGAATGAATAAGTGTGCCACCGCAAATATGATAAAATTCGCCACGGTAAAGAACAGACAGATCAACCATATATGGAAATTGACCATCTTCAGCTGCAGTTCCTCCAAAAATTCTTTCAGATTTGGAATTTTGTGAACTTACAACACAGATAATTGACAGTAATTTAATTAATATAACAATTTTGAACATGTTTAAACTGAAACTGAAGTTACTGATTCAGGAACAAAAGAAAATTAAACTGAAGTTAACATAAATTACAGTCATTTTATAGGCACATTATGTTAATATTGTCACTTAATAATTAATGTTTAACATCAGAGAATCATAACTGTAAATTAAAAATGTGCAATGCTTAAATTATGAACTTGACAGTGAAAATTTTTACAATCGTTTTAATAACCTGGGAAGCAGAATTGAAAATGAGGATATGCTGGTAGCAGGAAAACTGAAAGAAGCATTGCATTTATCTATGTAGATTCAGTCTTACCTAGCGGAGGAGAAGGGATTCGCGTTATCTTTCTCCTCTACAAGAAATTCGCTCCTTTAAGTAGCTTTTAGTGCTGCCCAGGGTACCTAGAACTATACTAACGATTGAGACCAGCGTAGAATATGCTTGGGAGCTCAAAAAGCTATTTTCTGGTTTAAGATTCAACTAGCTTATTCAAACTAAGAATAAATTAACTTTTTAATTTCGAAATCGATTTATTGAAAGCATCAAAATACTTAAAAATAACAAAACAATTGTTAAATATTCTCGGGAATTCTTAAAACTTCTTTTTTGCAAAAGATGATCCCTCTAATAAATCATCATCAGCAAGTTAACGAATCTTAATAATTTTAATGCACTTGCAAGTGTCGTCATCCCAAATTTCAGATTTTCCACATTCAGTAACTTTTTCACAAACACAGTCACAAGACTGATCATCATACTTAAATCCAGGTGGACACGATGGCTGAGCACCAAGCACACATTGACAAATTGTGTGATCAAAGACTGTTCCATTTGGACATCCAGCATCTACAATTTTCTGGTCACATACACAGTCGCAAGTTTGTTGATCAAATGTGAAATTTTTGTGACATTCCTTCTGTAAATTGCAGCTGCATTTGCATTCTTGTTCACTCCAAATGAATTCTGGTTTGCAAATTTCAGAGTTTGGACAGGCACACTTGCATTGATTCTCATCCCACTTGAAACCATTTGGACAGTCAACCTTTTCAAAGCCACAAACACAACGACAAAGTAGTGAGTCATAAATAAATCTTGGTGGACATTCTGGATCATGTTTAGGCACACAGCTACAAGAGATTTCATCGAATATTAAGCCATCAATACAATCTTTTGGTAAGCAAGATGTCTCGTTGGAAAACTGTGGAGAATCTGTGATCATTTTATTAAGTAAATCATTCAACAAGGCTGCAATACTTGATTGTAACTCACTTTCTGATAAAGTTTTAGAGCCCGAAGATGAGCTTGATGAAGATCTAGCATTCCTGCTACTTGATGAACCAGAGAGTAAACTGCTGATTGTTTGAGAATGGACAATGCTGACTGACAGAAATATCAATAAGATTGAAAACTTTATTTTTTGTAGATTCATTTTTGGCTCTATTTCTAATTGTTGACTAGTTTGAAGTTTTTAATTTGATTTATTTATACCTGAAATTAAAGATTTATTAACAGCAGTTTATGTTCTAATCAAGAGTTGGGAACTAATAAAAATGATCAAAATCCAACTTAGTTTCAATTATTTTTGTCTAACAAGTTGAGTTGTTTTGGATATACATAGAATAAATTTAAACTGAATTTGTTATTTCAAAATTATTTCTCAGACAAACTTAAAGCTTATTGAAATGTCGTGAGCACTATGCAAACCCTTATCATATCTACAGTATTCTATATAAACTATCGAACTATCAGAATCGCCTTTTTGTGAAATAATACCCCAGATTAGACTGCTCAGACACCACAATTCTCAACAAAAACATTAAAATTGACGGTTATTAGGCAATATAAAGTTTTCACTTAAGTTTAATTTTAAATTTAATTTAATCTTACCTCTAAAATATAATCTGAAGACACTTCAACTTGAATTAACTTTGTCAAATCAAAATTCATCGATTATTTATACTAAAAAGATCACCTGCATTAAAGTTCTAATTTATAGCCAATAAGTCACGACTTGCGGTCAAGCTTGGTATTTCCCTTAAGTTTCACATTACTAAAGTACAAGAACATGAAATTTATTAATTAATTATAATTGTAATTTAATGGTTAATGATAAAAATAAAATTAAGGCATGATATAATGAAATTTCATTAATTTTATTAACGTACAAAATATTCGCGTGGGGGTTCAATGACATCTAAGTTTCATTTCAATGTGATTTGAGTGGAACCGCAATCAATTGACATTATGCAGAGCATTTCATTGCTCTAAGCACCAGACATACAGCATATTTAAGAATCTGATTCATTCTTTTGATGCAACTTTTACATAAATCTTAAAAAGATTAGAACAGAGCAAGAACTGACTGCCCAACTAAGTCAAATCAACATCGAGAGTAACCTAATAATTTAGTTGACCTAGTCACGGCTGTCTTTGTTGTAATCTAGACTTCAAACAATTTAAAAATAAAGAATTTTATCAAATTTTCGAGTGATTCATTTTGTGTCTTTGTCCCATTAAACTCTTTAAGGAAATTCCATAAAACTTACAATCTTATCGCCCTTTTCTTATTTTCATTTGGATAAACTTTTGCTTTATTTTTTGTTTAATAAAAGGAGTTGCAAATGCACTTGAGCATTTTAGTAAATTTACTGAATCGTTGGACTTGAAGTCGTGTGAAAATGAGTTTGAGATTTTTTGTTATTTTGTGTCTATTGTGTGGAATTAATGCTGGATATGAAGAGATTGATTTGTCAATTATTGGAGCAGTTGAGGAAAGGTAAAAGTCTTGTAATGACTACAAAAGATTGACGAAAAATTGATTATTAATCAGCATGACTTCAAATTTCTTTAACTTGCGTGGTTTTTGTCTCAAAAAAAACTTATGTTGCTTAATCATCATGAATAAGAGTTGACAGATAGATGTCGTTGGAAAGAGCCTACTCAAAGAATGATAGCCTTTGCTTCTGACTAGACCAGTGTTGTCCAAACTGTGTACCGTAGAATTTTTCTGTAAATAACGCGAACCGCATGCTGTTTGCGACTTTGGGAATGGCTTACCCTTAAGGTGTGCCGTGGCTCAAAAAAGAATGGACAACACTAGACTAGACTAAGCTTTATAAAGTTAAATTTTGATGCCTTTCTAAAGACAATTTTTCTGAAATTGATAGTTTCAAAACTCTGACCTGACTACTTACTTAAAAACTTTGCTGGCTGTACAGATCAATTGTGATCCATGGCCTCTCTTAGATGGCGCCTGAAGCTGGCTCTGTTGCTATATCGTTTGCCAATTAACAATACCAAATGCAAAACTGTTCTTGATAATAGACTTCTCGAATACTTGCCACATTTGGGAAATCCCCAATTTAAATTATTTTTTTTCCAGTACCTGCACAAATATTCTGAACAAAAGAAATAAGACTCACCGACACAATTGCTTTAAGCTTGTTTACAAAAAAAAAAAAGAATTGATTATGATCTCCACTTTATGAGATAAAAAAATAAACTGTGCAAATCACAAAGAGAACAAATAATAGAATTACGATTAAATTTTTATTTTTGTAGACCAGGCTTTTGGGATGACAAAATACCTGAATTGAAACCACACCAGATTGTCTCCCGATTAAGATCCTCTCGGATTGTTGGTGGCTGGTAAGCGACTGATTGAATTAGCGAAATTTTATTTGAAACTTTGTTTTATTCCTGAATACTGATTAAATAAAATTTCTTAACATTTTAGGGAAGTGAAACCTCATTCACATCCGTATGTAGTCTTTATGCTTTCAACTTACGGTCCCAGCACTTGGAGATGTTCTGGATCAATCATTAGCTCAACAGCTATTTTAACTGCAGGTACTGTACTTTAAATATCAGCTTTTAAGCTATTCTAAGCGCTGAAGCAAATAATAATGCACGAAACCCCTGTAAGACAAGCTGTTGCTTTTGCCAAGCTAATGTGTGATCGCATGCCAGATCATTTACACTCAATGCATTGATGGCAGTGAAGCAAGAGATCTAAACCATAACTGAATGTTTTCCAATTTATATTCACAGCTCACTGCCCAGAAGGATCAACAAGTTCATTAGTTGTATCAGGTGTCCATAATGTCAACACAATCGAAGAAACACAACAAAGAAGAAGAATTCCGAGTTATGATTACAAAATTCACGAAAATTATAATCCACATAATCTACAGAATGACATTGCAATTCTCTTTATACGAAGTTATCCGATAACTGAGACTCGTGAGGTTCAATTTGTCCAACTGCCTTATGATTATAAGAAGGAACTATTCGTTGGTGAAATGGTATCAATTGTGAGTCACAAATTTGTTATTTTTGATTTAATAACCATTGATTTTTAACATTTTAGGTTGGATGGGGTCGAACCTGCACATTGTGTCAATCTTCTTCAGTTTTAAGAGGGTCTGAAAATTATGTCATTGCAAATGAAGAATGTTTGCCTTATCACACCTTATTTTCTGATCATCAAATGTGTATTAGAACAGAAGGTGCACGTGGCGCTTGCCTTGGGGATGCTGTAAGTTTTAATTGACTGGTTGCACTTTTCCTATTCAAACTTAGTCAAGCTGATGATTCAACCATGAAATCTTAAACTATGCTCCATGGATTAAAAGCAACAAGTGTATCAGTAGTCACAGTAATTTTGGCGCGGATGGATAATCAAGAGCTTACGGTTCTGTAGTCTTAGCCTGAAACCTTTAAAAACAAAATGTATAGAAAATTTGTACATATAGGTTCCGTGGTCTGAAAATTTTGAGAAGCTCTGGTTGAAACACCTTTCCTTACTTGCTTACTTCAATGACCTTACAGATGAATTGCCCTCCATAGCCTCCCTAAGATGCCGCCTAAAACTGGCTCTAATGCTGGCTACCGCGTCCTAATTTACCAAATGCAATACTGTCTCTATCAACAGCCTCTTTGATCAGTTCTTTGGCCTTCCAAGTGCTCTTTTTTCCATCCACAAAGTCCGACTTAAGTCTCATAAATACTCACAATTGATACTTATAATCTCTTATTACAGGGAGGACCATATACACTATCCAGATCAGGATCAACAGACCGCACAGCAATTCAAATAGGCATTCACAGTGTGATTGCTGTCGGAGGATGTAAGCATATTTAGCACACTTGTTGGTGTCATTTCGTTAAATGACATCAGAATTTATATCACATTCTTAATAATTTTCAATTTAGGTGAAGCTGATCGTCCAAGCGGAGCTGTTCGTCTGACTTATTTCTTGGACTGGATTGATTCGAATCTTAAAGCATAAGAAGTTTAAAATCAGTGGTTCTCAATCTTTGTTTCATGTTCTTTTTAATGGTTAAAGAATTAAAGAATAAGCATTCTTCATGTAGTTTAAAATTATTATTTTTTAACTGATTAATTGTTAAGCATCTTGTAAGCTAGCTAGCATTAAGATAGACTGAAAATGACTTATAAATTGCATTGAATTAATAAAATAAACAATTAAATTTAATTGATTTTACAGTCGAATACTAAAAGTTTAATTTATTTTTCACTTTTTACTTCAACAATCAAGGCTTTTGGTTGTTATTTAAATGAACAATAGACCTAAAGTCTCCAATTTACCCAAAATCGTCCCAAAAAATCATCAAATCTCTCAAATTTCATCCCTATTTATGTGGATCAGGTGTCAAGTTGTCAATCCTCTGACTTAATTCCTCAACAATGCTTTCCAGTTCACAAACTCTGTCATAAATGTTGCCCACGCCACAACTTCCAGGTGGTGGTGTTGGAAGTGGTGTTGTTGGAATCTGCATTGCTGAATAGTTGTCCAAACATTTTTGTAATGAAATTGTCAAATTTTCTCTGGATAAATTGTAGAAATATCCATTAGCGCAAATATTTGAGTTCATGTAGAGGGTTTGGATGTTTGTGTTCTCAATAATTGCAGGGCTTAATGCCAATATCATGTTGTAGTTTAAAAAGACATTTTCAAGAACTGGATGTGAACTAAATACACTCGTTTGAATAACTTGGAGGAAATTCTGGTTAATCTGCAAATTTTGAAGGTGGATCAAAGGTGTGAAAATGCCATCTGGTAGGTCCATCAAATAGTTTAGATCCAAAATCAAGTTTCTCAAGAATCTCGTATTCTCAAATGCATTTGGTGCTAAATCTGTGATTTTATTGTTTGACAGGTTCAAAATTGTAAGCACAGAGCAGCTTCTCAAGGCATTTGGTCCGACATATCCAATGAAACTATTAATGATGGACAAATGGTCAGAAAATCGGAAAGAATTGCACAAAATTGATGGAATAATTGTTGTTGTTGAAGTGTTACTTGACATGACACGACGGACGTCCATGTGGATTTTTCCTTTTAAATGTTCACCGTCAATTTTTGTAAAGTTGTCAATTCCATCGGGATTGAAAGTGTTTAAATAGCACGTGTATCCTAGTGTATGGTTCTGGTATACACAATTAACACTTGGATCGGTTTGACTTATTACTAAATAAGCAAATGCTGCCGCCAATAAAATAGAGAATATCAACTTCATGTTTACTGGAATGTCACTTAAGAAGCTCGAATCAAAACTAATAAAATGGCTCAAAAAATACACAGCTTTTATTTTGAAAACTAATCAATGAAATTCAGTAAAACATTAAGATAAGAACCTCGAATATAATGCTTTGATAAGACGTTGTAAGTGGTCTAAGTAACAAGAACCTGACTAATCAATGACTTTTCAAAATTTATATCACAATTGCTTACTTCCGATAATTTCCATTACGTGATTGCTGAAATATATGTGATTGCTACTTTATGACATCATGGATATTTTTCATTCAAATCAGCTCAGATGAGAGAAGAACAAATGGATAATGTCGAATGGACATCTGAAACTTTAACAATTTTGCGAGAGAAACCAAGATGAAGTTATAAAGTTTCAGATGTAAATTCGACATTATCCATTATTATTCCTCTCACACCTTAGCCAGGGACTTAGCCAAAAATTAGAAGTGCGCAAAAAAAATTGTATTTAAGAATTGAGGTGAAAGAAGTTAAATCCTAGCAAAATAAAGAAATTTCTGTTGACGAAGAGGGATTTGTCGCTTAAATAACCGCTTCTGGCTACGCGCCTGGACTAAGTATCATCTAATATTACATTCATAGTTATTATAATTATTATTATTTCAACTGTTTTATATTCATATTTAGGCTTTAATAAACTTAGCTAATTATACTAATCTAGATGAACAATACAAATTACACATTGTTTCCTTAAATTTAAATATTTATATTTTAAATGAATAGTTTAAAGTATTGGTTCTCAAACTGTGAGCCGTGGTAAATCTTGAGCAAACTCGAAAGTTATGCTTCAGATGTCAAAAATTTAAAATATTTTTTTATTTTGAAGGAAAAAGTTTTAAAACATTTTAAAAAAGATTAAAAAGATTTTTTGAATTTTCTGATAATTCTTTGAGCTTAAACATTTAATTCTAAAATTGCAAATTTAGTCCTATGTAAGTTGCAACAAGTGTATGTGTATAGAAAAAAAACAATGCTCAATGTTCTTATTGGATTCTCTTCTAACACTAAAACATGTGTTGTTATTTTAAAAATCATTTCATTGTGTTGAGTTGTTTATTACTTTTCTGAATTCAGTTTTGCCGACAGTTTTGCCGATTGACAAACAAAAGTTGAAAATTTATTTAAATCTTGATTATTAAACTAATCAAAGCAAAAAATCAACAAAATTTATTGAGAAAATTTATTTAGCCGTTTAAAAGTTTATAAAGTGGTTGAAAGTTTTCAAAATTTGAGATTCAAAGTAATCAAATAAAGATTTTTAACAATTTTAAGAATTTAACCTTAAAACCAAACAAGAACAAGTTCATAATTCAAACAGAAAAGTTTCATATCTGTCCAGAATCCAAAAGCCATGGGAGCACTTCAAAGTCGAACAGATAATTTTCAATCAAAAAATGCAGGTTATCAACTAATCATTGATTCTTTTGAATCAGAACATCCAGTTCTAGTTCACAGGAATCTAAAAAAGCATGGCGATTTTACAACGAAAGAGCAGCTAGAAGCAATTAGCATCATAATCTATGAAAAGGCAGTCCTCAATCCTACTTTATCACTCAAATGTGCTCAACTTGTGAAGCAAATTGAAGCTGAAACAGTTTTTGAGAATGATAAAAAGTTCATCTTTCATTCGACTTTTAATCAATATTTAATGAAACTTATTCATTCGATTATTGATAATTATGATGACAGTAAGATGACTGACTATGCAGTTGAGCGTGGCAAAAGAATTGCAACTTTTATTGGACATTTGTTCAATGTTGATTCTTTGGGCATGACATTGCTCATTGAGATTGGACAGGCAGCAAAGAAAAAGAAAACAAAAAACAACAATTTTTTTATCAATACTATTTGGAACGTCGTGGCTGAGTCAATGTTCTCCACACATTCAATAACGTTCGAGATTTTTGATAGTATGATTTCCGATCCAATTGACATAAGAAACAGAAATTCAAATCTGGATCTAGAATATAATGCTGCAAAGAGATTTTGTGGTTATTTGCAGAAAATTAATGCATACAATCATTATGAATATTATGGACATTTTGATGATTTTAAGTACATGGAAGAAGAAACATTGAAAGTCGCAGTAACTTCATTCTTAGGACATGCTGTCGCTAAGCCAGATTTTATTAATGTTTATTGTGAAATTGCACTTGAAATTTACAATATTCAACCTTGTGAGACAAAAACAATCTTAATTAACTTCTTGATTGAGAATAGCATTGCAAATTCGAGAATTGACAAAAGTTCGAGCTTCTACAATCTACTCACTATGATCATTGAGTTTTCCAACATTGGACTTATTGGTGATTCAATTCTTGATAAATTTTTGAATATCTCAAAATCATCGAGAATTCCCATAGAAATATTCAACTACCTCTTCGTCGGAGTATTGACAAAATATCGAGGACAGTTTCTACAAAGATACTTTGAGCATTTCAAAAAGTGCACAGATGCAAAATTAAGTAAACTTTTGATTCCAGCTATTCAGCAGTTCATTCAATGCAGAGATTTGCAAATGGGAAAAAAACGTATAAAGTAAGTTTTGATATTTTTATTTTAAATTACACCAGCTTTTCCCTCACATCTAACATGGACTTAAGCTAATATTGGGTGTCTTCCTTAAAATTGATTTTTTTCCCGTTATGCTTGACGGGGGACTTTACTAGTATCTAATATTAAATTAATTTTTTGTTTCTTTCTGTTTCAGTTTAAACGCTTGTGAACGCACCGTTGCTGATTTCCCAGATTTTCATGAATATGCATCAAAGTGTCAGACTCTTAAAGCAGCATTTGATTCTAATAATTCTCAAATTCAACCAACATTCATCTGTGACGATAGATCATCATGTCATTTTGCAGCTTTAAGAGGAATCGAAATTTTTAAACGACACATCGGAAACAAGTTTTTTACACCAGAAAGAATCGAAATTTGTTCAAAAATGACTAAAAAAGCTACAAAAGTTGAAATTGGCTCTAGCATTGATGAAAGCTTGTGTCGAGAGTGTAAGACATATTTGCCATATTTTAATGGAACTAAAAAATCAAAAACAAAAGTCGCAAATTTCTCAAATCTTCTTGCATCTTTCTACAATAATAAGCTTATCAATCATAACTTAGTTATCACATGGTTGACATTACTATCAAACGGATTAAGTTCGGAACCAAACAGTTTTCAGGAAATCTTTTCGGAATTTTACGCACAAATTTCAACAAAATTGGAAAATGAGAATCGATATGCTTGCAAAATTTACTTTAATTTGTTAAAAACTTTAACAACAGGAGAAATTGGTTTTAATGATTTTGTAATTTTCAAAGAAATTTGTTCAAGATTCAATAATTTTGAGGCTAACGCTATCGACCTTATGCAGCTCAAAAAGATTACAATTCCAAATTTAAAGTCAGCAATGATTCTTGTTTCAAAACATCTCCTTAGTTTGTTCACGCATAAGAAAATATCAGGACCAGTTTTAGTTCAAATCATTTCCGTTTTATCGACATTAGAACTTGATAAAAACTTACTTCGATCTGAATTCCAAGACATTTTATGCATTACATTCGGACAATCATGTGCAGGATATAAAGACGTTGGTGAAAGAACTTACACATTAGCATTATCAATAATTGATGTGATTGAAGCTTTATGTGTCAAAACATTTATTACTCGTCTTGGACTTGCTAATTTGTTACATATTATGGTTGACATCTTAGATCTGAATCCGTATCCAATTCCAAAATTAATGAATCGCTTCAATCAGCAATTGAGTCAATTCTTCCTCGGAACTAAGGCATTACCCACGAAAGTTGAAAAAATCATCATCGACGTCAGAGATAAAATGATAAATGCATTGAAAATTAAAGATATCGATTCTGAGAAAGTGAATGAAGTAATAGCAAGTTTGGACATTATTTTAGACAAAAGTCGACAAAAAAGAGAACAAGATGAAGCCAAAAAATCATTTAAAACTGACAAAAACAAGGATAAGTCATCTGATTCTGATTCATCATCATCAAGCCCAGCTAATCAGACAATCAAAGATGATTCAATAGCTTCAAAAAATTCAACTGAACAAAGCAAAAGATTACAAAAACCAAATATTTCACCTGATGAATCCAATTCAGTAATTTCATGCAACTTAAATGTTCCAACAACATCTACAGCAATCATTCAAGATTTTCCAGCAATTCAAAAAGAACCGGAAACACAAAACAATCTAACAGATCCACAATCGACATCAACCCAATCTAAAATCACCCAAGAAGACATCAAAGACTATCAAGATTACTGCAACTACTTCGACAGCATTGAACCAAAAACTTCAGACGATGACAAATTCTTCTTCGATTCAGTCTTAATCTCAACAATCAGAATCACAGAGAAAGAACAAGTCATTAATCTTGTCAAGAAATTTATCGAACGAGTTCAGGCTGGTCAATCAACAATCATCTTTTTCATCCAAAATGTCCAAAAAATTGGAAATGCTATTCAAAATATTTTCAAGCTACAGAAACAAAAAGTTTCGTTCCAAAAACTGCTAATTGATGAAATATTCTTGAAATTTGAGAATCAGGAACGATTGTTGGAATTTATGTGTGAACTTTACAATAATAGCTTCGTCAATAAGACAGCAATGATCGCATTTGTGGACAAGTTTAAATCACAAAGTCCTGAAAATATTATTTTAATGCACAAATTTGTAAAAACATGTGCAATTCGTCTGTCAAGTCAAGGTGATAAGGAACAACTGATGCAGATTAGGACAATTGCAAGAACAGTCAAGAATCTTCCAAATTATGATGAAGATTTAAAATATCAAGCACAAGATTTAGCAAATTCAATAAATTCATTAATTCAGTTGCTTGACAATGGACAGATTAAGCCACAAATCTTGACTGAATCACCAGAAAAACTTATTGAAGATTTAATGAAAAATGTGCTTAAAAATCCACAAATTTATGTGAAAACAGCATGTAGACTTGATGGAAAATTAAAGGACTTGCTG